TGTTTTACATGTAAGTACATGTCGATGTGCAGCTAAGTGTTGAAGTGAGTTTTACAAAAAGACTTTTTATCTTTATCGTAAATTAGGATACTAAACCTGTCCACTGTTTTGTAAACCGCCAGCGAAGAACTTACACTACATGTATACATTTCTCAGGACATGGCGTTACTAAACCTAGGAAAGTGTTTTCACACCTTTTAAAAACCAGCTTTTTTGTACCAAACATGGTAAAATGAATATAATTTATCCCTTTTAGTTCCTTTGTAATTAAGGACAAAAATTTGAATAACTAGTTTCAAAAACTGTATATATGTATACTTTTCTCCCGTTGTATATATAACAGTGTACATACTGTGTTGTATTTTTGTAAATGCATGAATCTGTAAAATAATAAAATGAAAGTATTCAAGAAATCTCTGCCTCTGTTCCATCAGTTTTAAGTCTTATTTACTTCGTGGGCACCTAATAGTTGGTGCACACACATTTGATGTGGAGTCTCACAGAAAATAAATTTGAGATGAAATTGCTTATTTGTCACATTACCAAATATTTGAACCCTTCAATGAAAAATTGAAACCCTTCAATTGAAAAAATGAAGAACAAAAAAACTGTGTTACGTAGTCTGAAATTGGGATTAAAAACTCCCATATTCCAAATACAAGTTTGTGTATCTATATTTGTAATTTTTTTTTCAAAACTGCAGTTTTCTTCCAAAATTTGCTAGCAGTGAAAAAAATCCATGCAGTGCACAGATAAAAGGGCCTTAAGCTTTTTAAAGTTATCTGGGGTTTGCACAATGAAATATCGGGGGGGGGGGGGGGGGGGGGGGATGGGAGTTTAAAGCTGGGCCAGTCATGCTTGTTCCCTTGCCATATGGCAATATTCATATACACTGAACCTTGTTAGTGACTTCTGAGATTCAAAGCTGCTCGTTTATGAACCGCAAATAAAAACCATACAGATACTGTCATTTCAAATTTGCATATTTTGGTTGAAATCTATTTATTCATGATTTCAAGCACGCAAATTGTATCATTAAGTCCTTTTCACACTCCAAGGGAATGGGAACATAAAATGAATTTCACATTACAACATTACAAAATGCGACAATTGCTGGAGTGGAAATATATTCAACATGGCAACTTTCAAGTCGCAATTATTCGCTGTCATAAATTCACGTTCCTTTTCCCATTCATATCAAGTACGAGCTGGTACTTAATGTTAAGTAATTCTCCAGAGCTTATGACCAAACTTTCCATCAGAAGTTTTGTTTAGATCATTTGCCTAGTGGTTATAGGCTATCAGCTTTGGTCAAAAAAATTGGGCCATCACTGGTATCAAATGATCGAAAAGAGCAATGTTCATAGCGATTTTTGGCATGGTATACACATCTAGAATTGGAAAATGTGTGATAGCTTTGTAGTGTAAACGGTGGCAGTCTTTTGGGTATTATCACTTTTAATTTTTTGTTGTTGAAAATTTCAATATGCTTGAACCGGATTAATTATATGTGGTATCAAGCATGTTTTGGCTGCCATTTAAAAAAAAAAATAGCATCCAAAAAAGCTGCCACCGCTGCAATGCTATCCCATATTTTCCAACTACAGGGGTGCATACCTTGCCAAAAATCACAATGACCATTATTTCCCTCATTTGATACCGACCAAACCCCAGGCTGATGGCCAATTAGGGTTCGTGACTCATAATAATAATAATAATATTCGGCATTTTAAGAACGCTCTTATTAGTAAACTAAATCACAGCGCTTACAGTATTATTATTACCCCTGATCATTAGGCCAATTAAACATTCCAAATACCATTTCAGCTCCCTGGAGAGCATACAGCTCGATGCAGCCTGTTAGGCGCAAGCAAGTTAATTCAATCACATGAATAACCATCTCTGCCCTCACAGGTACCCATTTACTCCTGGGTGGAGAGAAGCAATGAGTGACAAAGTGCCTTGCCCAAGGGCACACGTACCATAACCCCAGGCCGGACTCGAACCCACAACCCACAGAATTACCAACAGACCACGAATTCAATGCCCTTAACCACGAGGCCACGGCACTCCGAGAATCATGGGTTCGAATCCAGCTGCTGGCAATATATTGTGTCCTTGGGCAAGCCACTAAACCCTCACTTGCCTCTCTCCACCCAGAAGTATAAATGGGTTCCGGCATTAGCCTGTGATGGACTGGCATCCTATCCAGGGGGAATAGAAATACTCTCATTTGTTTCATGCCACTCAAACCGGAGATAAACGCCGGCCTGATGGGCTGTATCGGCTCGTACGTGACAGGCTTTACACACACATCTTTGATGCGTGTTCAACAGGGATACGCATAGAGCAGACCTGTTGCGCATTCATTGTTAATGAATTAACAAAACAAAACACACCTCAAAGATGGCGGCCGAATGCAATCCATCTATACAAAATCGAGTGTGCTACCATGCAAAGCAACAGAGCCCATTCTCTATGTAGTTTGCAAAATTTACACAATTAAAGTTTTGCTTCCAAATATTACAGGCAGTAGTTTAATAATGTACCTTGCAGACAATGTGAAACAATATGCTTCATTATAGTATCGTTCAGTACTGGAAGCTCCCGCCTACTTATTTGCATATTTGTACATTAATTATATACACAGATATTGAAAAGTTGTCAACAATTGTTGCCTTTTGTTTATATACCTGAGGATTTAATACGGGAAAAAAGTTGCAACCTGACGCCACTTTTTTCATCATATATCATCTCAATGAAGGGGAGTCATTGCAAAAATGGTGATCAGACATGAATCTGGGACTGAGAAACATTTCCAATTTTGTTAGGAAATACATAAAAAAGTTGTCTTGACTCTCCATAGACTCGTACACAACCGCTGAAGTGGCGTCAGGTTGCAACATTCTTTCCTCAATACCTTCTTAGGGTGATATGAACATCATGTCCAGCTGTCGCAGATGTCAACAATGGAATATATTCACGGAGAAGCCATTTTCGACCGTGTTCCCGACTCCATTTTACAGGTTTAAACTGTCGAATGGGAGGGTGCCAGACTATTTAATTATTGGATTGCGTACCAAGCCTCACTTTCACCTGACGTTCAATTTAATAATAATATGGCCGAGACGTGAATAAAGTCTATTGTTTATATTGCCGTGCCAATAATTTAAAGTTTTACTCTGCAAGAAATTAACACATTTTGCAGAGTAACATTTGATAACTGTGAGCTTTCTTCCAGTGTATGCAATGCTATATCACAGACTTGCGGGCCACACTACACACACCTGATACTAGTATACTTGTTTGGTACTTGAAGGGACCAAACACCCCACTCTTGTTTTACCATACACTCAAGGACAATGCTTTGTGTTTCCCTTTGTCCCTGTAATATAACACTCTCCCATAGACTAAGCACACAAACTTAATACAGAGGACTGTTTCCAACAAAAGACCCAACTCCCGAGGACTGAAAGGATCTGTTGTTCTCCCTTTGTGTGTCGGTCCTCGGGGGTTATGTAGAACACGTACACTCTTTGTACGATAGGATTCGCAGGAACAAAATATAGGGGCAATGAAATGTTCACACAATACGGTCCAAGTTTTTCCTATAAGTTGAAATCCTACCCATAACTAGGTCCTGGACAGAACACTGCCTCACAATACTGTGTCGGTGTTGATGTCCCTTTGGTAATGTAAATGTAGGAAAACAGTAATTAGTGAATAATCGAGTGACGTAAATAATGTCATATTTGTTTTACAAACGCAAAAACGTCACCATTCTGTACAGGCAAAATTACTACCTGATAATCTTTGTTCTTTTATGAATGCTTCAATTTTTCAATCTTCACCACAAAATGAGGTTTCACACACACACAGTCATACAGGTTTGTTTATGGTGTAAATCGAGGATTTTCTATTGTTCCTCTTCCCTTTTCCTTTGTTTTAACTTTTTCGCAACAGCTCTCATTGGTTTTGTACACGTTTTCTAATCGAGGTCGTCCTCGATTTGGTTCCTGGCCTCAATTCATCGATGATGTTGCACGTGTGTGTCCTCCATTTACACCATAAATAAAGGCATACACTCTTTGATGACTTGCCAGGGTAAACAAATAAAACATAATTAATCTCAAAGAAAAAGACTTAGTTTGATATTGTGATCAAGACAAGCACATCAGGAATTTTCCCCTTAATAAAATTATTGCATAACCAAAAATAATTAAAGATTGGTCTTAATGCAACTGCATCTATATTCATATAATTTAAATCGTTGTTTTCTTTGAGAAAGTAAACAAAGTCTTTTTAGAAGTTACAGTTGCAAGTCCACTTATACCTCAACACATGTTAAAATGACAAGCCTGCTCAGTATAGCAAGATCCATCAGGCCAAAAATCTCCAGGCCAAACTGCCTCAGAGTCTGAGGTTACCAACTGCAGCAGGATACAACTGTGGCATTGTTCAATGGGACTGACTCTCATTGTCTCAGAAGGGGCTGTGTATGCACGGGTGTTGATAGCTGAATGCATCAAAGTGCATCAGACTTTTACACCCGATGCACTGTGTTGCATCTGTCAGGGTTAGGGTTAAAGCTACAGTCCATCATTTGTGATTTGTGCATTTTGTTCGTTTGAAGCAACAAAAGTGTTCAAAATCTAATGAAGGATACTGAACAACTAACCTGATGAAGTTTCAGCTCAGCTTCAGCTGTATATTCTGAGAAAAACAGCATTCTAGGATCTCAATTTCAAATCAAAAGTTGCTGAATCATGTTTTGAATTGGGCCTGAATTCAGCGTTACGTGATGTCGCGCACTGATCCGACGAATTATAGCAACCGCGCACGCGTGTGCATCGTGCCAATGCTTGCGCGCGCTTCGCCGAATAACAAAACGAAGACGCACCGTTGGAAAGGCCTTCTTTTGTTGATTTCTTCAAAATGACAGCTTCCCAGAAAGAATCATTTCACAGGAAGTTTAGTCCCCTTACTATCTTTCAACCAAGTATGTTTTTCAACAATAATTATGCCAGTTACTTTTCGGCCGGCTGCAAATGATGGACTATAGCTTTAAGTAGTTCCCCTTGTACTGTTGGAAAAATTTTGACTTCATCCTAAACATTTGTGACTTTTTGGAAAGATTCGTAATCGATTCAGAAAACGTTGTCGTGGGGCAAGCCTACAGAAGAGCCTAATCTAGTTCAAATGTTCTCAAAGCATCATCTTCGGTGATCTCCAGAGTTGCTATTGCGCCGTCGTTGAAGACAAACGACGACCCGCTGTCCATGACTAGGCAGGCATCCCAACCACGCGACCGTAGACGGATCCTGTGAATTTAAATATAACGACAACGATTGAAGAAAGAAATTGACTGAAGCGGGGTTTGAACCTAGGACCTCCTGAATGCTGTATAGGTGCTCTACCAACTGAGCTATCCAGCGCTACGTTGGCGGTTTCCCAAAAATGTCAATGTCTTTCATCCTAGTTAGAAGCTATAAACTTTAATACTACATTTTTGCCCTTCACCGACGTACAAACACTGTATACTCAGTGTGTTACCCCCTGAGTGAAAGTGAGAAAAAAATCACTTGGGTGGGACTCAAACCCACGACCTCCTGCTTTTTAATGCAAACGTCTTACCACTCGACCACCGAGCTCACGGGATCGGTTGGCTGGTTCGAATCTGATGTAGCAGCGGGTACCGCATTGAAACTATTTGTAAGATGGAATTTTCATCTCGACGCAAATTCCATCTTATGAATAGCTGTAAACTTGTTTGTGCCATGTGGGAGTGAGAAGTCACATTTAATATACTATTGATGTCTGCTGTGATGTAACTTACAGGGTTTGCCCTTGAGGGCACATATCACATATTTTCTTATAAAATGTACCATAATGTTGTTTTTGTTTTGAGTGATAAGAAGTAACAATGTCATAATTAAAATGGGAAAGAATGGTGCATCCTGACCCCACTTTTTTCATCATATATCATCTCAATGAAGGCCCATCATTGCAAAAATGTTAAAAAGACATGAATCTGGGACCGAGAAACATTTTAAAATTTTGTTAGAAAATACTTTGAAATGCACTCAACTTTCCATAGACTTTGTGCACAACCAAAGAAGTGGTGTCTGGATACTACATTCTTTCCTTAAAATGTCCTTACATACAGACATTGTCCAATTACATGATGTACAAATAGATGTGGAACGCACACAATCTGAGACAAACAAAACTTAAGTGTACAAAAATTCCATAAGGTTGTCTAAGGGGCGTGGCTAACTCGCAAACAGCGATAGGTCAATTGGTACTGAACACTTACTTCTTGGCAAATCCCCTTGGTAAGTTAGCATTGAAGACCCCGTTGACGACTGGGTCGCGGACCGTGTAGGCAAGGGTAGGCACGCTGGCGTCAAAGAGCAGCGAGCTATTGAACTTGGAGGCAATTCTCTCTAGGAGATCTTGTGTGATTGGTATGTCCACATCAGACTCTTCATTGACTACAGGGTGAGTAAAAAAAACGAAACCCAAATGTCGGGACCATTGTTTTAGTGAAGTTCTGCATGTAGCACTTTCAAAATCTAGGATATGAAAGCCCAATTCATAAGCTTTCTTTTAGTACAAGAACCATTCAAATCACTCATGTACTTTCAAGTTACGGACTTTTAAACACAACCACCATTTTAAAGTTCTGTCTACGGATCACAAAACAGTAAGTGTTCTTTCAGTAAAACGAAAACAAATCACAGGGATGTGTGTGAATTGTTTTCGTTTTGCTGAAAGAACGCATACCTTTTGTACAAGAAAATTAAACAGTGACAATCGGGCTTGGTGACAAAACTATTCTTGGAATTGATCTGAGACATGGTGACGTCACGCTCTGTTTACATGCGTACTTTCGTAAGTACGTGTGGTCACGTGTGGTCTAGCGGTAGAGCGTAGGATTCATGATCGTTGGATTGTGGGTTCGAGCCCCGCCGTGGCCATGCGTGTTGTGCCCTTGAGTAAGGCGCTTTACCTCAATTACTCCTCTCAACCCAGGTGTTAAATGGGTACCGGCATAATTCAATGCTGGGAAGGTAACGGACTCGCTGTGGAGGAGGTGTGGCGATCCCCCCACAGCAGCATTTCATGGACTCGAGTCTGGCCCACTCGCTTCGAAAGAGAGATGGGCACTCCGTTCCTGTGAACACAGGTTCGCCCCTTTCGAAAGTGGTCACAAAGCACCATAGACTATAGGCTCCGTGCGCAACTACCCCCTCAATTGGTGAGGAAGGGAGAATTGGGGGAGACCACATTGAGTGACATTCGAACGCATTGCTAACAACGCCCGATGCTCATGCAAAGACGCTGTGCTTTGTGAACATTCAGACGTGCGTTCTTTGCGCCATACGGGCACGATCAGGTGCGCGCATGTGGTGTGTCCTGTCCACGGGGCTCTCCAAGGTGTAAATAAGCGCCCTCTATTGTTCGCGCACGGAGCCCATTTGTGAACGGAGTTCACTGGCAGCCTAGACTGTGTACAATTCAAACATCAGTGTCACTGACAAAAATATCACGTCAGACCGTAAATGGCTAGGAAAAAAGTACTTACTTATATTTAACAGTTCGCTGACACCCTGGTGCGACAACTTGTTTATATTAAAGGACCTGTAGACAAACAAAATACATTATCATCACGGGACCAATGCAATGAATCATCTAGGCGTCACATTTACCTTTATTTTTAATCTTGTTTTGCCATTTTAAAGGACATTTCAAGAACCTTTTGGCTCTTATGATCATGTGGATTTAATTGTACAGCTTTCTAGGCACAAAAAGTTTATTTTATATTTTGTTTAGATATAGGGATATATGCACAAAATATATAACAGTGTCAGGTTCATTTTATGCTTTCTTCAAAGTACAAAAGGTTGAGTATTAATTTATTAATAGGTACTAAGTTAGTAATAAGTACTTAATACTACTAAGTACTAAGTTAGTACTAAGAACTAAGTTAGTACTAAGTGCTAAGTACGTAGTAAGTACTAAGTTAGTACTAAAAACTGAATTAGTACTAAGTACTATGTTAGTACTAAGTGCTATGTTAGTACTAAGTACTAAATTACTCTGAATGGATGCTAAAACCTACCAGGATGTAGAGCCTGTGCCAGTGCAGATAGTGATTCCTGAGCTCTTCTGCTTAACCATGGGGCTTCCATCCACAGATATCTCATAATACGACACACTGTAAGAGAACAAATACAGGATGAATTACACATTTAACAATTGTTGACCGGTATTATGTGAGACATGGCATTTTTTACACCTTGGAAGATGCAAGGCATTGAGGAGAGTGATTCGAAGCGCTACTTTTGTTTCAGCATCGAGCCGAAGTTTAGCCGATGTCAGAGAAAATGCCAACTTTTGTAAAATGACCACACATGGTCATCGATCGCTCAAAAGGACACAGCCCTTCCCCCCCCCTCAACTGATTGATGTCCATGGGGGGGGGGGGGTATAGGTGAGGACCAAGAGCCCCCTCCCTCCGCCCCCAAGCTGGGTGTGTCATTTCCTCTGGCCACATTTAAATTTAGATGCCTTTTTCTTCAGGCCAACACTCTTTTGAACGGCTGTCTTGATACTCACGTCGATGAGAGTGATTCACCGATAAAGACCTCATTGAGTGCCCTGACCGGCAGTACGGTGGGCCCTGGTTCCACTCTCTTCTCTAACCCCTGCCGCATCCGCTGTTCCCTATTCCAGTGCTCGTACTGATGGTCTGGTAACCTTAGCTGTTGCTCATGGATATCAATGGGTTCAGCGTTGATCAGACCGCTCTCGACGGTGGTGCGGATTCGCTGTCGCCACTTCCACCTGTCTCAAAAAGACGGAAAGGGTACGCCTTGAAAATCTTTAAGCCCAACTCCCAAGGCATTTTTGATAGGCTGTAACCTCAATCCTGCAAAATCCTCCAACTGCCTCCATGTAAAAATTGCATACAGCCTCAATCCTGCAAAATCCTCCGTTATTCCTGGAATGTGGTCCTTGGAGGGGTGACCACTGCCTCACTCCTCCAAAATCCTCTGGCAATCACTGTCAATATGTTCAGGCAGAGCCAGTGACATCCTGGAGCAGTGCGGAAGATTTCAAGTAAAATCTAGGCCTAACTTTATGCACGGCTGAGTATTTATAAACAACACACGGTCTGGCCTAAGACCTTGACACATTCCATCCTCCAAAATCAGCCACACATTTTTGCCATAAGCCTCAATCCTGCCAAGTCCTCCATTTTGCAAAGAGGATTTGGGAGGATTTGGGAAGGTTAGGGTTAAAGAAATTGACAAGAGTGGGATTCAAATCAGTGACCTCCAGAATATTTTATCCGTGCTCTGTTTGCTGAGCTAATTAACCCTTAGTTGATCCCTTGCCAGATGGCACATAAAAGTTTATGTACTCCGACTAATGCCCCATGAACAGACATTGACTAATAAGGCCGTGTCCGAAACGGGCTTCCAGAGCTACGTCTACGTCTATTGTCAGCGCGTCCCCGCGTATTTTCAATGGGTGCGGACCTAGATCTAGCTCTAGACAGTTGATTCGGATGTAGCCTTTGCCTCTGTACTGATGGCGTCACACTTTGTTAACGTGTGCGCTTTTGTATGGGGCTACGAAACTGTCGTCCCCACTAGACTCCCATAAGAAAGCACACATGTAAACAAAGCGTGAAGTCATCAGTACAGAGGCTTGTTAGGAAGACTACCAACATCAACCGAAGCTCAGTGGGTAGAGCACTGGTACGGTATTCTGGAAGTCACAGGTTCACATCCACACTTCTTTGTTCAAATTCTATCTATAGATTAACCCTAACTCCCTAGCATGATTTACTAGGAACCATACCCATCCTGGCAAATTCCAACACCATATGGGAAACTGCCCACACATATTTCTGATTTTGATTCTGGAGGTGTGCCAACCCAATGTAAAAGACTGTCAGTTTAGGGGTACTGTACCTATCCCGACAGATTCCAACAAAACATGCTGTTGGGGTTTGATGGGTTGAGTTCTGTTAGGGTTAAAAATATACTGACATCAATTTCCCTTAGTGGTTTATTTGATGAATGAACATTATCAGAATGTGTAGTGGTAAGAATTCACCTGAAATTTCCTTCCATTATTTTCCTCAGGGCTTCGTCAAACTGCAGAGAGTTCTTCTCTGAGAGGCAGAGGTAGCCGGCAGACCTACTGGGATCTGTGTTGACTCCAAGCACGGGCGTGTCGTCCGTCACTTTACCGGCCGCCATGATGAAAGTGCCGTCTCCTCCGGCTGCGATGATGACGTCGGCCCATCGTACGGCCTCCTGGTTCAGGTTCTGATCAAACCACTGGGCTTGTCTGACTTCTATGTTCTGCGACCTGACATATGGGTGTGGTTAACAGAGTTGTAATAAAGTTGCCTCAATGTTTATTACTTGTCTGAACTTGGAATAAGGTCTCATATGAGCATTGCTAGAGGGGATGGGGTGGGGGTGTACCGTAATTGTTTTTTTTGTAAGCGAAATTGTGTCTTTTGGCAAATGCACCACTTACGATCTGATAGTGTCCAAAAACAAGGGGGGGGGGGCCAGAGTTGTAATGACTCGAGTCGAGTAGTCACAATTTTTGGTGACTCGACTTGCGCCACTTTTCAATTGTGGTTTTTGTGGTGTCATTTGTGAAAGGCTATGGTTACCAATCAAGGCAGGTGGGGGAAAAAGATATTTCACCATGAAAAGTGGCGCAATTCTCTAAAGAGACCCTTTCATAAAATTGGTCACTGCTCAGTCAACCGTGAATGTAATGACATGATCAGGGTGTCGTTTTAAAGAGGAGATTCAACCTAACAGAGGATATCTCCCTTTTACACGTGCCCTACTTCTGTTCCAATTTGCAACAATATCTCGTTTTTGTTTTTTTTATCCACCCTGTAGTGTTCAAATATTTGTGACTTGAATTGACTCAAGCTAAATATTTGACTCGACTCAACTCGACTCAACTACACACTGTGACTCAACACTCGACTCGACCTTCTTGACCCAATGACTCGACTCGACTCGAGTCACTTCTTTTAAGTGACTCGACTCGAGTCACAAAAATTAGTGACTCGTTACAACTCTGGGGGGAGGGGGGGGGGCTGTTTCCTTTGTGTACCCATGGCATCCTGTACAAAATGGCACTCAATGTTTACAAACAAACGAAAGGTCTTTATTTCACTCAATAGTCTAACATTTTTGAGGAATCTTCCAAATGACAATTGAACAGTGCCTAGAAAATAAGTACCAGAAATACTTTAGATGATTTCTGTTTAAAGCAAATGATAAAATCACTGATGTATAAACAGCACGCTCTGTGTATGAAAATTAAACAACAATCTCTTTTTTTTTTTTAGCTTTTCTCGTCAAACTTCAAATGAAGACTTCAAATTTCCACCGACCCATTCTCCAAAAAAAAAGAAATCTTATTCACTGTACAGAAAGTGGGTGTTTAAAAACAGTCAAATGAGTAGAGAGACTTACCGTAGGGTGTCCACAACTTTCTTGACGTTAGATACGTGAATTTTGTGCTTCTCCAAATACATGTCATAATGTGACCCTCTCTGTAGGAGCTGCAACATGGGAGAAAAAAATGAAAAAATCTTTGTCTTAAAACATAATTACAATCACTTTCAGAAAATTTACAGTAATTTTTTTTTCAATATTATTTCTCGTATGGGTCAATTTTGGATCCGCTTTTTTTTCCTGTCCCTGTTACATCTGACATCTATGATTTTATAATAATTCTGATGCACTCCTTAATGCAGTCATCCTCCAAGAGTGAATAGCACACTACCTACCCAATAAATAAAAAATGATTGGACGTCATTAATTACAAAGTACCAAGGTAAAATAAAAAATGTACCACTTTGGACCCTAAATTTATAAAATGACCCGAGCTATGGCAAAATTGATGGATTTTGGTGGATTCAGAATACTTTCAAGTAAAAGAGCCCAAGGGGTTAGGGTTAATGTATATTTCAATTGGATCAACTTCGTTACGTTCCTTCGTAACAAAAGGAAGTTGTTTTCATACACAAAATATTTTTCATGAGAATAAAATAGGGTAGTTAATTTCAGTGTTTTTTTTTTTTTATTTTTTTTTACAGTTTAACAATTTTCTTTGGAAATAGCAAATGAATGACTTCTTCAGCTTGACTGAGTGATGGGTTGATAGATACATAATGGGTATTTATAAAGCACACGTATCCACAATTATTGGTGCTCAAGGCGCTACATCATTATTACCCTGCTCATTGGGACAATGAAACATTCCAAATACCATCTCAGCTCCCTGGGGAGTATACAGCTCGATGCTGCCATTTTGGGGTAAAGCATCTAAAATCAACCACAATAACCATCTTTGCCCTCACAGGTAATAATAATAATAATAACAGGTTCTTATATAGCGCTTTTAACTAAGATCAAATCGCTTTACATTATTATTACCCCTAATAATTGGGCCAATTAAACATTCCATATACCATCTCAGCTCCCTGGGGAGTATACAGCTTGATGCTGCCATTTCGGCGCAAGGAAGCTAATTCAATCACAATGGCCACCTCTGCCCTCACAGGTACCCATTTACTCCTGGGTGTGGAGAAGCAATGAGTGACAAAGTGCCTTGCCCAAGGGCACACACACCATAACCCCAGGCTGGACTCGAACCCACAACCTGCAGAATTACCCACAGACCACGAATTCAATGCTCCAGACCACGAGGCCACATACGGCACTCCACAACATACATATAAACAAGCAAGAAACTCAAAAAATGGATTTTCGTTGTCTTACAGGAATGGGACCCATAATTACACAATCGCCAAAAATTAGAAAAATATCGAAAATAACCATGATAACACACCAATTGTTTCAAACCCTCTTCCTCAAGATCATGAAATCGTTTCCTTTCGAATGAATATCGCGACAGTTTCGACACCACTAATGCTCTCTTTGGCCTGAAGGGGACACCCTCCCCTCCATACTCAGTACCGCCCCCTCTTCTTGGCTGCTCCGTGTCCGGCGAGTTTGATGATGCCGATGAAGACCTGAACAGTCGTCTGATCAAAGACAAAGTACTAAAGTTGCCAGTTTTTGCGATGTTGCCAAGTCGATTTATGTGCAAGCCGAAACAAGTTGCACAAAACCCAATCCGGGAGCGAGACATCATTAATGTCCTTCTAATGCTAGGGCAGCCTTCCAGGTCTCTGAACACACATGACACAGACAGTCAGAAATCCAGTTTAGTGTTTGCCAGCGGTCATGTTCAGCCTGTCATTTATCAATCAATGAATCATGTAAACAGCGTACGTGCGCACTCGACTAAACAAGCATGCATGACCTTCGACCTTTATGTTGTTGTCGGTCAGTTCGCCCCATTTACATTTCGCCCCATACTCTTTCACAACATTGTCACTTCGCCCCATCAACTTGGCCTCAAATTTATATCCTCTCTGAAAGTATAACGTAGAGTCATACGACTATCAAAAACATCAACTCCTAAAAAACATACATGTTTTCATGCTATTTGTTTTAATCTATTTTTGTCACCTTTCTTTTGTCATAGGTCACGCGTGAGTGGGGCGAAATTTGAATACGACAGAGCCACTGAAGGAATAGACTTTGTGTTGGGGCGAAGTGACAGTGGGGCGATAATTTCTTTGGGCATGGTTCTCGAACTTTCACGAATTTGTCGACCGCGGCTTTTGAAATGATGAACCGCGGCGCGGAACTGAACATTTCTTTAATTTGTTTTTGATAATATTAGAATGGAGAGAATACTGACAAGTCAGAATTGGTACATGAGAGATGTAAGTTAACGACTTGAATTTTTTGTTGGTTTAATTGTGACAAAAAGAAGCAGAAGTTTGATTTTTTGTTTTAGCCCACGTGCCACAGATTTATTTATGTACAAAGTAAAGAGTTTCTACATGTATTTCCGACACACCGGTGGGTTTAGTAGAATATGCCAAAGGCAGTGTATATTTGACCGTCAACCGGTCCCCGATGTTTTCCTTGTTGTATTGGCACTGCACTGACATAACTGAACATGCGCAGTGAGTGTTTGTTGGTCATGCATGTCATGTTGGTCATGTTGGTAAGACGTTTTTACTTAGCCCCACTAGTGTGGCCGTCGGTATGCTGCGCTGAACAAAGGTTCAGCGCAGCATACCGACGGCCACACTAGTGGGGCTAGTTTTTACTGTGATGTTTTATTTCTCCATCTGTCATGTCTGTCCATGCTGTGATGAATCTCCGTCTGGTTCCGCATTACAACATTGTTGTCAGTTGTTATGATTTCGCATTCACTGTTCAGGAGACGGGAATTGCAATTTCTGCCTTTATTTCCCTTAAAAAAAAAACAAATCCTCCAGACCCATGAATAAAAAAACGAAGTGGCTATCGTTACGGCAGCCATTGTTTAGCGCCCTCTACGATACTTTTTTGATACGCACGCAGGTATATAATTATTTGTTTTAGCGAGCAGTGCGACAGCTCAGTCGATAGAGGGTAGGATTTTGCACCGCGAGGTTGCGGGTTCGCATCTCAGTTTTGCACTCAAATTTTTTTCCTTTTAATTCTAACCTGAGGCTTTGGAGGATTTTTTTTTTAAAGGGAAATAAAGTCCGAATTTCATAATGTTCAAATTCACTTTTTTCCTTCTAATTTTATATTTTCTTCGCATGTTTTTATAAAAGTTGCAGTACTACCGTAACTTAGAAAATGGGAAATGCGTTACGGCTGCTGTAACAATAGCCACTGCGATAAAAAAAACCCTGAAAGATTCTGTAATTAAATGTAGTAGCCTAGTAGTAGTAGGCCCCCTAGGCCTATTCGATTTAACACATGCACATGACATGTGAAAAAGTGACAGGAAGAAAACTCGGAAAGAATTCCATAATAATTGGAAATCACTTGACACCCAGTGCACAAACCCTATGAGACTTGTCTGAAAATGTTCAAGTGTTATCTCACATTCTCAGCGAATGCTTCAATATTTTCCCTGCTAAATTTGACTTTTTAGGACATGTTACCGCTTCCTGATGGTTGATCATGTTGATAGATCATTGTAGGGAAAAGGAAAGATTTCCATATTCGAAGTTCACTCAACACCCTGTGTACAAACCCTATGAGATTGGACTGAAAAATTCTAAGTGTTTTCTAAGAAAATGCTTGTATTTTCTCACTGCTCAAATTGACTTTGATGACATGAAATTGCTATCTGGGGGCTTGTTAGTCAATACAGAGGAAAATTAGTGAACTTCGGATATGGAAATCTTTCCATCCATTGAGCCACAGGTTTTATTCGAGTTGGGATGGTAATTTCTTAATTATATTATATAGGTAGGCCTAGGGGATATTTTGCCCTGACCAGCAACATACTTCCTAACGCTTTTTTTGCGGTGAGAGCGCTGTGATTGGCTGCTCTGACGGGAAAGTTATGTTTATTCATGAGAAAAGAAACAAAACAGACGGCACCCTATTGTTATTACTTAGTCAACTAGTTACATAACGGTACATTAATTAAAGCACTTTTTAAAAATGGCTGTTGTCGAGCAGCCACATAGTCTAGTTGATTGTGAGTTTAGCTATGGATTGAAAGATCCTTGGTTTAAATCCACGAATACCCATTTTTCATCTACTATTTTTCTTCTCCAAATTGATAGTTGGGATAGTTTTAATTTAACGAAAAAAGAAGAGTCTGAAAACCTATATGTCTTGCAGTGATTCCGTTTCCCATCAAGAATGCCATTGTTTCATCATCATCTCGTGCTTTTTAACTAAAACTTAAAGTTATACAGATTGATTGAGGAAAGATACTAACCATTTCTGTCTTGATTTAATCAGGTGTTTCGATGGCGTACCGGAGCCAGTCTCGCGTGGTCCCTTATACTCCTACCATTCACAGCTGCGCTGTTTGTTCTCTCAGTCAAGGCCAACATTTTTCATCCTTACCTGTGGTTTAGTGGTAAGTCAAAATCAAACCGAACATGCCCATAAAATAGTCAGAGTATCATCCGTTGTTCAATGGACCCCTCTCCATAACCAACGTCTGATTATATGTGAGCATGATGCAAATTTTATGTGACCCCAAGGCCAGCCAATCAGAGTCGACTTTAGAAATTGTGACGTCATTGCGATCAGAAATGTGGACTAAGCTGTTGATTAGTCAATTTGGCAGCCGTGTTTTTGTAATACAACAATAGGTTACCGAAGACCCGATAGAAGGCGCCAACTGACTGGTCAGAATCTCGCAGTCGCTGACGTGGTGCTTTTGAACAAATCTCGGATAATCCCACGTTAACATTTAAGAATGTCTTTAGAGTTGATAAATTCTGATAAATCATTATTATCTCCACGCACAGACCCAAGTTAGTGAGAAAACTAGTTTCTTATTTGTGGGCGCATTTCAAAAAGGTTAATTGTGCACTTCGAAATAATATCGTAAAATCGCACCGAAATCGAATTTCTCTGGAACTTTGTAGCGGGAACTGTTTAGAGCTTGATGAAATTTCACTTACTGTGAAACTTGAGGTAAAACTGTTGCTCTAGCAAGGCACTAGAGGCAGGAAATCAAAGTATGCCAGGTTAGAGGCCATGCCATCAATACGCTTTGTACCATTCTTTTTCCATAGCTTTTCTGCACAGTGGTGATTTATGGAGGATACAGGGAGGTTCCTTGCAAAAATTCCCATGAAGCTGGTGTAACAAGTCTTTTCTTATTTTAAACTCCATCAGATTGGCTGGTAACCACATTTTCCTTCTCTGGTATCAGCTACATCTCATTGATTGCCCTTCTGACCTTGCTGGTAGCCATCGGCAATGTCCTCTGCTATACAGGTAAGAGTTTGCCTCAACAGGGCCCAATTTCATAGCGCTGCTTAACCCTAACCGCCCTGAATCCTCCAAAATCCTTTTTGCAAATTGGAGGATTTTGCAGGATTGAGGTTACATGGCAAAAGTGCGTTGCTGATTTCGGAGTAAGCACTATGTCAAGGTCTTGGGCCGGACCTTGTGTTGTTTATGCCCAGCCGTGCATAAATTTAGTCCGTGATTATACTTGACATCCTCCGCACTGCTCCAGGATGTCACTGCCTCTGCCTCAGCCTATTGACAGTCATAGCCGGAGGATTTTGCAGGATTCAGACAGTGGTCACCCCTCCATGGACCATATTCAAGAAACAGCGGAGGAATTTGCAGGATTGAGGCTATATGCAATTTTTCATGAGGCCAATTGGAGGATTTTGCAGGATTGAGGCTACATCCTAGCAAAAAGGCCTAGGGAGTCAGGGTTAACAGCCAATTTTGTGCTAACAGAGCCTCTGTCTATAGTTGTATATCCTGTGCTCTTCAAAAAATGCAGTCTATGTCTCCTAACAAAATTTCAATTTGTGTGTTTTGTTCAAATGAAAAAAATCTGATTTTATATCTATCTATTTTATTCTTTTTTTGGATCTGGAACCCTCTGAAAAATTGCTTTCATTTTTCAAAAATGGCCCTTCAAGAGCCAAATTATTGTTTGGCAGCCACTAATTTGAATGTTGTGAAGAAATAAATTTAACAAAATGGCGTTGGAGTTTTGTGTCATTCAGAAATGAATAACTTTTATATTTGATTAATATTTGAATGTTTGCACGGTAAAGTCAACGGTAGGACAAAATCTGCGATTGCAGTTATGTGGTTCTAAATAGAACCAGTGGAAAATCAGTGTTTTGAATGGTATGTTCTACTTGCTAGGTTTTGGTGTCACAATATTTTGATTTTTGACTCTGTGAAGCCTTTGTTTTTTTAATGTTTTCAGTTTCCTGAAGTAAATTACTTACCTTTTGCCCAGGGCTCAAAGTAGCTGTGGTATTGTAGCTGTGTTGTACATGATCAAATGTACAATTTTATGGCTATTTCCCCATTTGTGAAATAAAACAGAAAGTAAACATTGGTGTTCATTGTTGTTCTGATAGCCACAATACAATGCATGATTACTTGTCTTGAATTTGTAATTAGTCAACCATTTCTGTATCTTTCAGTCATCCCCATCGTACACATCAACCGCCTGTCCATCATCTGGGGCGTGGCCAAGCCCACCCACCTGCTTCACATGATGGGCCACACCCTGGCTGGTGGCACCGCGGCCTGGTGCTGGGCCTGTCTGATCGGTGCTCCCTACGACACCCTCACGTCGCTGTCAAATGAGGGCGCTGTGCAACATCTCAACGAGAACCACTTGTTCCTGGTGTTACATGGCGCTTACATGGTATGTGTTTCAAAACGACAAAATGTCCATTTCTGCAGTAAGCCAGTTAGGTATTCCAACTGCTCACAGGCGCATCAAGATTTGACTATTCTCTTCCTGATAGCCCCAGCCGACAAATATTCACAAGTGGAAATGTTAGTTGAAACGGCAAGTTTTCATGCAATCGCAAATTGGAAATACGAAAAAAAACAGGATGCAGTCCTGAAGTTTGGTTGTAGCAGCGTGTACGTACGTGCGCTTCAGAAACAGTACAATGAGCGCACATACATTGTAAAAAAGGTTATTCGCATTCAAAGTGGGCTATGTCCATGTCATACTGAAAGACTAAATTTGTGGTGTTTTCCGTTACTGACGACATAATGTGAGAATTAAAAAAAAAGAAAATTGGTGGGGGGAATGAAAAAGTATTTGCTACACTCCGCAATCTGTTTAGTCTTTTCAAAATATTGGTTTCATCAATTGTTCTGTGATGGTTAGGGGCTGGAGTATCAAAAGTCAGAATTTGAAAGTTGTTTTCAACTGATTTAAAGGCGATAGCTCATCTTACACTGAGAAATTTTAAAATAGATATTTTAAGGGTTCTGCACCTTAACCAGTTCCCGCCGGGATTATTTTGACAAGAACAGAACGAGGCGCATGATTACTTTTCACTCGACCTCTAGCCAGGCAGATTGAAGCCATCACCCTCGGGCAGCACACTCATATTTCCGGCCTCGCTCGCTGCCAGCGGGTCACTGACAGATATTTCCAGCCTCGCTCCCTGCGTGTTTATCCGTCATCCGTTCCGAATACTGCAAAACTTTTGCGTGTATACACGGCCTCCGGCGCGAACTGGTTAAAAACACTGACATGCAAACATCAACAAGCTAGTGACTGAATTAAGCCTAGTGTGAGCTACTGGTATATTCAAAGGTTTGAAAACATTTTTTTTCTAGTTTATATTTTTTGTTCTCTTTTCTTCAGGGCTTCTTGTATTCATTTTGGTATGTACACACACAGGCACACTGCATTGACTTCCCAGTTATACAGGTAATGTGAACTCGGGTTTTTTTGGTTTTACCTTATTATAGACTAATTCGGCCAACAAAATTATTGTTATTTCTTGTGTTTGGTCCTTGGAGGGGTGACCACTGCCTCAATCCTGCAAAATACTCCAGCTATCACTGTCAGTATGTTGAGGCAGAGCCAGTGACATCCTGGAGCAATGTGGAGGGTTTCAAGTATAATCTAAGCACAAATTTATGCACGGCTGAGCATAAACAACACAAGGTCTTTTGCCATATAGCCTCAATCCTGCAAAATCCTCCAATTTGCAAAGAGTATTTTGGAGGATTTGGGAAGGTTAGAATTAAGCAAATAATGAATGATTCCATTGTTGTTACAGCAACTGAAATTCTTCCAAGTGAGGACCTACTTGCAGCGGAGCATTCGCACCAACCTGATCTACTCAGCCAGGGCCACGGGATACTTCTACCTTCTCTATTATCTGTTTGGTAAGACTGGCTGGTAGTAGAAGTAAAACAAAATTGAGTCATTGAAAGTCGCAGAAAGCAATTATTTATGGTAACATTTGAAGGTTTTAGGTTTTTACGTGGTGATGACAGCTAAACGTGGCAATAGAATTGCCAGCAGACCACTCTGTGCACTAATATAGCCAGAATTTTTGCCTGATCACTGATTGTTGGAGGAGCAACATATGGTAACGAAAATGCAACTCATTTTCTAACTAAGCTGAGCAACAGTTTGAACTTACAAAGTTTAATGACTCCTAGATATCCTCATTGATTGGTAAATTATTTATAATTACTGGATTGTCCGCTTATCATTTTCATGTGTTATGACATATGCAAGTCAGCAACAGTGTTAGGGGTCTATCAAATAATCCAGGCTTGAATGCCAGGATTCCGGATCAATAGTTGACTGATACAAGTCTACTCAGTTATTCCAAAAATAGCCCAAGTTGATATGATTTAGAATATTAGTCGTTTATTATTTTCAGAATGTTGTTATTTTATTGGAGAATGACCAATCAAAGAGCCGGAAAGCATGTGTTTTTGCGACGCAAGGCATTTGTTCTTTGCGCACGCTGTGCAATGCTATAAAAGACGAGAAGGCGTAGTGCTCGGTGTTCAGATCGTGACGGATTCTAACCCGATGAAGATGGAGTGCGTCTTACATGCTTGCCGTGTTTGATTGCTCTAATAAGGCACTTTAGGCATTCCTCTATATCGTTATTAGGAACATTTTAGTCTTTTGATTTGAGGACTTTTGGTAATAAAAAAAATATTCACCATCCTTTGAAGAACGTATTTGCTGATCTTCGAGCCTATTTTGTCAGCGTACTTGTGGAGACAAACTCGACCATCTAAGTGACTTGACCCGAGATTAGACGACCGTTACAATATTTTCAACTGTTTTTTTTTTAATGTGATTGATCAGGATCAATACCCAAGCACTGGCTGCAAGTTAACTTGGATGTGCAGGAATCCCCCACACCTCTCAACTCTATCAGCGGTCTTCTGAACCTCACCCTCCTGTGGAATGCTGTCCTGACGGGCCTAATCACCAACCACCTTTGGGGCGTGTCCCTGCATTTGTTCAAGGTCTTCAACACTGAGGTAATTAAGGGGGCGAACCTGTGTTCACAGGAACGGAGTGCCCATCTCTCTTTCGAAGCAGTTGGGCCAGACTCGAGTCCGTGAAATGCTGCTGTGGGGGGATCGCCACACCTCCACAGCGAGTCTGTTACCTTCCCAGCATTTAATAATGCTGGTATCCATTTAACACCTGGGTTGAGAGGAGTAATGGAAGTAAAGCGCCTTACTCAAGTCCACAACACATGGCCACGGCTGGGCTCGAACCCACAATCTCACGACCACTAGGCCTGTGCTCTACCGCTAGACCACACGTGCCCCCAATACACTGAGGTAGCTACATTTTATAGTTAATATTTTTTGCTGCTTCCAGAAGGGCCAGTGTTCTGTCCACTTTGGGCCTGACTGACCCACTGACCTAGGCCGTGTTCGAATTGCTTTCCTATAGTATCCGCTATAGCCAAGTAATTTTGATGTAGCCGCACTCGCATATTCACTGTCACTTGTGAATAAGACTTGCTTAAGTCCCACCTTGGGGCAACAGTGGAGTGCTCTGGCCTAGTGGTTAAGGGCAAAACTGAAGGCTGTGGGCTCGAGTCCAGCCTGGGGTGCCCTTGGGAAGTGCACTTTGTCACTCATTGCTTCTCTCCACCCAGGAGTAAATGGGTACCTGTGAGGGCAGAGATGGTTATTGTGATTGAATTAGCTTCCTTGCGTCTAACAGGCTGCATCGAGCTGTATACTCCCCAGGGAGCTGAGATGGCATTTGGAATGTTTGATTGACCCATGAGCAGGGTCATAAATGATGGTTATTGTGATTGATAAGGCCAAAAAAAAAAGTCTCCGGTTTCTGGTATGCGCGCGCGTCGCCGTAGCCATGCGCGTCGGCAAAATGAAAAAGTTTTTTTTCAATGAAAGATGATGTCTCAAAACTGCCAAATTCACTGGTTTGACTGGAATCCTGCTGCTGCACAATTTGAAAGTGTTTCTAGATGGGGTTATGATCGAGAATAAGCTTTATGTGGCTTCTCTGGACTCCCATGTATTTGCACTAAGTCTAGTCGGGCACCATTTGCAGTCATCAGCCGACATTTGAGGCAAAAAAATCAGGTTAAAAAAAAAAAAAGCCGCGTCGCCGCACCACTTTTTGGGCAAGCTCCATACCAGAAACCGGAGACTTATTTTTTTTGGCCTAACGCCTTGAGCACCAGTCCTGGTGGATACGTGCGCTTTATAAATACCGACTATTATTAACAGTTTGAAATAGGATTAACTCATAACACCAGGGATTGGGCTAAATCTGGCCCACAGTGTCAGCCACACGCATGAACAGACCTCCAGTGAATAGTAATCCTGAATCAATAGGAGCGATTCACAATACGGCGCATCCCCAACGTTTGTCCCCAAAAAGGTCTATTTCCGGCTCGCAGGTCAGCATTGGTAACTATTCCTTATCGTGTTTTTAAGATGGCAGACATCCAGAGAATGAGATTGATGCGAGTCGACGAATTGAAGGAGTAAGAAAGCCATCGCCGAAAACAAAAGTAAACCAATGTTCAAATTTCACGGTTTGACTTACGATCAGTAGGTAACGGAGCCCATGGCGGTGACTGCTGCCCCGGATCGCGTTACGATGTCCACTTTTCTCCACAATGCAGTGTGACTTTCTCTAGATTTGAGCCCACTAGCGATGGTTTAGCGGTATTGTGAATTGCTCCTATTGAGTAGAATGTGTGCTCTCTGGGTCATGCTTTACAGGCTTGCCCGTCTTGTTTAACTCTGTAAGCGTGGAGGCAAAACTTGAAGGGTTTTGACGTTCAAAAGACTATGTGGATTTCAGTGTAAATTTAAATATCCAAATAAAAAAAAAATTAGACAGAATTGTGCATTTTGACTCTTTACCAGGTCTGGTTTATGATATTTGGATCAAGTCTTGTACCTGTCTGAGTGTTGTTTTCTTTTGATCGCAATAGGTTTATCAGTTCGCTATCGAGGCCTCCTTCAGCAGTCCCAACGAGTGCACACTACACAAAGCATTGACAGAGAAACGCCATGTCTTAGTCAGGTACCTAGCCTATCAGGACCTCAGCTCATTGGCTGAGTGTGGGCGGGAGCGCAGGAAACTGGTCTTTGCACTCAGTCAGCCTGGTAAGAGAAGCAGTCTTATATTGACAGTTTGGCTGCAATTCGATTGTGTTATTTGCTGCTGGAAATGCGTATTGCAAGGCAAAACATGGTTTCAGTATCGGATGTAAACGAACGAAGGCGTGCAACCTAGGGTTAAAGGTCATAGAATTTTGTGCATTTTGTGCATTTTTTTTTCATTTGCAACAACAAAATGTTCACAAAATCTCAACTGGGGTGCATAACAACTGTTGGAATTTTCAGCTCAGTGGCTATTTAGACAAAAGAGAGAAAATATCTGCACAATTTTGGGCTTTCATAACTGGATTTCATTGTTCATGCATGTAAAAACCGCCTTCAATAAATGTTTTCTCTGAATCGAACCATTTCAGGCAGACTAATTTCTCAGGGTATTTGAGATCAGCCATATCTTCACTTTGAGCAAGTTTTTTTTAACTCATTACTATGGTAGGTACGTTTCTGGGTAATTGCCAGTCTACGGGTCTTTAACCAGCTCGCGTGAGGGGACGTGATAACACGCACTGGCTGTTTTTATACACAGGCACGACTGACGGGTTAAGACGTCAAGATTGCCTCGACTCGCCTCAGGGTGACGTCTTAACACGCTAATCCCTCATGCATTTTGCACACACACACAAAGTCTGTGGAGGCAGACCGTGTGTTGATCTTGAATTGGCCGTTGTGCACGGCACATTGTTGTACAATTTACGCTCCAGTGCACACCCCGGAGTATTGAAACATATGAGGTTTCGGCAAGAAATATCGTACAAATACTGTTGAAATTACTCTTGCGAATCAGTATTTGTGGCGTTTGGCTGTATATCAGAAGTTGGCTGGAAAATTTTGCCTTTTTGAAAATCGAAATTTTCGGCAAAAATAATCCCGGTGAGAAGTGGTTAATCTTATGTATTTCTTCCCCCCCCCCTCTTCTCTAAAACCATAGGTGGCCACCCTCACAACTGGACCAACATCTCCACAGCCTGTCTGTCTCTGATTGACACGCTAACGCAACGGTTAACATCACACCAGGAGTGGATTGCTAACGGCCTGGCTCGGCAGAAACGCAACCGAGACGATGACGATCCCAAGGACACTAGGTCCCAGACGACCAATGGCAAAACATCTGTTGTTGAAGGTCTGTACTGAATAGTGAACGAGAGCCCAATTTTTACAGTGCTACTAAATACAGAATAAACTGCAGCCCAATTTCATGGCGCTGCTTGACAGTTCGCAGTTGTGCTAACTATAGCAGACAATTGTGCTAACCTTAAGCATTATTTCATGGCGTGGATGTGAAATTATTCTGTCTGGCTTGCTGTTATTGAGAAGAAATCCAGAAATGTAGGTCATTTCCAACGATCAGCAATTGACTGATCGTTGGAAATAAAGAGTTCTGTTGATGAAATTGTGTTTCATGATGGAAAGGTTGTGTATGGTTTTTCACTTTTTTTTCTCGAAAAGAGTAATATCCAATGACTGAAACTTCAACAGGTTAGGTTTTGAACATGATTCTTCTTTGAATTTTGATCGGTGTTATTATTGGAAACAAACAAAGTGCATGAAAAGCAATTATCCTATATGCCTTTAAAGGTAGAGTATATCATTTGTCAATTGTGCATGTTTTTCGTTTGAAGCAACAAAAGTGCTCAAAATCTAAAGAAGGGTGCTTAACAACTAAACCTGATAAAGTTTAAGCTCAGTGAATGCTGTATATTCCGTGCAAACAACTTTCTAGGATCTCGATTTCAATTCAAAAGTTGCCGAGTCATGTTTTGAATTGCATTCAAATTCAGCATCCGGGACACATTCTCATTCAGCCGATTGCAGCTACGCGATGTCACGCACTGAACTGACAAATTTATGCAACCGTGCACATGTGCGTCGTGTCAATGCTTGCGCGCACCCATTCACGCCTTCACGGCTTGAATTAAAAATAAACTACTATTGGAAATTTCCAAAAATATGTCTTGAGACGCAACATTGGAAATTCTTTTATTGTTTTCTTCAAAATGACAGTATGCCAGAAAGAATAATTTCACAGGGAGTTTAGTCCCATTACTATCTTTAAACCAACTACGCTTTTCAACAATAATTTTGTCAGTTACTTTTTGGATAGCTGCAAATGATCTACTCTACCTTTAACTTGTTCACATCTGTCCTCCTTTATAGACACCACCACAATATGGTACACCCCACGGGAGCCCCGCGGCCCTTACCTGCGCAGCTCGGTAGCCTCGCCCATCACCCCTGTCCCCGGCATGGACCCCATGTTCAGTCCCATCCAGGAAACCCCACAGGTTCTGACCAGGACCGGGGTGCAGGAGGTGGCCACCCCTGGGAAGGAGAGCACGCGATACTACGCCACGCCAGGGAGTAGCATGTACGGGATGTTGACCAGACCGTCCATCCACAAAGGTAAGGAGTCGTCTCATTTATAAATACGTAGAATCATTTTCCTATCATCCTTTTTTTAGGGGGCGTAACCACTGATCTCTATATAAAGACTGGATAGCGGATATGCATACAACATTCACACAGTAGACTTTGCCTATTGACCAATTTCGCCCCCGGTCTCACGAAGATGTCCGCGTATAATACGAACGTTCTACGCGTAAATACGCGCGCGTTGTATCAACAGTTGACGCGCATTTTGGTCACGTACACATATTATGATGTTCTAAAAGGGACACATTTCCGTAGTGATTATTATTTCAAAACGCCGAAAAAGTGATATTTGCGGCATTTTAGTAACCACGACGTTAGAAAAATTGTAGTTAACCTTGGTCAGTGGTGGTGGTCAAAATATAGTCAAGTGAACCGCGACGTTACAAAAGAAATCGTGCTGTCTATAAAAACGGCAACTTGTCCTTTGTAGATCACCAGCCGGTCTCACCAATATGGCGTCAAATTCATTCATTGTGTGGCTCTTTATTAGCTATCCAGTCTTTATATAGAGATCAGTGGGCGTAACCCTCCCCCTCTGGCTGGTAAATTTAACAATGCCGTCACAAGTCCCAACAGTCAAAATAAAGCAAGTGACTGTTTTTAACAGTTGAGCTCCCAGCCTACATAAAGCAGGATTGACTGGCTGTGACTGTTTATGTAACTTGATACAGCTATGCTTTGACTGTAGGAGATTCATAAGCCAGCTGTACCTGCCAGTTACTCGTTTTTGTCTGTTGATGGAATTTGACTGTCACAGTGCCTACAGGTCATATGATCTGACTGTTGGTGACTAGCCTGTGTATAAAGACATAGCAGGGCAAGAGGATTGATTTATTTGTGGATTGTCTGTGACTGCTCAGACAGGAGGAGGGTTGCATGAAATCTCCATTAGCTCAATGGATACTATACATTTTGGGAAAACAGAGAAGATACACTTTTCTGGGTCATTGCAAATGATGCTATGTCATGTATGTGGCCTTAATATTCAGGAGAAGTTGCAAAAAGGCATCAGGTATTAGTTGGAGGATTTGGAACATTATCCTTTTGAATCTTTCCATGTTGAAGCATTGTCGACCAATTTATAACTTTTTTAGCTGGAAGATTCAGGGGAAACTTTTCCATTATTCCGCAGCAGACTCACTATACAGTGAACCTTTCAGCAGTCTATCCCACATATTTAGTGAAATGACACCTAAGGCTGCAGTCTAGTAGGCTTGGATGACTCCAACATTTTGGGAATCAATTCTGTGTACCCGATTTGTCTGACTTACTACGTACACATTTGGAACATGCTGCAAACACCATAAGAAATGGTTTCAAAGCCTTAGTGCTAGGTCATAAATTGGTGTTGAGAATGTTGAAAATTGCCTCGTCTTTAGATGCACATCATGCACATGCAGAAAGCTTTCATTTAAAAAATTAACTTTTGTAAAAAAAGTGATCGAACGAAGAGGGTAGCATATAAGTCTTTCTGACTTCGAAATCAAGGTATTGGTTAAAAGTAATAATGAAGGAAGCAGAAGTGTAGACAACAATAAAACAAACTCGTTGATAGTATTTCATTTTTCTTCTCCTTAGACCAGAGAAAGTCTCCAAAGTCCTCCAGAGAGTACCCTTGGCAGGGTTTGTTGTCATGGCAGCACAGGCTTGACATGTTTCAAAGATGGCGGCTGGGCGCATACTTGCTGACTGCCTTCCCTGAAGCAATGAGCCGGGCTTTGTTCGCTGATGTGCAGCTGCACATCTGGGCCCTGGAAGGTGCGTATGTGAGATTTTTCTTATGACCATTTGATTCCAAATTTTTCTTAAGAAAGAATTTACTGAATGAGGCTTTCACTGACTCATGTGACCAGCACCCTATTTCACGAAGCGCTGCGACGCGTCGCAACTCGAGTTACGACGTGTAACACGTCGCAACTCGCGACGCGTCGTATCTTCCATTTCACTAAAGTTGCGATGTGTTGAACGCGTCGTAAGTTCCTTGACAACGGCTTAAAACACGTCGCAAGCTACGACGTGTCTAGTGGTCGTTGCAAAATAAGAAGAGTCCGTTTTTAGCCAGTTTTGTGCAATAAACATCACATAAACGAGATTATAATACCGAGGCAAGGTGTGTAAAGTTGTGAATAGAAAATTCATTGAATAATTATGAATTAGACTGGAATATTGCAGTTGAAATTTCAAAGTAGCTTCACAGTCCACTGAGAGCTCGTTTTCGTTTAAAATTGCATCGCACGGCCGCCATTTTGTCCTACGTTTTAACAAATTTTGAGCGGAGATCCGACGACTCTTTGTTGAATACCAGACGACTATTTACTGTATGCTGACTTAATACATAAAACAGTCACCGAATTGTGCTATTAATACACATACGACGCGTCGCAATTACGACGTGTTTTGTGAAAATACGATGCGTCGCAGCGCTGCGATGCATCGTAAGTTACGATGAGTTTCGTGAACTCAGGTGCTGGCCTACATCCGAATACCAGAAAGTCAGCGTCGCCATTGTAGTAGGCAAAGAACCTGAGCCATATAGGAATACCAGAAAGTCAGCGTCGCCATTGTAGTAGGCAAAGAACCTGAGCCATATAGGAATACCAAAAAGTCAGCGTCGCCATTGTAGTAGGCAAAGAACCTGAGCCATATAGGAATACCAGAAAGTCAGCGTGGCCATTGTAGTAGGCAAAGAACCTGAGCCATATTGGAATACCAGAAAGTCAGCGTCGCCATTGTAGTAGGCAAAGAACCTGAGCCATAGAGGAATACCAGAAAGTCAGCGTCGCCATTGTAGTAGGCAAAGAACCTGAGCCATAGAGGAATACCAGAAAGTCAGCGTGGCCATTGTAGTAGGCAAAGAACCTGAGCCATATAGGAATACCAGAAAGTCAGCGTCGCCATTGTAGTAGGCAAAGAACCTGAGCCATAGAGGAATACCAGAAAGTCAGCGTCGCCATTGTAGTAGGCAAAGAACCTGAGCCATAGAGGAATACCAGAAAGTCAGCGTCGCCATTGTAGTAGGCAAAGAACCTGGGCCATAGAGGAATACCAGAAAGTCAGCGTCGCCATTGTAGTAGGCAAAGAACCTGGGCCATATAGGAATACCAGAAAGTCAGCGTCGCCATTGTAGTAGGCAAAGAACCTGGGCCATATAGGAATACCAGAAAGTCAGCGTCGCCATTGTAGTAGGCAAAGAACCTGAGCCATATAGGAATACCAGAAAGTCAGCGTGGCCATTGTAGTAGGCAAAGAACCTGGGCCATAGAGGTGGACAGTGAGGGAAGAACCACTGCACTAACCTCACTTCACATCTCAGTGACAGACAAATGAAATACATTTTTAAGGGAATAAATGTGTGCTTGGTGTACATAGTGTTTAAAGGGAATATACATCATTTGCTTTTGCTGTAATTTTCAGAAATGGATGGAATTGGGGGGTTGGAAATATATAGCAAATATAGTTACGCTGACTTTTTTGAGGTTTTGGTTTCGAAAATGCTATAAAAACCAAGAAAAACAATCATTTTCTTGTAGTCTGGTTCCCTGACTCCATTTAAGAAGAAACGGAGCAGTTTACATTATATTGGGGAATTGTAAGGTCAGGGAACCAGTCTAGCTGGCTTGTACCCGTTCATAGGTGTGTAATCGATTGCAAACAAGTGGGATGGTCAACTGGGACCAGTATTTGAAAAAAAGCCAGTTTTTTCCAACGCTGATCGGCCGATCAGCGTTGGAAATTGATACAAAAATACCACTTTTCTTGAAAATGACAGTATACCAGGTGCCATGATTTTACAGGATACTTTACACTGTCATTCACTAACAGTCCAACAAGGTATTTCAAAATGATTCGGTAGTTTTATTTTTTGATGTTTGCAAATGTTGTATTTTCCCTTTAATACCAACTGAACACATATTTATTCCCATTCATAAATACCTTTTTCGGTCAAAACATCAAAACTTTGCGGTCCAAAAGTCAAACCAAGTCAAAAATAAAAAATTTCCAAAGATTTTTTTCAACAATTTTACTTTCTGGTTTCCGAAACACCCCTCTAGCTATATAATGTGAGTGCGTGTGAATTTAGATCTATGAAATTCTGACTCACTGGTAGTATTGCGCATGCCTACGTGAGGATTGTGAATGTTCAACCAATACAACGGTAAAAGGCACTGGATTTCATAGGAGTCCAAATTTCATGTGACACTGGAGAAGTGTTTAAGACCAGCCAGCCATGTCTTTATCATCCGTTTAAGACCGGACACGTGACGTTCTCCTGACCATTTCAGAAATACTATTTTTAAATTTTGAAAAATTCTTGCCTGTTTTGTTGACAGCTCTATCGTCTCTAGTTGCTACATCCTACCGTGAAGACACCTATGGAGTGGTGCAGGGCAGCCTACCAGACATCCTAGTCAGTATGCTGGCTCTACAGAGTGTGAGTGTGAATACAGACTAGCTGAGAGAAAAACTGTGTCCGACAAATTCCCATCGTGCATCTCTGAAGCACGCAATAGCTGGAAACTAAACAACCTGCAGCCGGTATCACGAAACAGTGTGTAACTTATGCCATGCTGAAGACTTACGCAACAAATTTATTGTGCAGCTGCGCGCAATAAACCTTCGATCGATTTCACGAGCGTAGCTGGGCAAAGTTTTTAATAATCTAAACACCTTGGATAAGGATTATAACAGCATTTACAACGGTTGTTTGTGTATGAATGTGTTTCTTCATGAAACAGTCGTTTAATTATCTCCGCCCTCCCAAAAATGGTGTTGTCGGACTTTCTTTGCAATCATGCGGCAACTCTAAATTCCTAGTCATGGGTAAAATAGCAATTCTTTTACTTCAAACAGAATGCTTTGAGTGTCTTGTATCTACCTTGATAAGTTGTTCACTAACAGGCCCCTCAACCATCACGATTTGCTGGTAAAATAGGTCATTTTCAGTCGCTATCCCACAAATTTACGCGACCTCAAACAATTGCAGTAGTTACGCCATAATTTGTTGCGCAACAAGTAAGTCAGACTTACGCACTATGAAACTTTCGTGAAATTGTCATAACTGAAACGTTGCATGGTGTGAAATGTTGCACAACTTAGGCAATAAATTGTGGCACAAGTGTTATTGCGTAAAGTTTCGTGAAATCGGCTGCAGGTCTTTGTTTTCATACCAATCTTTTCATACTTTTTTTACTGTCAGGAAAACTTAATGGTTTTTTTTATTCCTGATAATGGAACTCTGTCCACAAAATACCCAATGCGAACAAGATTTTAATGGTACTTATATGCCATTATTGTCGTATTCAGGCCATTGAGAAACACTTCAAGCTGCCCACGTCACTGCCCAAGAGAAGCCCCAGTGACTTCCGACCTGTACGTTCAGGCCCGATACACCCCAACGACAGACTACGATTTGACCTCAGGTCAACAGTCCTGACATCACTTCACCGGATTGTCGCCACCTTTGGCCCTCATTTAAAGTAGGTATCATCAGTTCATTACTCTAAAGCGGCTTTTCTGTATGTGAACGAGCATTACATTCAATGTGTGAACAAAAGAGGTCCACATAAACCAGGTAGCAGCGACGTTGTGTGGACTTGCCCACGTCCACACAGTGTTTCCCCCTCTCTGGAAAACAGGTTTAGAGGCATTTTGGGTTAGGTTTTTCCATGGCAAAATGAAGAGAAACACTACAGGGAATCATAGAAAAAAAAATTGGTTTGAAAGAATTTTCACAGTGTGAGTGATATGAGTTTTTTCACAGGTTTTTTTTTACTACACGAAAACAAATGAATGTCCACACTACGTATGTAACGTAAACATGTGTGTGTGTGTGTTCATTGGTTGCTCATGCAAGTCAGGGTACAAGGGTTTGTCTGTGAATGTGTACAGGCATTGCAGTCCCTGTGTGGACCTCCGGACAAAAGATGTCCACACAACGTATGGAAGGAAGGCCTTCCAGTGTGTAGCTGTATGCATTAACCTAAAAAACAGCTTTGTGTACCTGGTTATCCTGTACATCTGAGGACTTTGAACTGCAATAATAGTATCTCTGAGGACCTGAGCCCAAGTCCTCAGAATTTCCAACAGTAGGAGCTGAAGAAGGGAACGATAAGGGTCCTCAGAAGTATAGTAAAGCTGGACTGTGTGTGTGGTTGTATGTGTTCATCCCTGAAGCAGCTTTGGGTCTGGGTGTGTTTTTTTGGTCCCCCGTGAAGCAGGCAAGATTTCTAGATATATATATTCAGAATGTGACTGCTTTCTTTCACCTTCTTTCGTGTAATGGACAAACTCTTAACCTTGGTTATTTTAAATCTGCCAAATCTAAAGTAATTGAAGTCTGTCATGAGCCAATGTGGCCAATCAGGCCGGCGTTTATCTCCAGTTTCAGTAGCATGAAACGACTGAGACTATTTCTACTCCCCCTGGATGGGATGCTAGTCCATCACAGGTTACTCCCCAGCTTATGCCAGTACCCATTTATACTCCTGGGTGGAGAGAGGCAAGTGGGGATAAGTGGCTGGCCTAGGGACACAACATATGGCCAGCGGCTGGATTCGAACCCCTGACCCTCTGATCAAGAGTCACGATTTCTATAACCACTTGGCCACACTCCCCAAAATTCTGAAATCTGTGCTGAATAGACCTATCAATTAGGCCACACACTGCATTCGGGTGTAGTTGGTTGAACTATGGTTAACAATAGTCCTCATTAGAACTTTTCCATGTTTGTGACATTTTGTCAATATTTTCAATACTTTTTCTTGTAGGAGTGTCCAGATGGCTCCAGAGTACAAGCAGAAACTAACCCAGTTGATGGACTACAAGCAGTGAGGATTAAATACCCAAACTCCCTGGTGGAAGCTTCTCTCAAAGATTAGCACTTGCCACCAAAATATTGCAATATTCCCATCGGAGATTATGTGACCAACAAACTTGATACAAGTTGCATTAGAACACTGGAATCACTAAAGTTATAGATGCAACAAATACGTAAAAGGTCTGTATGGACTCTGTTCATGAACAGTAGGGGGCGCTTTGTGACCACGGTTGAGAGCCCCAGTGGGAGAAGTCTTGGTGCCAGACGTTTGCCAAACTCTCCCTTTGTAACCAATGAGGGGGTACTTGCGCGAGGAGTCCATACTGTAATTTTCCCCATTGGAGATTGTGTCCTGTAAGCGTGGTCAAGGTGTCATTGGGATCATGGATCACCAAAATGAATAGATGTAAAAAAAAACATGTAAGGCCAAAAAAAAAATACTCGGTCTCTGGTCAGCGCGCGCGTCGATTTTAATCATGCGCGTCAACCTTTTTTTTCTCTTCAAATTAACACGGAAGCTACAACAGCGCCCTCTATTGCCACACCTCAAATTTTTGTACCAAGGAGCACCAAGGAATGGGGAAATTGCACCAAGGCAAATGATAAAGGGCACCAAGGCAAATGATGGAGGACACCAATGTATAATGAGGACACAAAAAAGCAAAATAGTACTCACCTTGTCTGAACAATTGAAGCTTGAAAAAAAAAAAAGCCACCCCAAAAAACGCGTCGCCGCATCAATTCCGGAACTTCGGTCTGACCAGAGACCGATTTTTGTGTGTGTGGCCTAATAGGGCTGTATCACACATACATGCACATACTTTTGGGGAGGATTTTGTATAGTTTGTAATGGTGCAGCCCAGCTACTATAACAAAAAGCCTAGAGAGTTTAGGTTAAGTTATTTGTGGGCAAGTTTCTATTTTCACTGTTACAGTGCCTTATTTTCTTTATTGTGTGTGTTTCATTTATATTTTACTCGAGTTTTGATGGGGGATTGGGGTTGGGGGAAAATGGATAATTTTCAAGAAAAGAAGAAACTGGCCAGATGTTTTGGTTTTTCTTAAGTAAAAAATTGTTCTGGGATTACTTCTAATACTGGTTGCGAAGTCTGGGGTACCCTAGTGACATTAAAATAATGTCAAATGTTGAGGGGGGAGGGGTAAGTTGCCTCAGTGATAATGTAGTGGATTCCTTGCGTCTCTAAAGTCAGAAATGCGGACATATCTTAGTTCCTCTGCGATATGAATCATTTGATGCTTTCATTGTCACTGAATAGCAAGCTGTCGCTACAAGATGAAACGAAAGGAAAGGGACCGAATTAGACAAAGCATTTTTAAAAATATGTGGCTCATTCCATTTATAAAAATACGGGATAAAGTACATCATTGTTATTGACTTTTAACTGTGAACATTTCATGTTATTTACATACTCTGTGCTCTTTCAGCAAAACGAAAACAATTTTTTTTACAATTTTGTTTTGCTGAAAGAGCACTTACCTTTTTGTGATCCGTGGACTGAACTTTAAAACGGTGGTTCTGTTTTAAATTCCGTAACTTGAAATTTACAAGAGTGATTTGAATGATTCTTGTACAGAAAAAAAAGCTTATGAATTAGGCTTTCATATCCTAGATTTTGAAAGTCCTGGATTTTGAACAATGGTCCCGACATTTGGGTTTCATTTTTTTTTTGACTCGCCATAGATGGGAATTCCTCATTGTGGTTTCCAGTATAAATATTCGGGTTGGAGGATTTTTGGCTGAATTTCTACACCAAAGGTGCTCTCCTGCGTGCTATTTTCGAGTTTCACCCCCAAAATGTTGATGTTGTGGTATAATGCTATTTCTTTAAATAGCAAAGGTTATTCACTTTTGAATAAGACATAAAACAAAACAAATGGCAGGTTCGACTAAAATTTGTATATTTATGGGTGAATTAATTTACAAAATCAAATTATTTGCGGCCCAAAAATAGTTCAGACGTATCATAAGCAATCGAAAGCAACAACATATTTTCAGAGGGCTGACAACGTCCAAAAGAGCAGAAAGAACGTTGTTACCTTTATTACATAATATTGTAAATTGGAGGGGAAAAAAAAATGTTGAAAAACATCGGGTAGAGCATTGTTATTGGACTTTTTGTTACTACGGCATTGATCCATTATGATCGGTGTTATACCGTTTAGTACCATTTGTTAATGATGTACATCTGATTATTTTTGTAATATAATTATTTTCAACAATTAAAATATTTTGTTGAAGTTATGTAAAGTACAAGTTAAAGTTTTACTTTTCTTTTCGTTGTAAAGCCTTTTTCCTCTTCAACAAAAGTCGGTTTTTCCCCTGATGAATAATGTCAACTTGTATTATTTTTTTTGAAAGAAGTTAAAAAAAAACCTACAATTTTGGGGTCTGTAACCTCTAAAAAAGAGACTTCGTTTGAGTTTCTTGTGATACAATCCTCTGGCTCCCTGCGATCAAGCTTGTCCCGGTAGCGGCGGTACCTAGGCATTTTCGATGCTGATCGCGTGAAGAACTCTGATAATAGACCTAAGATATAATGACGTCACCTTTTATTTACACCTGCGCTTTCCTATGGGAGACAGCTGAGGACAATGGCTGAGGACAACGGTAAACAAAGCGTGACGTCAATATGTCGCCGCACGGTTACAGGTACTTTGAATTTTGTAAATCCATGACCAGACATGGGGCGATTGCTTTTCGTTTGATGTGGGCAGTCATTCAAACGCGAACTTTAATACTGGAATTTGTATCCTTGAGACATTTCTTTGTTCTCGTGTAGTACAGTTTTCGAGTTTGAAAGTGTAGTTTCAAAAGGCTCTTATTTTGACCAGAATTGGCTGAAATTCTGACTTAAATTCTGACTTAATATCCCTTTTCTAAAACCCCTCCTATTTGCGACAGATCAACATACCTTGGAAATTCCTAGTTTTTGAGTTAAAGTCCATATATCTATTTCGTGATAACTTTGGAGACGTGTTTTGTGTATTCATCTGTAGAAATTGCCCTGTGGAGACGTATACAATCTTTTGTTCCCTATTGTGTGCATGTCTCCAGAGGGCACGGTGTATCAGATCTACTTTTGTATTTCTTGAAGAAAGAAAGGAAATTAACAAAATAAAATCTATATTTCGGGATCGAAATCGATAATAGCTACAACAGTTTCTCTTTGTGCGTTTAATTTGCAACGCACTGCAGATGAAAAAAATACTGTAATTTATTGCAAACAATTATCCGCACTGCGCGTATAGAAACTGAATCGAGGCGCCGGGGAATTAACCAATCCAAAATTATTCCATTTTGTCATTTCTTTTGTTTATTAATTAATAACCGTTTTTCCAAGTTGCCGATAAAAACGTTTGGGACGGATTGGTGCACTTCGTTTGTAAAATGCAAACCCTAATTTTCTACAGAGCGTAGTTTCTTGGTTAAAGAAATAATTTAAGTCAATTGATTGTTTTGTTCCCATATTGGACTCTAAAATCGACCAAGTGCCCACATGAACTTGACTTTAGATCTCATCAGGTCGCGTTCATGCAAATAAATATGCCTAAATTGTCAAAAAAAACTTTAAAGTTGCTCTACCGAAGAGTCTATTTCTCCTTAAAAAAAAAAATGGCACCCTTGCCTCGTGCGTTCATTGCCCGCAATTAGGCCTAGGGCCTATATTGTTCGCTTTTTAAGAGAATGATTTGTTTAATGACCTATTTTTTGTTAATCACACGATGGGTAACTTTTACCTGTTATGCCTTTCGCGCATTTTGTTCGTTTGCAACTAGCATCCAAAGAAGAACGTTCCCGAACCCAACCTGTTTAAATTTTAGCTCAGTGCGGATATTAAGCCTATTGTCCAACCTTTTCGTTTGTAACAAAAAATTGGTCATTAAACAAATCATTCTCTCAAAAAGCGAACTTTCGATGACGCAGACTCGGACGCGATTTCGTGCAACACTATCCCTAATGATTAGGCTCATCTCTGAGCGTCGTTACTGGGTGAGTCAAAAAAGCGGAACCCACCTCCCCCCCCCCCCCCAAAAAAAATACTGAAATTGCTCAATCTGTTCAAAGAATATCACCATTTAAACGCAATGACCCTAAAACATGTCTCGTCCAAAAAAGGCAATTTATTGTGTGTTTTGACAGTTTGGCACAACAAACAAAATGACACAGAATACTGACACAGAAGAACAGTTTCAAGAATTGTTACTAACTGTAGTACACAACCTGGCTAAGCAAAAACATGTGATTTATAAAATCCACTTTTCAAGAAGACGGGCCATCAAACGGACTTTGTTGCACATTGTTAACGTTTAAACTGAGATTTTATCACTTGTAATGTTTGAAGACAATTGTGACGACGATTCTTGAAATCGTATTTTTTGGACGAGACAGGTTTTATGGTCTTTGTTTTTAACTGGTATATTCTTTGAACGGATTGACCAATTTCAATTTTTTTTTGTCTAAAAGTTGCTATGAAATTGGCTTTCCATTCATTATTATTTTTGGTGCTACATAGTTTTTAAATATGAAATATAATTATTTGGGTCTGGGCAGTCCGCTTTTTTTTTACTCGCCCTATTACCAACATCGGCTAGCCAGACAGACGTTTTCAAGGGGTGCTCACCTTCCAAGTAACTGTTGGTTTAGGCCTACTTCATTTAGGGATTTAGGGGTCCTCTTCATTGCAACGGATCCGAAATGCCTTTAAAAATGGTGACCGACAATTTAATCGTTTGTAAAAATGAGATCCGAATTATTTTATTCAGTTTCGAAAAATCATGATGTCTCCCAATGATAATTAAAAAACGATTCCCAATCAATTCGATTCTAATTCTGCCCAAAACCGCGCCTGCCGCATTGCACCGATCAATGTAACGGAAAAAACGTTTCCGTTAAAATCTAATCGATAATCCATAGTGTGAAAGAACGTTCATGCATAATGTATGCACGCAACGTATATGCACACACACGTAAATATGCATACGTATCTAGCGCAGTGCAGGCTGAGGTTATCTTTTTCTCTCTACGCACCGCAGTACGCTCATATCCATCCACTTAGCAACGCACTATTTCCCAAATTAGCTGTACATTATTTCGAAAATATTCGGCAAATTAGGATTGAAATTTAGTACAAAACATTTCTTTCGACGTACTTATCAATATCATTGAAAGAAATTATTGTTTCTACGGGTAAATCATTCTCATTGTGGGTAGAGGGAGCGGCCATTGGCGGACGATTTACCGGTTGATGGGCAGTGACGAGGTTTAGCAACTGTTGCCTTGAGAATAAACGCCATAGCCACCGTAGTCCTGGCGACTGTAACCCGCCAACTACAAGGTAATTTTTCCTTTTTGATTCGTTGATGTGTGGATAGACTGTAGCCTGTGCGAACAAACTGTACATTCCGATACCATTTTGGGTCGAATCTTTTGCTTATTTTTGCGGGTTTGAAGGAGAAATACTGCGGGACGTTGGGCCTTGTTTTTCTCAAGCGGCGTTCCAAAATGGCGATTTTGCGCGGGCAGTTTTCTAACGTGTGCAAATTTGCAGTTTGTTCGGGTCGGGCCGCCGGGCCGGCAAGCAGTGGTACGTAACGAAACGTCCATTCTCGGCCGGGTCTTGTTTATGACTTGGATTCTCTTTGAAGTTTAAATGGTTGTTTCGTATTGTTTTATTACATTGCATGGTCACATTGTTTCATTTTGTGAAGTAGCCTACGACTTGATGATCAGATTGGGATTTGGTGTAATTTGTAGTGCATTTTAAATGTGAAATTCGAGAAAAAAATATGTTGATTGTCGGTGTTTGATGGGGTGTGTGTTTTGTCAACAATGACTTCCCATGCTCAGCTTAAGTTAACCTGGCTTTGTTGTATGGTTGTGTATGGATAGCCACCAGACTTGAAATGTGCAGTGAAGATATATTATGTTGCATTGTTGGAGAGTTTGCGATGCACAAATTCTGTTTGTAGCGCAAACTGTCCCAGGATGTTATGTACAGCATAACTTCACTACACACTTCCGAATCTGCGGTATGGCATCACTGCAAAAAAAGACACTTAACGTTTAACGTGGTCGAAGCCAAAATATAATACTACAATTTCTTTATCTCTAGAATGTTGAAATAACATCGGTGTTATGTTTGTAATATTTTGGCGATCATGAAGTGTAGGGCCCCTGTTTTGTTTTGATCAAATTAGAGTCAAAAATGTTTTTTATTGCTCAAAAATCACCTTTCATGCCTTTATTGTCAGACCCCCTAAAGCTACACGGTCCTTTTTCTACGCACTCACCTTCAATTTCTGTGTGACGATGCGCGCGCGTATGCAAGCGTTACCTGCGCAGATAATCGAGATTCGAGGATACAATCAAAAGCAGACTTTTTTCAATTCTAATGACACCCTTTTTGCAATTTTGAACGGATTCTTGGGGTAGAAATCATGATTTTCCTGCACGGTTTGTTCCTTGCGATTCAGCGCGCCGTGCGTGCTCATGGTACATCACGCGGTGATCGCCATCTATACTTGGGTCGCGTGTTGTCGCCACGCTGTCATAGTCATTTTACCCCCAAATTTCCCTAAAAAAAATCAAAACCCTGCCCTTTATCTATGACATACCTGTTTATTGAGAATGTCGCCAACTACATGTAGTTTGGTAGGTCCAATAATTTTAAAGTGGATTTTGTTCCCTTAAAGGAACTGGGCCCTACACTACACGATCGCCTGTATTTGATCAGAATTATGATAATTATCATACTTTCATAGGAATAAGATTTTTAAGAAGAGAATTGGATGTGGAAAGATTTTGCTATCGTACCATGCAACCCCCCCCCCCCCCCCCAGCCCAGGTTGGATTCCTCCGTTGTGTGTATAACGCGAGGGAGTCCAGGGTATCCATTTCTGCTGCCATAGTGAACTTTTTTACGTTTCAAGTCTTCACACAAGTTCGTACTGAGGATGTTTACTACGAAAGCATGGATCTGCGATTTATTTTCTGTAAACACGTTGCCCACGGACATATTTACTTTTTCTAAACCGAGCATCTTTGTAATTCCGGACACAAGGAATATGTAAATGAAATTTCAGCTTTCTCCATCAAGTAAAAATGTGGGGGGAAAATGTAAAAAATTTCACATTGGCGGCAGAAATTGATGGACGTCAGTGGGAATGCAATGAAGATGTCCAACCTGGGCTACCCCCCCCCCCCCATCAATGGTCAGGAACAGAAAATATGAGAAAACAACTCAAAACCTACTTTGTATGTTAAGATATACATGTACATGTAAATGTATGCATGGCACAACCATAAGGCAAAATAAAAAAACAAACATGTTTAGCGTCCTGCCTCTTTGACAAAAAGGAAGGAGGAGGCCCTTTTTTTTTTTTTTTTTCTTTTCAAATGGCCGCCCGACACATTTTTCAAGACAACGCGGCCGGGCTATTTTTCAAGATGGTTACCAGCTTTTTCAAAATGGCCGCCACTTGGACTCATTGACTATTTCCACGGCTTTATACACGGTATAAAAGTCTAAAAATACGATTTCTTTCGTCAGAGATCGTTACAATTTATCAATTTTTTTCTTTTTAAAAAAAAAAAGAAAAAAAAAAAGGAGGCGGCCTCTAAAAAGGAAGCGGGCGGGGACGCTAAACATGTTTTTTTTTTTACTTCGCCTAAGACTTACTTTGTGCAGGTTCTGTATAAAATGACCAAAACCTGGGTGCCAAAATTAATTTTAAAGGATCCTTTTCTTTCTGAAATACATGTCAAGATTTTGATCTTTTCTTCGCCTATGAGAGTGTGTGTGAGGCTACTAAGTAAGTGGCGGAATATAAATCCACCATTCGGTTTCGATTTTGGGAACCGCATTCAAAACCAACCTTCAAAATTTGTTAGCCTTCCATTTTTTTGGGACACAGGCTAAAGAAAGCAGTTTCTGATTGTTCTGCATTCACTTGCTGGTGGTCTTCTTAGGGTATGAAATGAATAGCCTGCCCATTTAACTTTCAGAGAGTTGACACCCATTTTTCTCAACATTCACAGCTCTTGAGTGTTTTAGTAAAAGGCCCAGTGGCCATTGAATCCTGCAAACTATAGCCAGTCATTGGGAGGGCATTGCATGCAGTACCTCACTCGTAACTGTTTGTTGGCATGACTGTTAGCTGAATGGGAACTTCCGGTGAAATCGGATAACCGTTATACGGTTTAAAAAAATTGGGATAACTGGATGTTGAAATGTCCGATTTCTCCCACCACTAGAGGTTACGCATTTTGCACACATTTTTTTTCCAGCTACTTCCTTTTAATGTTTGACATCTCCACGTTTCCTGTTTCAAAAGAACAGTGTTTAGTGCAAGGTAGTGAAAAGCAGGAAACTCATGTAGTTTGTGACTGCATTGCTACATGATATCCTCATATTACTTTACTGCCCTTGTTTTAAATGTTCAACAGTGCATTTCCTTGTGAATTGTTGTCAGGTTAAGCATTTTAACTAGATGGTCATCAAATGCTTGTGTAAACTCTTTATAGGTTAAACTTGAATAAAATAACTGGTGTTCCGAGTTTATTGCACTTCAGCAATGAGCATTTGTAAAATTCATAAGTTGTTACATACATGTATATGTTCCAGCTTTAGAATGCTCTGGTTTCATTGTTAATGTTATTCTCAGCCATTATGTGTACAGGTATTGATTCTGCAAATATTTACATCTCAACCAATTCCATACAGTCTGGAAATAAGAATCATAATTTCACTTTTAGTTTTTGTGAAATCAATACCCAAGTGGTAACACATCCTTTTTAATCCTAACTCCCTAGGCCTTTTTGCTAGGGTGAAGACTCAATCCTGCAAAATCCTCCAACTGGCTTCATGGAAAAAATAGCATAGCCTCAATCCTGCAAATTCCTCCATTGTTTCTTGAATATGGTCCGTGGAGGGTGACCACTGCCTGAATCCTGCAAAATCCTGCGACAGTGACTGTCATTAATGTTGAGGCTTGGCCAGTGACATCCTGGAGCAGTGCAGAGGATTTCAAGCATAATCCAGGCCTATATTTATGCATGGCTGAGCAAAAAAAACGCAATGTCTGACCCAAGACCTTGACAAAGTGCATCCTACAAAATCAGTAACGTACTTTTGCCAGGTAAGGCCAAAAAAAAAAAAGTCGGTCTCTGGTCAGCGCGCGCGTCGATTTTAATCATGCGCGTCGATCTTTTTTTTTTTTCCAAAATGTTCCGCGGTAGCTCCAACAGCGCCCTCTATTTCCGCACCTCCTCAATTTTTTTTACCAAAGAGCACCAAGGAATGGGAAATTGCACCAAGGCAAATGATCGAAAGCACCAAGGCAAATTATGGAGGACACCAATGTACATGAGGACACCAAAAAAGCAAAATAGTACCCCACCTTGTCTGTACAATCCAAGCTTGAAGGAAAAAAAAAAAAGAAGAAAAAAAAAAAAAAAGCCGCGTGGCTGCGTCAATTCCGGAACTTTGGTCTGACCAGAGACCAAATTTTTTTTTTTTTTGGCCTAACCTCAATCCTCCAAATGCCTCCACTTTGGCAAAGAGTATTTTGAAGGATTCAGGGCGGTTAGGGTTAATATAACCTCCCATTCAGTACTAAAGTTTAGTGTGTCATGTCCCAACCACAGCAATGGTCCCTGTAGTTGGAAAGATGCTATAGTTGGGGAGAAACAGTAGTACATTTTGTATTATAGAGGCTTCTCCCAAGGCTTTTTGATGGGTCAGTTTGGCATCAACTCCCAAGAGGGGCCCGTAAATTACACTTTTGCTGGAAATAGTACTTACATACTCCTTGATGTAAGTAATTTCAATTCCAAAAATGTTAGATTTGTCCAATCCAAGTGGCTGCTCTACTTGTACAAGGGTTTTCCCAAAGCAAGTTCTTGTGTGCATTTGATCATTTACTCCTGCTGCGTGTTTATCAATATTCATCAAGTACAAAAGTATGTGCTGCCTTTTATTTGTAATAGGCATAAAAAGTATTTGAAATGAGAATTCCATGTATTTATTTTATAATTTATTTATTTTCTTTGGAAGTGCTTCCTTTAGAAAAAAAAACTCTAGAGAGAACAGGAAATGCAAAATAAAAGTAATTGTAGTGGAAAGCGATTGCATGAATTTTAATAGCGATTATTGTTCCCCTCCCCCACAACATAACATTTCAATAAAAATGTGAGGCTTTTATAATTTAAGTGCCTTCCAATACTGTGTCTCCTTTCCCCTTTGAACTGATACAATCTCTGCAGTACAAAAATAATGGTTTTTTTTCTTCTTACATCATTTGTCATTTGTGCATTTGTTGCATTTGTGCATTTGTTTCTAAAAACGGGTGCTTAAGCAACTATTCCTGATGAAGTTTTAGCTCTGTGAATACTGTACATTCCGAGAAAACAATATTTTAGGATCGCAATTTCAGTTCAAAAGTTGCCGAGTCATGTTTTGAATTGCACCCAAAATCAGCATCCGGGACGCATTCGCATTCAGCCGATTGCAGCTACGTGATGTGCACTGAACTGACAAATAATAGCAACCGCGCACGGGCGTGCGTCGCGTCACAGTGCGTGCGTGCACCCATTCACAGATTCACTGAATTACAAACCAACCACTAACTGAAATTCTAAAAAATGTGTCACTTGATGCATCTTTGGAAATGGCCTTCTTTTACTGTTTTTTTTTCTTCAAAACGACAGCGTGCCAGAACGAATAGTTTCAAAGGAGTTTAGTGCCATTACTATCTTTAAACCAAGTAAGCTTTTCAACAATAACTTGGTCAGTTACTTTTCGGATAGCTGCAAATGATCTACTCTACCTTAAAATTTGGTTTAGTTAAATGAAAGTACAGTTTGACCATTTCGGATGGAGAGGACTGTTTTCTGTTGCTAGGGAACTGTGCGGTGATAGTCCCAAAAACTGCATGTGCATTGTGTGCTTTGTAAATTGATAATTCACTACGCGGGAGTTTGCAGTTTGGTGCGATTTTTGGCCATGTTTGCTTCCGATATTTGCCCATGGAACACATTCGCTCCAAACAGCAAGCTGCTATCAGCCTTGGTGCTTTGTCTTTACCATCACTCTTAGCCATTACTCCTCCCCAACAACACCACCCATAGCAACGGGGTCCGGCCCAGCATGTTGTCATTCCACTTCACCCCCTAATCTGTTACCATAGTAAACACAGAGCATTTGCCTTGTTTCTAGGCAACCCCAACAACCAATAAAGCATGCTCGCCCCTATTGGTTATTGAAGTTTGCAAAGTATGGTGCAATTTATCTAGCCACGTAAGAACAACTCGTACTTAGCCGAGTGCTACCAAGGAAATGGAGGAATTTGTCGTCTGGCGTCTGTGTAATTTGGGGATATATGTATGGCAGAGATAGTGGTGACGTTCAAAAGTGCAGGTTTTAATAACAGTATTTGGAATGATGAGTGTGGCATGATACTCCAGTGCATTGGAGACGTGAAGTGCACTGAAGAATGAGTACTAATTACATTTCTCATCGTCTAGTTTTCGACTCGATTTATCAAAGTGTGAAGCATTTGTTTATTTAGTGTTCAGAGGAGCAAATATGACTTTAAATCATAATAACATGTATTTCTTCAGAGAAAAAGAGGGGCATTTCAGATGACTGGATTAAATTTTTTAAATTTGTTTGTCTTAATCGCATTCAACTCATGGATGTTCTTTCTCCTAAAATTAACTAGTTTGTTTTAACTAACAGTTCCCCAAAATTATAATGGAGGTTATTTTCCGAAAGTGTTGTCCGAAAACATTTTATTTAATTTCATTTGTCTTGAATTCAACAAAACTCTCCACATATTCCTTAAAAAAAAAAACCCATCAAAAATATTAGTAAGGAGAAGCATATAAAAAGCTTCATCTTAAAGGTAATATATATAACATTTACAAACATCCAAAAACAAAACTACCAAGTTATTCTGAAATACCTTACTTGACTGTAAGTGAATAATAGTCTCAAGCATCCTGTGAAATCAATGGCACCTGGAGTGCTGTCATTTTTCGAGAAAAGTAGAATTTCAACGATAACCGACTTTTCAAATACTGCCCCCATTTTACCAAACTTACTTAGTCCACGTTTTGTTTGCAATCGGTTACGTATCCGTGAACTGGTGCAATTAAAGTCAGCTAGTCTGGTTCCCTGACCTGATAATTGCCCAACGCAGGAATAACTGTTCTGGTAAAGTAATCAATGGATTAGTATTCATGCACATACACCCCCAACACACGTTTATAGCAGCATGGATACTGATATTTACCGGTATGTTACATACCTAGTGTGGACATTCCTTTGTTTTATGTAGAAAAAAAAACTTGTTTTACTCGCACTGTGAACACTTTTTCAACCTGAAGTGTTGAGGATGATTTCCTTGAGTGTTCCTCTTCATTTTTGTGACTGATAACTCTAACCCCAAATTCTTGTGAAAGGGGGACACCTTGGGTGGCCATGGGAAGTCCACACAAAGTTCATTTTGCCTCCCGTCCCATCCCTGACCATTTTCAAGTCAATAGACCTTTATCATTCTGCCACCATTTCAGTCATGTTCCCTGTATCCATTAACAGTACTGAAGGATAATATTTTTGTGCAAAAAGGAACCAGACTATTTTTCCTTCCAGCCTCGCTTTGGTTACGTTGATTTGAATGGGCAAAAATCAAGATGGCTGCAACATGATAATGGTCTATAGGCATTACATTTTTCAGACTTTACTCTGAAATCACTTTAAATCGGAGAGAAAGACATACATTTCAGTTGTGTTGCCTGTATCCATTAACAGTACCATAGTATGATAGTACTAAATGATAATGTTTTCGTGCAAAACGGAACCAGACAATTTTTCCTTCCAGCCTCGCTTTGGTTACGTTGATTTGAATGGGAAAAGTCAAGATGGCCGCAACATGATAATGGTCTATAGGCATTACGTTTCTTTCAGACTTTACTCTGAATTCACTTTGAACATTTTAAATCGGAGAGAAAGACATAACAAAAGCATCTTTCAAACCTTCAAATTTTCAGACTTTTTAAAAAATTTAAAATATCCCTTGTGCAAGCCAATGCCAAATAAGATCCAAATTTGCTTTGTGTGTTAACAGGTGCTTTTGCCATCCTGGCAATTTTTTTCTATTTTTATTTAAACCGAAACTGATTTTGAAAAAAGACTCGGCCATGAAATTTCACACCACATGGGGATAGAGTTACGGTAGTGGTGCGAAATAGCATGGTTGAGTCTTTTTTTTGAAAATCAGTTTCGGTTTAAATAAAAATAGAAAAAAATTACAGAAAATGTAAATCAGAAAAACAAAACTGAATGTACTGTATGACCTCGCTAGTCCAAACACGTACTGAATACATTTTTGTCACAATTCATTTGAAGTAGAAATTTACGCTTTGATACGAGTTACCCCACATGGAGCAGGAAAAATATTCCCATGAGGATCAAAATGAATTGATATCCAATTACAACGAATACGTGACATATCACAGTATAGAATTTTATTTTGACAATGCAACAAAGGCAATGCAAACCTGCATAGAAATTTGCATTTTTGCTAGCCTCATGTCAACACAACAAATATACAGACACTGTCCCAGTCAGGCGTTCCAGTCGTTGCTAACAACAAACTTTTTCACTGCTGCTATGGGCGACAGCTGGAAAGCAGCTGACAAGACCGGTGACCTTGGCTGACCTTGGGCAACCTTCTGCAGTGCAAACCTTATGAATAATTAATCACTATCAATGTGTTACCAGATGAAAATTTGAGGATTTGGGATTCGTTACTCTTGGGTGTTTTTTTTAGAGCAGTGGTGTTGATTTAGATTGAGATAGTTGTAAAGTACTGTGTTTTTTTTCTTACAAATTAATATAAATGAATTGTCACTCTTTTTAGTACAGCTTTCATAAGAAGATGTGAAAGAACAGAACCCCCCCCCCCCCCATCCCCCGCCCCTTGATACCCCTACCTTCATCTCGGTACTACATCACTCCTCAATATCAAATAGAATGACATATTCAATTTGTGGGCAAATTCCATCCATGTGGAATGTATAAAATTTTAAAAATTGGTGGGAGGGGCATTTTTAATGTGCAGTTTTAAAATGTAATTTGAATAAAAGTGATTAAATTTAAATTAACCCTAATTGCCTAGGTCATTTTTTTCTAGGATTCATTCTCAATCCTGCAAAATCCTACAATTGGTCTCATGGGAAAATATTATATAGCCTCAATCCTGCCAATTCCTCAATTATTTCTTGAATATGGTCCGTGGAGGGGTGACCACTGCCTGAATCCTGCAGCAGTGACTGTCAATATGTTGAGGCTTGGCCAGTGACATCCTGGAGCAATACGGAGGATTTTAAGCATAATCCAGGCCTATATTTATGCATGGCTGAGCAAAAACAACCCAAGGTCCGGCCCAAGACCTTGACAAAGTGCATCCTACGAAATCACTGATGCACTTTTGCCATGTAATCTCAATCCTCCAAATTCTTCCACTTTGGCAAAGAGGATTTTGAAGGATTCAGGGCGGTTAGGGTTAATCCTTCAAGAAATAATGGATAATTTTGAAGGATAAAGGCTGTATCCATTCCCCCCCCCCCCATTTGTTCATTGGAGGGGTGACCACTGCCTCAATCCTTCAAAATCATCCAACAATCACTGTATTACATGTAGATTGGGGCAGTGTGGATGATATCCAGAAGCAGTGCGGATGATGTCCAGTATAACGTAGGCCTCAATTATGCAGTGCTGAACATAAACAATGCAGGGTACAGCTTAACCCTAACCCACCTCAATCCTCCAAACTACTCCTGGCAGTTTTGAGGGATTTTGGAGGATTGAGGATGAATGGTGTTTGAGAAGCATGAGGATTTTGGAGGATTGAGGATGAATGGTGTTTGAAGAAGAGGAGGATTTTGAAGGTTTGAGGTGCTGGGTGTCCTTCATTTCAACATCAGTGCAAAATTGTTGGGTGGAGGATGGTTTCTACATGCAGCAAAAAGGGGGTTCGGGTGAAGACATTGACAAACCGCATCCTTGACAATCAACTGACAAATCCTTCAAAATCCACCAAAAAACACTGCTTGTATGATTTTGGAGGATTGAGGAGGGTTAGTGTGAATTTACATTGTACTCCAAGTAATGTGAGAGTTCTCTGTATCTAAGGACGAAAAACCTCATTCAATGCATTATGCCATCCTGTACTCCTGCAGGCATTGGATTTATATTGAGAGGCATCACAGTCGTTCAAGATGCAATCAATCAGTGCGACTACTCAGCAGCAACAGATCTCAGCGCCGACGATCATCACGACACACCAGGCTCAGCATCAGCCCAGCACGCAGACCATACAGGCCCAGCAGTTTGTACAAGTCGCAGGTAAGTACCCCACAAGAAGGACGCACGGTCATTTCTCCCCTAAAACCGAAACCCCTTGCGTTTCAGTTTTGTCTTTCCCTGTTTCTCTTGCAGGGAAAATATTTACCTCACATTACCGCTGGGCGAGTAACTCGATTACTCGATTACTTGCGAGTAGTTTATGCTTCTGGTTCTACCTGTGGTTTTCATCTACTTTAGTACTCGTCCTGGTGCGAGTAGAAACAGGTACTCGCGAGTAGCAATTTAGGGTTTAGGGTTCCCGTGAATGACCCAAAATGTTGCACAGTAAGGATATCTCAGTGCTGAAGAATGTGGTGTGACTTGCAAGCTATTTGCTAGTTAGTTACTTCACGTCATACTAACATACAAAATATGTAATTGTTCTGCTTTTATGGGAATTCGCTTAACTATGAGCGAGTACTTGTTTACTCGCTAGTAATTTCTTTGCGAGTACTCGAATAGAAAAATCCACTACCTCACATCATATACCTACCTCAGATCATAGGCCCTATATTTTTGAATTGTCAGCTATTTTTTTCTTATTCACATAAACAATCTGTTTAATTTGAGATTTAAAAAACATTTGCTTATAAAACAAAAGAGTGTCTGAATTTTGGAGGGTTGAGATTTGTCATGGTTTGTCCTGATTTCAGGATTTTTATAAAGAATCCCTTGTGAAATCTGGAATTCCAGAGGTTTTTACTGAAAGGTTTTTACCTATAAAAAAATGTATGGAGAACAAAAGAAATTGCTATTTTCATGGGAGCATTTTGGCAAATATGTACTCACCATAGACCCTATCATTGGTTCGGGGCTTTCAGCAACTTTCAAACCCTAGCTCTGCTGAGTTTGTCCCACTGGACTGAAGGAGATCAACAGCAGAGGGTTGTACAGCATGGCATGGTTAAACTAAATTGACACCAGTGAGTTTTGAACCTACTATCTTTGGAACACTGAACTGATGGTCTACTAACTGAGCTCTTCAATCTTCCGCTGTTGATACGTCAAGGTCTTTGACGAAGGAACGCAAGTCTGAAGTCACATACATGTGGTGAAGCACAGGTCTACATCTTACTCCCCCAAAAAAGTGAACCTGATCTGTTGCCTAGTCTTGTTTATTTGATGAATTTCAAAGTGAATGATTAATTTTTATCGGTTTTCTTTTGCAACCAATGACAGCCCCAGTTACTGAGCCAGTCAAGGATGTCCCCTCCGCTGGCACCACAGTGACCCTGCAGACCATCCCCGTCAGCCAGGCCTCCCAGCAAGGGGTCTACCAAGGACACGTGCAGTACGTAGACGGGGGCGATCACACAAGTTCCATCTATGCTAACGGCGCTATGTGAGCTCATTATCAAATCATCCTGCATGCTGGCCCAATAACACCCACCTTAACCCCCCTCCTACCCTCTCTCCCTCCCCCTCGACCCCTTTCCTTTGTGCTGGCCTGGTTGGTGTGTGTTCACGTGTCGCATTGGTAGAAGTTCAGTTTTACTCAAATTGTAGGGCGAGATGAAAAAACAAAACAGGAAAACCATTGACAAGATCCTAAAACGAGCAAGTTGTGGGGTCTGCAGGTTTCACTGAGTCACAGATATACTTACATGGAGTATTGCTCAGAGTTGAGTAAATGCAATATTCCATGTAACAAAATCCACTTCAGGAACTGCATCAGTACATTTCAGAGTTCCCTGTTTTATGGCCGGTTCAGACTCTGCGCGAAAGCGAATGTGAACTCGAATTTGAGACATCACGTATAGTTTTCATGCTGCGAATTCGCAAAAAGTTGAACACATTCAATTTCAGCGAATTTTGCTGTGAATGTTTCCTGATGTCAGATTCGCTTTGCATTCGCATTCGTGTTAAGTATTAACTAACCTCAAGACAGATACAAAAAACACTCCAATTAAAAAAGCCAAAACTGAAATCTGTTTGATAAATGACAAATTAACTAATCAGCCAGCCTTTGTGGTTTGCGGTGCAGTATTTAGTGTTGGTGTTAAGGGGCCTTGCTGTGCGTTACATATTACACAACGCTTGTGGTGTCATGTCTTCCACTGTGGATTTCATTTTATTTCATTTCATTGGTTTTCTTAATTCATAGTGCAGCCAACTTTTCACGATTTAGAGACATATATACAGGATCATTTGCAGTTATCTTAAAAAGTAAACTACCAAATTATTATCAAAAAGCTTACTTGGATTAAAGATTGTACTGGTACGGGTACTAATCACCCCATGAAATGATTCCGTCTTGCTTGTTGTCATTTAAATCAAGAAATGTTGGTGATTTCCAATGACCGGTGATTTGACAGATTTTTGGAATAAAGGGGTTTTATTGACAAAGTTGTGTTTCATGATCAAAAAGTTGTACCGATGCATGGTTTTTCACTGTTTTCTCAAGTGTAATATCCACTGAGAAACTTCGTCAGGTTAGGTTTGAACATTCTTGTTTGGATTTTGAGTGGTGTAATTATTGGAAACGAACAAAATACATGAAAAGCAAATGATCCTGTATATATGTAGTGACTGCTCAAGTTCATTCTTGTCAGAGCTTTACTCAGTTCTAAAACGGCACGTCAGGAAAGGATTTTCACCGAAAGAAAAAAAAAGGGTTTGAAAGAAACTTAAGCATGAGCAAGAGAAAGCTATTGCATCAGATTTTCAATTAGCTTTTTTCCCCCACTTATAACTCCAATTGGTTGTTGTGATGTCCAAGTTATTAGGCTTCAACGACCAGGCAAGGAAGAATCAGATTCAATAGAGCTTTTACATTAGCATGTGGGACATGAGCAAACTGTCTTCAAAATAAATTGTTTTCGAAAAGTTGAACAAAGAAATGGACTGGAGAGGGTTTGAACATGCGACCCAAGAGTTACCGTTCCAGTGCTCTACCAACTAAGCTTTCCAGCCCTACGTTGGCGGTTCCCCAATGGACCGATCCAGTAAGCACCGCCCCATGGTGTTCTGACCAATCACAGCCGTGATTTATGTCCGACGTGCATGCACTAAGGTCCGACATGCGTGCACGCGCGTATGATGCGCGCGGAAGGAAAATGCAGCGTGGCATTGGAGAGGAGCACGTGTTAATTTGCCCACGTGCGCACTGGGCGGAGCTTACTGGATCGGTCCATTGGTCAATATCTTTGTTCGAGGGGCGTGTATCCTTTCAAGTGATCGCCATTTGCTATTTCCCAGGTCAGCATCTCGACTTTGGGTGTGATCCCTGGCTGCATGGCATATACAGCTATAAGGCTTCTGACTAGCCCCCTTGAACAAATAAATTGACCACTTAGGTAGCCACCAACATAGGGCTGGCTAGCTCAGTTGGTAGAGCACTGAACGGTAATACGGAGGTCACAGGTTCAAACCCCACTCCAGTCAATTTCTTTGTTCTTTCCCACTTTGAAGGGAATCTTATTCTTAATACTCAACAGAATCTAGATGGAATCGAAACTAATTACCAAAAAATTGGAGTCAGCCAAGCCTACATGTTCACATTATAACGTGGTGCATGACATTTGTCCCCACAATTCTTAGTTTCTTGTCTGGCCCGCATGTCATAACCATAGCATGAGGTACTTGTTTTTTCCCCCTCATGGTAGTTTTTTTCCCCTCATGGTAGATTAGTATGGACTCCGTGTACGAACCGCACATGTAGATGGTGCTTGGTGACCACTTTTGAGAGCTCCAATAGGAGGGACACAAAGGGTGCGCACTCTGGTTTGCACAAGTGCTGCGCCAAGTACGCACGACTAAAGTAAATCCTGAATGTGCACAAACCATGCATTCAAATGTCCCTCCCAGTGGTCTCCCCCAACTCTCCTTTTGTAACCGTTGAGGGGGTACTTGTGCACGGAGTCCATTGCATATATTTTTTTTGGTTCCCAATAACCAGGCTCTTTGCTAACCAAACATCTTCATGCCTCTTGTCATCCCTATGATTCTGTGCCATCCCTCAGATAATGAGCTCATACGCTTTGGCTCACACTTAATATTGTGTGCGTAATGTCTCTTAACATGGTTTGAGTGCCGTTATCTAACTTAAGGACGTGTGTGTGTTATAGTTTTTGATATACCGATTTGGATGTAACATGTGTTACTGCAGAGGGTTCCTCTATGAGACAAAGGAACATCTGCCATTGTAGGAAGCATCTCTCTGAACTGTGGAACAGCGTTAAACAAGAATTAATGGTTGAACAAAGATATTGACAAATTAGGAGAACTACCAACATAGGGCTGGATAGCTTAGTTGGTAGAGCACCGGAACGGTAATCCGGAGGTCGCAGGTTCAGAATCTGCTCCAGTCAATTTCTTTGTCCAACTTTTCAAACTAAAGAATCTAAGGTGTTTCCTTATCTGCAGACTTTCTGGTATTTAAACCCAACCCTAGAATGTGCATCGTACCTTGCAATGCAGGGTTCCAATTAAAATATGGTAAATTTACTTTGGTAAAGTTTTATTCAAGTTTTGATTCTGTGTAGAAGGAATAAGCAATTTAGTGGAAACTTAAACATGTTAATCTTAATGCTTAATATTTCAAAGTAGTTGCATTGAAAAAAAAAATTTTGCACAAAATTAAAGGCCTTACCCATAATTCCCTAGCATGATTTACTGGGAACCATACCCATCCTGGCAAATTCCAACACCATATGGGAAACTGCACACGCATATTTCTGATTTTGATTCTGGAGGTGTGCCAACCCAATGTAAAAGACTGTCAGTTTAGGGGCACTGCTCCCATCCTGACAGATTCCAACAAAACATGCCGTTGGGGTTTGATGGGTTAAGTTCTGTGATGGTTAATATGTGTCCATTCACCTGCCTTTGTAAAGAGCGCAACCCCTATGTACTGTATTTGAGCACACCATAGCACAGCAGGTATGCCATTCCTGCACATAAACTAACTCACGCACCCCCAATGTCTGCCCCACACACGACCCATGACCCCACACGACCTATATCCCACGCACCCTTATAGTTTAGCACCAACAGCCATGTGGCTTAACCGTACTAACCCCATGCAATGATTCTCTCCCCCCCTTCTACTTCTCGTTCTCCCTGACCGTTTCCTTCTGGTCCTGTCTCCGTCCTGGGGGATCGTTTTGGTTTTTGTTTTCCTCTTTTGTTCTCTTTCCCTTTTCCTCTCTGTTTCATGATGAAACAAATCTTGCTGACCATAGGGCAAACTATCCTTACAGTGAGGCCACGACGATGTACACGCAGGCCACTCCGGCCGGCGGGGCCACGTACTACTCCTCGGGGCAGGCACTCACCTCGGGGGCCCTTGGAAGCATCCAGACCCTGGGTGGCTCCAACATGTCCGTGGGTGGAGCCATCGTTGGAGGGAACCTCATCGGAGGGGGCTTGCTCGGAGGGCCGCAACTCATCACCCAGCAGGGGAACACGTACTTGTTACAGGGTCACACCATGGACGGTAATGGGCACCCTCTCACGCACACCACTCGTGCATCACCTGCAACAGTAAGAACAGTTAAGCTATTCGGTTTTGAACATACTTTTTTAAAACCGGCCAAGCACATTATTTATTCCCTTTTTAATAATAATAATAATAATAATAGTGGCATCTTATTAAGCGCAAACAGGTCCATCACTAGGTGACGCTCATGGCGCTATACAAAGAGTAAGCACAAACTACAAAACTTAAATGACAACAATTATAAATGACAAAACTACAAATTATAAATGCTAGGTTCAAGACATATGAATTGCAAGGTGCAGGCCGAAGAGGAGATTAGGATGTGAACAGGTAGGTTTTGAGTTCTTGTTTGAAGGAGATCGAAGAGGGAGCTTGACGGATAGAGAGGGGTAGACTGTTCCAGAGAGTGGGGCCTGCGTGAGATTAATAGACTTTAATCCATTAGCACATGTATTACATTGTATTTATAAATACCTAAGACAGTTTACCCAATCCTATTGGTCGAGAGCCCGTCACGTGGCTGGTCTTAAACGAATGATAAAGACATGGCTAGCTGGTCTTAAACCAAAAAAATATGTACTTGGTCGGTTTCAATCACTCTGTTTAACACTGCTTGGGGTCTGGGTGCTAATAGTTACCCTCGCCTTCGGCTCGGGTAATTATCAGCACCCAGAATCCAAGCGGTCTTAAACAGAGTGATTAAAACCTCCCGAGCACACATTTATTCCCTTACTAAACTACTTACTCCTTGATGAAGCAATGAGCCATAGAGTGCTGAGGCGGTTTGGGGCGGTATGAGGTAGTAGCAGGCAGGGCGCTTTGGGGCAGTACAGGCACCAACTGGTCAAACTAATCCAGCCATCTTTCACTCTTCGCATAGGACTGAGAGTCCTTTATAAGTCACATCTGGCATTTGATGATGCCATTTAGCCACTCCACCATACTTCATTTACGTTGAGCTGTGTGTGGTTTTGAGAATATGTTCGCTCAAACTTTCAAACAGTGTGCTCTGTTCGTCTTGAGAGAGGCACAAGGGAGACAAATGATGCTACTGCAAAAGTCCTCATGTTTCTCTACAATGAAAACCTTCTAGTTGTATTCGTAGTACATGGAAGAGCATTTCATCAGAACGTTTAAGAAGACACAGGGTTCCCACAGTCATGGAAATATCCTGGAATCATGGACATTTTACAAGGAGTCATGAAAAGTTGAAATTCCAAGAAAAAAGTCATGGAAAAGTTGTGGAATCCTGCACAACTCATATGTGATGATACGTTAATTTGGCTATGCCAGTCTTCCAATTTTCGGTCCAGTTAACTTTACTTCCTATTTATGCATGTATGCTCTGTACTTGTTGCTTGGTCAATGCACCATTGTGATGCGTATGTGGTGCTCGGTGGTCTTGTGTCAAACTGGACAGCTGAAAGGGAGTGGCGTCCCATGCCTCCAGAGCAATAGACTCCTAAGATGCCATGGAATTGGTTTATGGAAAGCCCTACTTTTGTCCTGGAAAAGTCATGGAATTTCATTTCGAGATTTTCATGGGAATCCCGAAGAATGTTCTAGTGAAATAAAACAATAATGAGTGGCTTAAATTTTGCTTGCAGGTCCAGTGGCTGTTGGACAACTACGAGTGCGCAGAGGGTGTCAGCTTGCCCAGAAGCACTCTCTTCAATCACTACATGCGACATTGTCAGGAACACAAAATTGACCCGGTCAATGCAGCTTCCTTTGGCAAGCTAATACGGTCGGTGTTCCTCGGGCTTCGAACCAGGAGACTGGGAACCAGGTAAGGTCTAGACGATTGAAAAAGAAAATGGCAGATCCCATTTTGATGTCTTACTCATGTATCTATGTGTGTGTCTTCGTCAGTTGCTATATTATTGAAAAAAGTACATTGGATAAACCTGAAATTTAAACAAACATTGACCCTGATCCCAAGATATGTCAAATTACAAGTGAAGTTTTGAGAAACGCTTAAAGTTCATTTTTAAGTAAGGGGAGAATGCAAAATTAACCAGGTGGAGATTTACCTTGGTTTTATAGGGTACCTCAAGGGTTAACCTCGGTGACTGCTTGTATCATTTTGCATGCCTTGCTAATAGTCAAAATTATTTTTATGTTTATATTTTCTAATCTGGTAGCCAAGATCTCAGGGAAACATTTTTGTCAAGAGCGTGAAGTTGCTTGACCTTAAAGTTTGGGGTTACTGTGAGGTCAAAGTTCGATGATTTCAGAATAATGATATTTGTGTGACCTATGCTTCTATAGTCTAAAGGTTCACTATTACTTTTGTACTTCAATAAACAGAGGGAACTCCAAATATCACTACTATGGCATCCGCATCAAAAGCTCCTCACCACTCAATCAGTACCAAGAAGAGAGTGGCCACACGGCCATGAGACAACAGCCAATCAACTCCGCCAAGAGGTTGGTGATAATTTCTGCCTTAGAAGAGTCCAGTTAGGGGGGCATGTAAATCCAGCCCCTAGGTACCCTGCTGTTCATGGTGGTTAAAATGTCCTCTCTTATGCTGCTCTGTGTAAATGCATTGGTTGTGTGCAAACATGACACCACCAAGTACCCGAGTGGCAAATTCACAATAGTTAATCGCAGTGCATTTCAACACATTGTTGTTGGATATCATTTCAAAGTTAAATTCTGTTTACATTCACATGAAGTATGAATCGGCTGTAAACATCCATTGTCTGATTTACAGCGATAGCAACATGGATGCCCTGTTAACATTGTTGGTGCACACCTTTGAATTAAGTGAAATACACTTAACTGTGCAGTTATGAATCTCATAGAGCGAGAGTAGGTTAGCCATGTAGGTGGATGTTTATTCATTTATGCATACATGTTTATGCATGCAGTCATTGTTAATTCTGATTGATAAATAGTATACCCATTCGTCCCATTGGTCATGAGCCCATCATGTGGGTGGTTTTAAACCGCTGATAAAGCACCGCCTGGTTTTAAACACAATTCTAGCATGTTGCGCAACAGTACGCACTGTCTACGTGCCAATTTTCCATAATAGAGGGGTATTTCACAAAACCTGAAGTAACTTGTTGAACAAATCGTTGGAAATGTGTGTATTTGTGACTTCTTGTGACTTTTTGACTGAAAGGTATTTATGAATGGGAATAAATATGTGCTTAGCCAGTTTTAAACAAGAACGTTTAAAACTGGCTTGGGCCCTGGGCGCGGTTATGACCCTCGCCGGCCAAGCACATATTTATTTCCTTATTTGCTATGTACGGAGCATTTCAATGGGAAAATCTCTGGGAATATTAGATATTGTTAGAGTTCCAGAGTATGTGTATAGCCGAGGGATACTTTTTGTTATCTTGACAATATCAGATTGAATGGCTGTAGAATTCATATCCACCACTGAAAAAATGTAATGGTGCAAACATTGCCCGGTATTATTTTTGAAATTACCATATTGTGCTCACCCCTCCTGGTATTTAAACAGTCACAGACAGTCGAAATTCACTTGCACTTCCCCTGCTATACTTTTAACAAAGGCTAGTCACCAGCAGTCAGATCACATGTCAAGCAAGCACTGTGACTAGTCAAACCGGGTCAACAGACAAAGCAGGCAACTTGTGTCACAACTGTTTTATCACTCACCCTGAGTCAAAGCAAAGCTGTATTAAGTTACTTACACAGTCCCAGCCAGTCAATCCTGCTTTATGTTGGCTGGGAATTCTTAACTGTTGAAAACAGTCACTTGTTTGATGTTGACTGAAAGGACTACTTGGCAGAGAATGTATGTTTGCATAGGATGGTTAAAGCAGCAATCCTTTCACTCCTTGGAGTAAAAAATAGGTTCTGTATGTACCATTACATTATTCTTTGAGTTCTTGTTTTCCTTTCCTTTCAGATTCAAGCCGTCTCCTTTAGGCGGCAAGCCCGATGGCACAGAGGGCGGAGGGGCAATAAGTGGAAGTGGCGGGGCCGCCCAGGACCCCGTACAGACCCAGACCCAGCAGCACCAGCAGTTCCTGGGTGATGCCTCCATGGCGCTGCCTGATTTCGGGGAGCTTAAGTTTGGTTCTACGCCTCTTCCAGAAGGAGTGACGCATGATGACGTAAAAGCCTTCCAGGCGCTCTACAGAGAGCACTGTGAGGTAAAAATCTAGTTGCTTGGAGCTGTTAATGAAGAGAACTTCTTTTTGTTTTGGAACCGACCGATCCATTGAGCCCCAACCACTGCACCCATGAGAAGCAACACATACACCGCCACAGATACTGAAATTTGTATCCTGTGGAGTCATTTCTGCATTCTCGTGTACTAAAGTTTTTCGAGTTTGAAAGTGTCCTTTCAAAGTGCTCCTATTTCAACCAGAATTAATTTCCTGGGCTGAAATTCGGACTTAATATCCCTTACATAAAATACTTCAATTTGCGACTGATCAACACACCTTGGAAATTCCTAGCTTTTGAGTAAAATCCATATATCTATTTCGTGATAACCTTGTGGAGACGTATTCACCTATAGAAAAATTGCTATGTGGAGACGTAAACAATCTTTTGTTCCCTATTTTGCACGTCTCCACAGGGTACTGTGTACCAGATCAAAGCCACTAGCCGCACTGTCATACACATGTGCAACATGACAGATTTTGTGCAGGCATGAAAGGGGCACTAAGTCGTGAAATCCCTGAAAATTTCATATTTTGGATTGTTTACTAATCCTATTTCAAACATTTGGTTGAAAGGAAACCAACCTAATGTTTTACCGTTCCTGAGAAAAGACGGAAAAAAACCTGGTCGTTTACATCGGACACGAAGGAGTACGCATACGTTTTTCCAGTCAAAGTACGATAAAAATTGTGTGTGTCACATAATTACACACAGCACCAATGCACAAATGTGGTTTCTTACACGTCCGCAAAAGTCGAACACTTAACAGATGGAATCACAACTAGCATGAACAGCCCGATTTTTGGGGGATCGCAAAAGTGGACCCTGAAATTCGTTCTCGCACGAAGAACACAAGAATAACACAAAAGGCCCAGTTTCTAAAGGATAGTTGTGTGAATGTTTATTTCCTACTTTTAAATGTTCTTTCCAATGAACATCATTTCACTCAAAGCGCGTTTTGTGGCCGAATTGGGCATATTCCAGGACGTAGTGTCCCTTTAATCACGGTCGTCATTAAAGGGTCGGTCTATTAATCTGTGGGAATGCTCTGATTATTGGCCTTTATTCAAGTTCACAAGCCCCTCGTGATACCTGATAAGCATTTGTATTGTTTCCTTGGCAGGCCATTCTTGATGTGGTCGTTAATCTCCAGTTTGCTCTTATTGAAGCCTTGTGGCAGACGTTTTGGAGGAATCCACCCGCCGACGCACAGCAAAAGTATATCTCAATTTTGTTTTTATTTAATGATGAACCAGAGATATAAGTTCTTCCTACATCAAAACATTTCTTGCTTTTATGTAATTGCAGATTGCACATAGTGTCATATAATTCTCTTGCAAAAAAGTCAGGGTCTTAATCATCATTGATAACATTTTGTGAATATTGTGGATAGGAAAGGTTCATAATGAGATCCTTTACCAAGATAACTCTTTAAATGCCTTGTAAAATTAGGATGTATGGATGAAATGGTAACTTAATTTTGCAGGGTTGATACTGTAATTTGACTCCAAAATTCACAAGCAAAAAGGTTTAAAAGCTCACTTTCCTGTGAATACACTTAATTCTACCCACAGTTAAGAGGAATGTAATGTGATTTAGTCATAGTTAAGATTATATAACCAATATACAGATCCTTGTCATTTGATTGGTGGAACTCACATCACGTGACATTCGTTATTACTCCCATTCACGCCGGGTCTCAAAAAGTACTATCCGCCCATGGGGAGTGGGAAATACTATTGAACAGTTAGGATCATCCTTGTTCCAAGACGCGGCATTTGTGTGTAAAGGGATGCTGGTGTGCGCGTTCAGCGTTGCGTATATTGTTCCAAAGAGCCAGCGCTACAGAGTGGGGTTCAAATATTTTTGTGAAGGGTGGTTTGGAAGAGAGAAATACATTTCCCATCAATTTTGTAGTGAAATAAAAGTTCAAATATATATCAAATGACAAGGTTCTTTATGTCAGTTATATAAAACAAATATTGAGTGGCTTTAAATGGTGAAATGGGAGGAATATTATCGCTCGGTAAAATCTGGACTTTTCCACTTCACTCGGCTTCCCCTCGTGAAATGGAAAAGTCCAGATTTCACCTTGCGATAATTAATATTCCTCCCATTTCAATCTGAGCCACTCAATATTTGTATACTAAGACACACGCTCTACTCAGAGATTTTAACATGTATTATGTTACTCAATCTGGAATGTTATTTTTCAGTGAGGTAGACGTCGAGAAAAGACTTCCCAAAGCCAAGCTGGCCTCCTTATGCCAGAGCAATCCAGTCCAAGAGTATGTGAAACACTACGACCACGTACTGTACCAGGGATTGGTGGAGGTCCTAATACCGGACGTGCTACGGCCAATACCAAGTAAGCACGTCCCTGTGGTACCATTATTGTTGAAGTTCTGAATTACACATGAACAGGGTGATTAAAAAAAAACGAAACCCAAATGTTGGGACCATTGTTTTAGGGAAGTTCTGCATGTAGCATTTTCAAATTCTAGGATATGAAAGCCCAATTCATAAGCTTTCTTTTAGTACAAGAATCATTCAAATCACTCATGTACTTTTCAAGTTACGGAATTTTAAACACAACCACCGTTTCAAGGTTCTGTCCATGGATCGCAAAAAAGTTCAGTGTTCTTTCAAACAAATCACATAAGGATGTGTGTGAATTGTTTTCGTTTTGCTGAAAGAACGCACACCTTTTTGGTGATCCGTGGACAGAACCTTAAAATGGTGGTTGTGTTTAAAATTCTGTAATTTGAAAAGTGCATGAGTGATTTGAATGATGCTTGTACTGAAAGAAAGCTTATGAATTGGGCTTTCATATCCTAGATTTTGAAAGTGCTACATGTAGAATCTCCCTAAAACAATGGTCCAAACATTTGGGCTTCGTTTTTTTTTTACTCACCCTGTATGCCATTTGCATGTCACCAGTTCACAAAATCTAAATAACCATCGTGCATAACATGACTGAGAAGTGGAAGTGACTTTGTATAAGATTTAAATTTAACCGCACAATTAACGTAACCAGGAAAAGTGAGCCTCTTTTTAAATCATGAAACAGAATTTTGATTGATAATACAGACATTTTTACCTAATGATCCCCAAGCAGCCAAACTCCAACACAAGGGTTTGTTGGAATCTGTTAGGATGAGTACTGCACTAGTAAACTGACTGAGCTTTTATGTGGGATTAGGCATACCACAAATAAACAGAGTCCAACTGTTTTTTGAGCACAGTTTACCACATGTGATGCGATCAAGCTACATGAGTCGTTTGTCGACCCTGGTCAAATTTTTTTATTACAGATTTCAAAAGAGCACAATCTCAGCATTACTGCTGTGAAAACCGCATGCTGGTACCATCTTTAGTTCAAAAATTATGGAAGTCGGAACTCCAAGAGATGTGATGAAGTGATGTGATTTAGTGGCTCTATTTTGGCCTGTATCTCCACATAAAAATTCCCGACAAACGACTAGCTTGATTGCATCACATATGGTGTTGGGATTTGCAAGGATGAGGAAGGTTCCTAGTAAATCACCTTAAGGAGTGAGGGTTAATCGACTGCACATTGCTCATAGACCTGATAACGATATTGAAATTGAATTGCATGGTTCCTATTTTTCAGGTGCCTTGACACAAGCTATTCGCAACTTTGCGAAAACGTTAGAGACCTGGTTGAAGAACAGTATGACTGGTATCCCACAAGACATGATCGGTCTTAAGGTAAGAAGAAAAAAGAAGAAGAAAGTCACTGATTTTGTGAAGTGCTCTTACAAGTGTAAATGTGAATATTAATTTTTAAAACAGGGAAGTGTCATTTGAAGTGAATTGTCAATTTGAACTTTTGTATTATTTTCAAAATAAGAGACATGTATGAACAGTGATTTTACTATAAAAACCGGATCTACTGATTTAATGGGGAAAAAATTGCTCAAATAGAACATAGGGATGGTACCAAATATCCTGTGAAATTTCTCCGTCTTAGGTGGTATCATTCAGATGAAGGTGGTAACATTCATTAGCAATGGAAACAAAATTCTCTAAAAAAATGACTCAAAAATCATGCATGTGTTTTCTCTGTTTTCTAAATATGTACAGTATGTACTGTGCTTTTGCTGCCAAGAGTTAGATGTTACGCACGTTAGGCCAAAAAAAAAAAAATACTCGGTCTCTGGTCAGCGCGCGCGTCGATTTTAATCATGCCCGTCAACCTTTTTTTTTCCTTCAAATTAACACGGAAGCTACAACAGCGCCTTCTATTGCTGCGCCTCCTCAAATTTTTGTACCAAGGAGCACCAAGGAATGGGGAAATTGCACCAAGGCAAATGATAAAGGGCACCAAGGCAAATTATGGAGGACACCAATGTATAATGAGGACACAAAAAAAAGCAAAATAGTACCCACCTTGTCTGTTCAATACAAGCTTGAAAAAAAAAGCCACCAAAAGAACCCCAAAACAACGCATCAATTCCGGAACTTCAGTCTGACCAGAGACCGACTATTTTTTTTTTTTTGGCCTTACTTAAGATTTTGTGCAGAAGGGTGCTTAACAACCAACCTGATGAAGTTTTAGCTCAGTGATTGTTGTGTATTCTGAGAAAACAATATTCTAAGATCTCGATTTCAATTCAAAATTTACCGAGTCATGTTTGGAATTGCGCCCAAAATCAGCATCCCGGACACGTTCTCATTCTGCCGTTTGCAGCTACGCGATGTCGCACACTGAACCGAGAATTATAGCAATCACACACGCGTGTGCGTCGTGCCAATGCTTGCACACACCCATTCAAGGCTCCGCTGAATTGAAAACGAACTACTAACGGAATTTTCAAAGATGCATCTTTGGACACATCTTTTGAAATGGCCTTCTTTTATTGTTATCTTAAAATGATGGTGTGCCAGAAAGAATAATTTCACAGGGAGTTTAGTGCCATTAAACCAAGTATGCTTTTCAATTAGTCAGTTAGGCCTACTTTTTGATTGCTGCAAATGACATACTCTACCTTTAAGCCACAGACTAGAACTATCTATACTGGAACAAAATTCAAAATGTGTGGCCTGCCTTGATTATTGATGTTAATGAATGAATGGCCTTGTGATGCTTTCAGGTGGGTGCCGTGACCGCCTTTGCTCAGACCCTCCGTCGTTACACCTCCCTCAATCACTTAGCACAGGCTGCGAGAGCCGTGCTGCAGAACACATCACAGATCAACCAGATGCTGAGCGACCTCAACAGAGTAGACTTTGCCAATGTACAGGTTGGTGCTCCTTGAATCTTGCCTTGCCTTTTTGCCTTGATACCGTAACTCCAGCAAAGAGTTGAATGGGACGCTGTGCTGACAATCTGGAAGCCAGTCTCCTCTATTCATTGCAGTTGAGCGCCAGAGCCTGGTTCTCCGCAAACATCTTTCATATTCACTCCTTTATGGTGTCCGTCCGCCTTTTCTTATCATGTTTTTGAAATAGTAGGAGATGTGACTTTGTCACTTTGCAGCAGCCTTGTACATAAAGTACAGTTAAAGTGGCAGCTCAACAGAAACTGAAAATAATTGGAAGAATGTTTTTAAACACCCCTCTAGCTACGGTATGGTATGTGCCTCTCTCGAGTAGTAGCAAACAATCTCCTTATATGGAGATCGGCAGTGCCTGGCGCATGCTGCATGATGTGGCGCATTATGCCGAGCGCCTGTGTAGTGTGCTGATTGGCTACACAATGAAAAAGGATGATGTTGATGCGCGCAGAACGTCGTAAATTAACTCAGGACGACTGCGATTGATTCCCGCCTGGACCACGTACAAGTGGAAATGTTCCTACTCTTGTGACTGTTTTTGTTTAGTACAGATTGATTGGGATCGTCTCAATGTTGTCTTAATTACACTCGGGTCGCCAAAAATCGAAGACTGATTTGTTTCCGACGGTTGTGGCTCAGGTGCAGCTTGATCCTGAGAAGTCAGTCGCCGCCTGATTTTTGTTGTCTCAAGGTTGACCTGCGGGCAGTTTAAGGCTGTCGAAAGCAGTCAAAGTGCCATCTACTGGTGGCACAGAACCCATAATGTAATTAGTGTTGTGAGGTTTGTCCAGTTTTCAGACAATATGTGCTCTTGTCATCTCCTCCCTTCCCCCTACTCCCACCAGGAGCAGGCATCCTGGGTGTGTCAATGCGATGACCAGATGGTCCAGCGTTTGGAGCAGGATTTCAAGTCGACCCTACAGGACCAGAACTCCCTGGAGCAGTGGGCTGCCTGGCTGGAGGGTGTGGTGACCGAGGTCCTGGAACCCCATGAGAACTCCCCAAACTTTGCCAAGGCAGCGCGGCAGTTCTTGCTGAAGTGGTCATTTTACAGGTGAGGGTTTGTGTTTGCGATGTTCGTCCAAAATTCAAAACTAGTCCTGGTAAAAGTGTTATGGTACAATCTTTGGTTTGTCAACAAGTGACCACTTTGTTAAAGTTAGATCCATACAAGACAAAAAAATTGAAAAGATGGCTAGAATTCAAGGGCAATCCCCAATGATTAGTTTATGGCTCTAACATAGTGCTGATAGCAACTGGGCAAACTTAAATCTGATAACGCCACTTAGTTTGGTAAAGTTAGGGGAGAATGCAGAAATATCTCGAGTTTCACCTCAGGCTTTTTTATGTGGTTTTACAGGGTTTTACAGGGTACCTTGGGGTTCAACCTCAAGTTAGCGCTGGTTATATTTTGGATTCTTCCCTCATTTACCCAGGTTCTAGATCAAAATAATTGTATTATAAAATGTCAATTCAGTATTGTTTCTTTTTGCCGTTCACCCAAAATTTTATAAACACTGTATACTCAGTGTTGCCCGAGGGCTTGTAAGAAAACATTCACAAGCTTGCTCAGGTGGGACTCAACCCCAAACTCCTGCTTACCAGTGCATGCAACTTACCACTCAACCACCAAGCTTTCCGGGGTTGGCTGGCTGGTGCAAATCTGATATAGCAGCGGGCACCACAGCGAATTAATCATACAAATGGTGATTATAAAATATATTAAGCGTGACCAGCCAGCTCGGTATGTATTTGATGATACATCATCTTGTTAGTTGCGCTGTTTCCAAGAACAGTCATGTTGTGTAATCCACTCGTATTAATTCTGAGTTCTCATTTCATTCTCTTGCAGCTCCATGGTGATACGTGACCTCACACTCCGCAGTGCCGCCAGCTTTGGGTCGTTCCATTTGATACGCTTGCTGTACGACGAGTTCATGTTCTACCTGATTGAGCACAGAGTAGCAGCGGCGACGGGAGAAACCCCTATTGCTGTAATGGGTAAGCCCAAAAATTTGCAAAGTTGTATCGAAAAAAAACTGACATCGGATTGAAAACGACGTTTCGCAATTACTGTAAATGCTGTAAAGATGTCAGATTTAGTTGTGCAAAATGCAACGCTTAAAAAATATTGATAGAAGTAGGCTCCTTTTATGCCTTTTTAAAGGGTGCATGCGATGAATCTTTCTTAAGAAAACATTTTGTGCAACTTGCTACTCCTATTAATTGTATGAAAACTTTTTGATATCCCTCTGGTTACTTTTATTGAAAAGTGCACTTCTTTAAACATTTCAAAATGTCCAATTTTTTTCCAGGCAACTGAGGGCGCTGTTGCTGTGATGTCATTTCAGGAAGACACTGTTCAGTTTATTGGGTTTTTTGTTCTCTCCTGAAGACGGTCAGAGCATACTGACCGGAACGTAGAGTTTATACCTCTGGTTCTTTTCAGAACCATTCTCTTAGTTGAGAAATTCTTCGCACATGGTGTTTCCGCAAACCTTTCATTATTTAGTATCTCCACCATGCAAAGCCTCAAATCTTACTAATCCAAAGTTTGCTCATTGAAAACACTTGTGAGAAAGGTTTGCTCATTGGGTTACTGCCATGTACTGACACAGCAACGAATCACCAACGAAAAGAAAACTTGTGACAGCAAAACATCAAAATTTCTAGCAACTTTTATAGTTGAAATAGCTGTAACATTGAGGTTTCTGCCCGGAATGACATCACAGTTTTGCTCATGAATATGGAAATTGGCATTAGCATCAAAACCATTAAAGCTACAGTCCATCATTTGTAATTTGTGCATTTTGTTCGTTTGAAGCAACAAAAGAGTTCAAAATCTAATGAAGGATACTGAGCAACTAACCTGATGAAGTTTCAGCTAAGCTTCAGCTGTACATTCCGAGAAAAACAGCATTCTAAGATCTCAATTTCCAATCAAAAGTTACTGAATCATGTTTTGAATTGTTTTGAATTTGCAGCTATACGCGACGTCGCGCACTGATCCAACGAATTATAACAACCGCGCGCGCGTGTGCGTCGTTCCAATACTTGTGCGCGCTGCGCTGAATAACAAAACGAACTACTAATTTAAATTTTCCTACGGTGCTTCGTAAGAATCACCGTTGGAAATGCCTTCTTTCGTTGATTACTTCAAAATGACAGCTTCCCAGAAAGAAAAATTTCTCAGGGAGTTTAGTTCCCTTACTATCTTTCAACCAAGTTTGTTTTTCAACAATAATTACGCCAGTTACTTTTCAGATGGCTGCAAATGATGGACTATAGCTTTAAGGCACCAAAATACCCTTTTAAATGGTAAAACGCAAATTGAAAATAAGGTTAAATGGAACATTGAGGTGCATTTTCAAGGATTGCATTAAAAAGATTACATTGCATGGGCCCTTTAGGATTTGTTTTCTCCATAAGCCAGTTTCATCTCTGACTGCTGTGTTTGTTCTATCTTTCAGACAAGGTAGACGCCTCGGCTGAACTGGCCATGAACAACTCACTGCCAACCACCAACAACATCAACACCACCGCCGGCAACACCAACACCATCATTGTCAACATCCCCACCACATCAGCCGTAAACTCAGTCGTCAAAGTAGTCAACAGCAAATGAGAGCCAGTCGTGTGTGCTATAGTAGACCCCTCACAAAACCCTACAGGTACATAATTTATTTATTGAGTCAGCTCACTGCGTGTATTGGCGATGTTCTGGCACATTTTTTTTTTCGTATGGGAGGAAGTTACGCCTTTACTTCGCGTGAGGTACTCATTGGCACCACAGTAGATTCTGTCCCTTCCTTCATTGCTGTTTTCCTTTAAAGATTACAATTTCATGTATGTTTTTCTCTGTAAAGCCCGTCAAACTGAGATGCAATGAACTGATCTTGGTGACTTGCTTTTGAAACGGATGCGTAATCAGTCGCCCTGAATCTTTGCAGAAGTCTGTTAACCCATTGGTCCCTGTACAGCCCCAAATCGCCCCAAACCGCCCTGCCTTCTACTCCCAGGACCGGCCCAAACCACCCTGCCTGTTACTCCCTGTACCGCCCAAACCACCCTGCCTGTTACTCCCTGTACAGCCCCAAACCGCCCTGCCTTCTTCTCCCTGTACTTACCCAAACCGCCCCGCCTGTTACTCCCTGTACCACCCCAAACTTCCCTGCCTGTTACTCCCTGTACCACCACAAACCACCCCGCCTGTTGCTCCCTGTACCAGCCCAAACTTCCCTGCCTGTTGCTCCCTGTACCACCCCAAACTTCCCTGCCTGTTACTCCCTGTACCACCACAAACCACCCTGCCTGTTACTCCCTGTACCACCCTAAACCGTTATGTCTGTTACTCCCACAACCACCCCAAACCACCCCGACTGTTTATCCCAGTACCACCCCCAAACCACCCCGCCTGTTACTCCCAGTACTGCCCCAAACCGCCCCGCCTGTTACTCCTTGTACCGCCCCAAACCGTTCGAGCTCTCTATAGTTTTTGGATTCAGCTGGGAATAAACACAGGGTAATACAATGTAGTACAACTACAAGCGCTAATGGGTTAATATTCTTTCACTTTTCATCAGAACTTTGTAGAATCGTAAAGAAGTATGGAAAAAAAACCTTCAGTACAATGCTTCTCATGTTTAAAAACCTGTATGGCTATATGTATGGCCTGCATGATGTAGTAAATGTATAATTTAAAATGTTCCTTTTTTGAACATGTAGTATGTAGTTACCCATAAGTTAATATGGCCAGTCATTATTTTTTACTGTTCTGATACATGCATAGTTTGTTTCCTATTGCAGTTCAGGTTTTTGACAAAACAACTCCTACTTTTGTGGCATTAATTTACCAAATATAAAAGTACATGTCTGTGAAACTTTGTATGGCACTAGGTTCTGTTAAAACCATAATATATCCTAGACCACAGTTTGATCTTACCTAATAGGAGAGTCTTCAATAGAAAAACAATTTGTACTCCACCCTGTGTACCATACAATGCCCAGTCTTACGCACGCATGAGATGTGTCCCATTGTCGTGATGCATTGGTCGGTACAGATTTCGATATCAGTATCGATCAAGTCCGGGCGAAGACCATTAGTCGACTAGTGGTTGATTTGTGACGTAACGTATGCCTGCTCACTAATAGCGAAGTGCAAACGCCTCAAGTCAAACCGTTGTCAAAACTCCTGGTTTCCTGTTGTGCTTTATGATGCCGGTGTCTATTGGTAGCCAGCGACGCAACCGTACCCCAGGCTCTGGTTCCAAATAGTTGACTAGAGTAGTCTAACCATCCTTCGTTCGAGCGAAGTTTGTCAAACTAAGGTTAACTGTAGTTAGCGCCCGAACTTGCTCTTACTTCACAAAGCTTTCACATAATTATATAAATCATGGTCTGCTCCAAAAGAGGCTTCCTAAAATAAACCAAAGTGAATTAATGTTTTCCTCCAAGATCTTGTTATGGTATATCACAAGCAGCCGATATTCTTCAGTGAGAAGCTTTTTAAAAAAAGAAGAAGAATGCTGAAGGGCAAAACCCAATATTGAACTTACATCTCACTGATGCAAATTCCATCTAAGAAATAGCTTGGTAGCGATACCAGCTGCTATATCAGGTTCAAACCAGCCAGCTGACCCCGGCAAGCTCAGTGGTCGAGTGGTAAGATGTCTGCACTAGTAAGCAGAAGGTCGTGGGTTTGAGTCCTACCCGAGTACGCTTTGTAAAAAAAATAGTTTCGCTACTGTTTTTAGAAAATACGTCGGTGAAGGGCAAAACCCAATTTTGAAAGATTTATCAAGTTGCATTTCATAGCCAACTTGACCATGTGAACAAGTGGCCAAGACGCGAACAGCTTACGTGCATCAGCTGAGGTAGCAGTATTTTTATGCCCCGCGGCGAAGCCGAAGGGGCATACTGTTTCCGCCTTGTCCTTCCGTGGGTGGGTGGGTGGGTGTGTGTGTGGGTGGGTGGGTGTGTGGGCGTGTGTAAACACCGGCAATCGTGGACGTAGGACAAAAGAATTGGGGCGCAAACAATACGTCCACGATTGACCGAACGTCCACGATCTCAAATCGTGTACAAAACCAATGAGAGCTGTCGCTAAAAAGTTAGAGTACAAACAAAGGAAAGAGGATTAGGGACAATGGGGCGTCCACGATTGCCGGCATTTACACACGTGTGTGTGTGTGTGTCCGGACAAATCTTGTCAGCGCGATAACTTGAGAAATACTTTACATATGAACTTCAAATTTGGTTTGTGGATTGTCCTTGGTAATCCTAAGAAGCCTTTTGCATTTGGGGCCAAAAGGTCAAGGGTCAAGGTCACAGTGGCTGAAACAATAGAAATTTTGTCAGCGCGATAACTTGAGAAATACTTTACATATGAACTTCAAATTTGGTTTGTGGATTGTCCTTGGTAATCCTAAGAAGCCTTTTGCATTTGGGGCCGAAAGGTCAAGGGTCAAGGTCACAGTGGCTGAAACAATAGAAATTTTGTCAGCGCAATAACTTGAGAAATACTTTACATATGAACTTCAAATTTGGTTTGTGGATTGTCCTTGGCAATTCTAAGAAGCCTTTTGCATTTGGGGCCAAAAGGTCAAGGGTCAAGGTCACAGTGGCTGAAACAATAGAAATTTTGTCAGCGCGATAACTTGAGAAATACTTTACATATGAATTTCAAATTTGGTTTGTGGATTGTCCTTGGCAATCCTAAGAAGCCTATCGCATTGGGGGTCAAAAGGTCAAGGGTCAAGGTCACAGTGGCTAAAACAATAGAAATCTTGTATTTATTCTGAGATCATAGGGATTAGGGATTAATTCATATAAAACCTACAGAAGACACTAATGCTGTCAATGAACGTTCCATTTGACCAAGGTACATGTAAGTTGATGTAAGAGTGGTGTTATGTCATGGAAACAGTCACGGTTGCGGGGCATTTGTGTTTGTAAACACACCTGACTTGTTTTTATTGAATTTTGGTAGCAAGCATTTCTAGTCAGTCCTCAAATATTTATAACCAAGTGCCCTTCTGGTGTCATTGTTACATTCCAGTGTAAAAGTTATTTTGTAATCTCAAAATACTGATGTAAGGCCAAAAAAAATATATAGTCGGTCTCTGGTCAGCGTGCGCGTCGATCTTAATCATGCATGTCAACCTTTTTTTTCCTTCAAATTGTCAGCAGTAGCTACAACAGCACCCTCTATTGCCGCAACTTCTGAAATTTTTGTACCAAGGAATGGGGAAACCGCACCAAGGCAAATTATGGAGGACACCAATGTAGGCCTATATGAGGACACAAAAAAGCAAAAAATAGTACCCACCTTGTCTGTAAAATCCATGCTTAAAAAAAAAAAAAAAAGCCAAAAAAAAACAACAAAAAAGACGTGTCGCCGCATCAGTTCCGGAACTTTGGTCTGACCAGAGACCGACTATTTTTTTTTTTGGCCTAACAAGTAGATATTATTTAAAGCAATGTCATTTCAGTTGGTTAACGTTTTTTGGAGGTATGTACATGAAATCTGTAATAAGTAGGGACTATAGTTATAGATATTATTTCTGAATGCTTTTTTGATTGATGTATGAAATATCCCAAATTTATACATTTGTAAATAAGAAATTGAGTATAATGAAAATGGTTTGTTATTGTATATTATTCTTGATTTGGAAAATCCCCGTCGTACAATGGTTTTGATGGGAACAACAGCTGTTATTGTAAATATATCCCTATGTAGATAAAACGTGTCTTTGCTGCAAAACAAATACCCAAATAAGTGGAAAGCATTGTCTTGGAAATCAGAAATGACCATGGTAACTTTTTACAATGTGATTAGCAGCAAGAAGTTTGTTGTCAATTGCATTGGAAATCCTGTCAATAGTTTTTAGGCTGTGAATTAGTTTGAAAATGATAAGAACAATCCTCCCACCATCATGTTCAGCAAGCGACCAGATAGACTGTTTGCACTGCAGCCATATTTGAGGTGTGGGCTTTTGTTCAACAGAGGTATACGCGTGATTAGATCAGTAGTTAATTGTTAAAGGTACTATACAACATTTGCAAACATCAAAAAACAAAAACTTCCAAATTACTATAAAAAACCTTACTGGACTGTAAGTGAATAATAGTCTCAAGCATCCTGTGAAATCGTGGCACCTGGTGTGCTGTCATTTTCAAGAATAGGGAATTTTTGTATTTTAATAGTGGAATTTTTGGAATTTCCAAAGATGGTCAGCCGACCATCGTTGGAAAAAAAACTGACTTTTTCAAATACTGCCCCAATTTACCAAATTTAATTAGTCCACATTTTGTTTGCAATCAGTTACACATCGTGAACAGGTGTAAGCAAGCAAGCTAGTCTTATTCCCCAACGTCTATAAATTGCTACATTTCGTCTGAAGTAGGGTCGGGGAACCAGACTAAAAGTAAAGCATTTTTTTTCCCCTTGGTTTTTCCAGCATATATGAACACACAACTTTAAACAGGTCAGAACCCCCAAATCCATCTGTTTCTGAAAATTACAGCAAAAGCAAATGTTGTATATATTACCTTCAACATGGCATAACACACCTCAAATATGTCTGCTTAATGCAATCAATCTGTAGCAGTTTTGGGGACAAGCACTATAATGTCGACACACACCATAACAATTCTAACTTTATGTGCATGGACGTCGGCAGCGTTTGCAGTTTGCTTTAAAGAGGTAATAAGCTACATACCTCATCTTTCCAACTGGCCAGTGTATGTTCAAAGGTCCTGTGATGAAATAGTTACTTGAATGAAGACGGCTTGGAAATATCATTAGTGATATTTTTTTAAGCATCGTTGAATTTTCGATGTGCCATTTGTCAGCCAGATCTGGTAGTTAGTAAATGTAGTTTGAAATCAGATAAAAAGAAACTGCATTTAAACCTGTGTGTGATTTTTTATACCATTACTTTGGCGGTTTTGTTCTGTAAATGTTTGGCTTTATCGGAATACTGGTTTGCTGTGGACTGTATAATTTGTTTTGTATTAAGACGTCATCTCACTAGGTTTATGTACATGTGTTTTCCCAAACGATACTTTGTGAAGTTCAGTGGGCTTTTTATTTAGACAATGTTAATATTTCTGTGCAGAAAGTGTTTTTTGAGAAGCGTGCATCCATGTGTTGAAATTATGAATTACAGATAATAATGTACAGAGGTTTGTTTACATATATATGGATTTTATGAAATTTTGAGTGATTATTGATATTTTGGTTCCACTTTTTATTATATCTACTTGCAGTGAATGCTGTTAATATGTGTAGTTTTCTTTTTTAAATGTACAAAGTGTCTCAAAGATTCTCCTGGAGTTTTTGTATAGGTTTACTTTTTTCCCCGTGTTTATTGGTTAAATGCAAATGTCGAGAAAAGGTGAGCCGTCAGTTTTCATCTCCCCATAATTTCGGTTGAATGTTTGTTATTAAACCCCCCCCCCCCCCCAAAAGGAAAAAAACCTAACGGGAGTGAATAGTTTTAAAAGTGATGATCACTTTGTGAATCGCATCACAAATTTAAAAAAAAATTCCCACGAAAACAGTTGAACGTTTTCAAAGTAAAGTTGAGATCACTTTGGCATGTAATTGAATCGTACAAAGCAGCGAAGAGTTTTTAAAAGTTATCAAACAACGCTTTGTGGACAGATGAACACACTGCATATATGATTAGTACCAAAAGATCATTATTAAGGGGCAAACAAAAAAAGTACAAAAATATTTGCAATCATTTTTTTCGTCACTTATGTTTAAAGATCAATATTTAAATATCATTTCATTGAATTTTTGAAATATGCTCAACAAGTAGGTTAAAATTGCCGTCAAAAGTGGGTTTCCTTCTTTTTGCACCACCTTGTAAATATGTATTTTTCAAATACATTACATTACAGAGTAGGAGTATTCGATAATTTCTCTGGTAATTCATTTAAAAAACCGTGGTTTAATAGGCTCCATCAGGAACATTGCACTTCCTTCAGGAATTGCTTGCCTTGGAATTCCTTTCTAGTCTCCCCGAGTCGATGTGGGCTGATTCAATTGATGTTCACCCACCATGCAATAGGCATCCTCCGTGTCAGTTAACAACTAACCAGGCTATAAAGCTGTGTTCAACTTTGATGTAGCCGCATGCTTTGAATTGAAGCATGACAAAAATACCACAAGTACTTTTGATGTCGCCTCCACTTTTGTGTGATGTTCATGAACTAATAAGCACACCTTTTTTTCCCCCTCCGACTTCCGACCTCTTTTACAAGGCCATACTACTCTTGAAAAATAAATAGGGAACTGTGCTGTAGGTGTTTCCCTTGAATTTTTCACATGACTTCGTCTTCAAAAGAAATCCAGGTTAATCAATATTTTTTTAAATCCTTGCATACATGAAAACTGAACCAAAGATTCTGAGGGTCTTGTGTAACTCAAATAAAAGTATACTCATTTCATGTGAATAAGCCTCCAACAGTCCGTAAACATTGCACCCACACAATTCTATGGTCCACCCATTCGCACTTTTCCAATATGAAAGGACTTTTTATAGAAGTTGTTTTTATTCCACTACGATGTTTAACCTGAAATTCTACCATGCTCCAATTGCCGTCAGTAAAATTGCTGTACGGGACATTAGTAAAACTTTATCACAAAAAGTGTTATACATGTAATTTCATTTATTTAAAATTTGATTTGAGTTTTTTGTCTCTCAAGATGGTTAGAAAAAAGTAGGTTTTCTCCTCAAAACGGCTTTCATAATTGTTTATACAAATGAGATTTGTTTTTATGCAACTGCTCACGATTATATTGTCAGTGCCTATAGATCAGTTATAAACATGAACTGTTTAATTCCATGATGTTCCATAAAACTCGAAAGACAAAAAATATGACATGCTTAATGAATTTCCACAGCCTTCTTGTCGACGTTAATGTTAGTATGTGAACATTATGTGATTGTAAAATAAAACAAATGAAATACTGATGGGAGAACAAGTGTAAGGTGAGAAAATAAAAAGTGGCGGAGCAGCTTTCATTGAAACTAGAAAACCGCTGTAATCATATGATTTTAAGAGATATTTTGCATTAGAGTGTATTCAGGGTGAGTAAAAACAAACGAAACACAAATATCGGGACCATTGTTTTAGTGAAGTTCTGCATGTAGCACTTTCAAAATCTGCGATATGAAAGCCCAATTCATACGTTTTCCTTTAGTACAAGAATCATCTAAATCACTCATGTACTTTTCAAGTTACGGAGTTTTAATCACAACCACCGTTTTAAAGTTCTATCCACGGATCACAAACAAGGTGTGTGTTCTTTCGGCAAAATGAAAACAATTCACACACATCCTTATGTGACTTGTTCGTTTTGCTTAAAGAACACTGAATTTTTTGTGATCCGTGGACAGAACCTTAAAATGGCCGTTGTGTTTAAAATTCCGTAACTTGAAAAGTACATCAGTGATTTGAATGATTCTTGTACTAAAAGAAAGCTTATGAATTGGGCTTTTATATCCTAGATTTTGAAAGTGCTACATGCAGAACTTCACTAAAACAATGGTCCCGACATTTGGGTTTCGTTTTTTTTACTCACCCTGTATGTGTACACACATCATAACGTATGACAGATAGGTGACAGGATTGTGCCTTTGTTAATACAAGCATGGCATTTGGCACACAGTCAGAGTATGTCATGAGAAAGATATTTGGCTATAGGGCCATCGCAGATTTGTCCTTTGAAATAAATATAGGTAGAATAAAAAGCAATGGCAGCCATTTTGAAAATTTTGAAAATTTCTTGTAATTGTACCTATATTTTTTCAAAGGACAAATCTGCAACGGCCCTATGGGCTCTGTGCGCCAGCAAAAGAGGGCGCTCTTTTACCCAGCAACGACATCTAATGAGTGGGACATTTCGCTGGTTGACGCACACTGTTCCTTGTGTGGCACGTACACCAGGGGATTTGTACTATGTACACGCAGTGGCCACGCTTCGCGGCAAATGAATTGCAGTTAGGCAAGATGGCGTCGGTCGGTCACCCCCAACTGTACTTTCTTTGCCGGTGAGGGGGGTACTTGTGATTGGAGCGGATAGCCAAATATCTTTCTTAGGACATACTGTGTGCCAAGCCAAATGCCATGCTTGTATTATCAAAGGCGCAATTCCCCCAAATATTTCCCGTATCTGCCCCACTATAAGCTTAGGAAGCCTGTACAGATTTTGGCAAGGAACAATAGAGATAGGGCTTTTTGAGAGCGAGCTGTAGGTGTATGGCCCCAATGCATACAATTATGTCTCCCATTGCAATGTCCACGGTTCCTCCCAATACCTCTCTGTAACCATGGAGGGGGTACTTGTGCACGGAGTCTATACACCTTGTTGGCAGTTGCAATGCATTCCTAGTACGACGAATAAACCAGGCAATTCATACGCAAACCTATGGTCTCGGTGCACAAGTAGCCATCAACAGTAAGAAAGGGAGAGTTGGGGGAGACCACTGCGAGAGACATTGGAGCGCATTTCCGACAATATCTAACACTCGTGTGTAGACACTTTGGCTTTGTGCAGATTCGAAAAAAATTAGTCTTGTGTACTTCGCGCAATATATGTGCGCGAACCAGTACGCACATGCAGTGTGTCCCACTGGGCTCTTGAAAGTGGTTAAAAAAGCGCCCTCTGTTGTCTGCACACGGAGCCCTTAGGACGATTAAGCCACTCACAAATGTTTCTGCTCCTCATCCAGAATTAAGTGACCATTGGAAAAGATAAAGGAGGATGTATGGATAGAGGCTCACATAAGAAAATTACAAAAATTTGGCTTTGTCCAGGCATTCAACTTATCCTCCGATCCGCAAATTTCCTTGTTTTCTACTTCTCATGAATGCCATTACAAAAATATTGTACAAAGTCTTGTGTGGTTTGGAATTTCCTTGTTTTTTCTTCTAAATTCCCAGTTGCATGCCTGTTTGTCCCACTGTGCTGCAATATGACAATTTGTGATTTGAGGCTCATTTTGTGTTGTTGGTCTTTGGATATACATGTAATTCATGAATGTACATTTTTTAGCAAGTGACAGCACCCAACCCAAGCCGAGAGCTCTTCCATCATCTGTACTTCTCTAGCCATGCCAGCGTGTCCTCCGTTTTTCCTGCAACCGTAAGTGAACAAAAAGAAAACCAAACTCTGTTAAAAATAGGGGTGACATTTTTTTAAAGCAAAAATAAAAGGATATTTATTTGAACCTTACTTATTCAGTCCATGGCTTCTGACTAGCGCCCCTTGAACAAAGTGGGGATCCCCCAACATAGGACTGGATGGCTCAGTTGGTAGAGCACTGGAATCGTCATCCGGAGGAGGCAGGTTCAAACCCTGTTCCAGTCAAATTCTTTGTTCAACTTTGAAAATTATTCAGGTCTTGATAGAGCAAGGAAGAGGGTTGTGTTCCATGTTCAGTCAGACGTTATCTTTTAGCTTGATTGAATATGATTATTGACATGCTGTTGTGATGAATATGATTTTACAACCAGATTTGTACAAGTGCAGTAGAAAAGTGTCTGGTTCAAAAAAATTGTTCAGGTCCCTGCAAGAGAGTGCTGTGGCCTTTAACGTGAACTCAAGATTGCATGGAAAAAATCTGCAGATTGTGGGTTTGAATTTAGTCAATGGAGTTGAGGTGTGTGTCCTCAGGCAGGATACTTCGCCTTCATTGCACCGAATCCAACAAAAACTTCACTCAAGAAAGAAAAATGTTTGGGCTCATCAATTCTATAATTGAATTTGAGAATGTTCATAAATTACGAGAATTCTGATACACCCTCCAGAGAGATCTTTTTTGGGCAGTCTGATGATCGAGCGGGGGTAATAATGATGTAAACTTTGATCTTTAATAGTAAAAGTGATTCATAAAATTTACTATCAAGGCCGACTCAGTAAAATAAAACCAACTATTTAAGAAAATAAGCACACTCCTACCATGAGCTGGCATGTATTCAGCACCCATCCAGCCGTCATATCCAAGGCTCTCGAGGTAAGAAAGAATGAAACCATAGTTCACTTCACCATCTGCACTGGGTTCATTCCGATGGGGAACCTGGGCCATTTGCATGTGACCTACAAAATAAACCAACCAACAAAGACAATACAAATATGGACAGCTTCAAGTGGTATGACTCGCTGATTAACAGATTTGTATTCTGTGTACAAATTAACCCGGGAACATCATATGTACAACCTTCCAATGTAAGATTTTTATTTCGGACATTTTGTACTGAAACTTTTACTAAGGGTAAGGCTCTCCTTCTATGAGAGGACCTTGTGTTTTCATTTTGTTAAGTCTTACCGATGTAAGGGAAGAATTCTTTGATGGTGTTGGTGATGTTTCCTTGCATCATTTGGACATGGAATAAGTCCTGAGGATTAGTCACAAATGAAGGCAAATCAAATATATAAACATCACACAAATTGAAATCTGCATACATATGGTATGTTTTTATCACATGTCAAAATTGTGAATAATTCACTTTGTTATTAATACACACCCTCTTGCAACAAAATTCTGCTTATAGTGAACATAATCCTCGGTCCCAACTGTGCATTTCTATGCACAATGAATGGGACCAGTGCTCCTTTTGACCCTAACAGAACTCAACCCATCAAACCGCAACGGCATGTTTTGTTGAAATCTGTCAAGATGGGTACAATACCCCTAAACTGACAGTTACTTTACATTGGGTTAAGTCAGAAATATGTGTGTACAGTTTCCCATATGATGTTGGAATTTGCCAGGATGGGTATGGTTCCTTGTAAATCATGCTACGGGGTTACAAAACACAAAATTCAGATATAAAAACCATTTGGCTAGGTCTGGGTGAGTTTGTATTAACCGGACTTGACGGGGGGGGGGGGGGGGGGGGGGGGGGGGTATAGCTAACAAGCACTCACCATTTGCAACTTCAAGTTTGGATGGCCAACCTTTTTGATAATTTCAACACCTAACAGAAAAGTTCAACACAATATATTCAATGAATTTAATCATACATTAATAATTAAACAAACAAAAGAACATACAATATACATGCATACAAGCCAAGCGTGCAAAAGAACAACTGCAACATTTTGCTTTTGCCGTAATTTTCAAAAATGAATAGATTTGGGGGTTAGTATTTTGCAGCAAATATTGTTACGCTGACCAGTTTAAAGTTTTGTGATCACAGATGCTGGAAAAACAAAGAAAAATATATTGTTCTTGTAGTCTGGTTCCCTGACCAGGGAATTGTCAGGTCAGGGAACCAGACTAGCTAGCTTGCACTTGTTCACAGATGTGTAACCGATTGTAAACAAAATGTGGACTAACTAAATTTGGTAAATTGAGGGGCAGTATCACTAGAAGAAAAAAAATCAGTTTTTCCAACAATGGTTGGCCAACCATCGTTGGAAAATGATACAAAAATTCCACTTTTTCTGGAATGTGACAGCACATCAGGTGCCATGAATTCACAGGATGCTTGAGACTATTCTTCACTTACAGTCCAGTAAGGTATTCATCATAATTTTGTATTTTTGTTTTTGATGTTTGCAAATGTTGTATGTTACCTTTAAAACTGGTCTGTGACCAACTTTACTAGACTTGCATAGTCTCGTATTGTACTTTTAAGATATTCTATACTTTAAATTTGCAATGACTTCAGAGTCAATTAATCTGTAAAAAAATAAATAAACTTTAATAAAAAAACAACAACCCAGAAATGAGTTAACGATTCGCAAACCTTGGTCTTGTCGACTGAGGAAGTACCCCGGTCTGGATACAACTGTGTTGATTGGTTCAATGAGTGCCAAGATTCCATCCTAAAAATAGGTAAACAAAAACATTGAGAAATCATCAATTTAATTTTTCATTAAAGTTGTTCTACCAATGATCTTCAACATATTCAATTTGGTTTTTTTTGGTATTAAAATTTCCAATCTGTATGTTTTATTTAAATGTAAAAAGGTTACTTTTGTTCATTTTGGACATTTTCAACCCTCTGAAAATACACTTTCATTTTGGGTGGCATTTGTACCCATTACTCCTGAATTATATTAATTAAAAATAAATCAGAAATGTGTACATTCAATTTTCCATAACTGAATACGGGCAGATTTTTTTTTTCAATATGTCTCATTCAAAAGTAAAAAATAACATTTTTAAAACAAAATTTATTTTCAGGGTAAAACTAAAAAACGGCACGACAAGAAAATTCAATATTGGGTTTTGCCCTTCACCGACATATTTTTTTTTAAAAATAAACACTGTATAAATAAAAAATGTGTACATTAAAATAGCCCATAACTGAACAAAGGCGGATTTTTTGTTCAATGTCTCATTCAAAAGTGAAAAATTTGCAGACATTAGTTTTCTCTGAGGAGAAAACTTTAATGTCTGCCAATATAACAATGACCTCATCTATACTACAATTCCAGGAATCTCTGTCTGTCTGTCTGTCTGTCTGTCTGTCTGTCTGTCTGTCTGTCTGTCTATCTCTGATTATCTCCAGAACCGGGCACCGTATGAAGTTGAAAATCGGCGGGTGTATTGCTCCGGATAGCAGAATGTGCAGTGTCAAGTTGGAAGTTGTTTGGACGAGCGGTTCTCGAAAAAGCTGAAAAAAGCAGCATTTTCTGAGCCTCAACGTGGCAGATTATAGCTTAGAACACGCGCAGTCCTTTTCAATTGTTTACGTCATGTTTGAGCAAAAGCGCGCGTGCTTAATAATTATATGACGCAACAATGGAAAAAGAACAGGCACATCATGGGGCACATGCCTTGAAGGGCGATACCATTGTCCAGTATGGGTGAATAGCACTGAATACCATGTTTCCGTATGTACACGTTCGTGAGTGGCTACACGGGCACATGCATTTTGCAGTCGACTGAGCAACCATCACTGTGTAGGCGGTCGACTAAGTAACCCTTACTGTAGGGCGATACTATTGTCCAGTATGGGTGAATATCAGTGCCGGGGATGGCCTGGCGACATGTACAAAGTGCGCTCAACCTATGAGTGTGAGTTTAACCTGTGAAAACAACACATTTGAATCATGGGTGTTGTTTGCATGATATGAGCAGTTTGAAATTGCACCTACCGAACAGGTGCATTTTTTTTGACGGGCCCTGCACTAGTTTCAATAATTTTAGAAGGCACATTGCTGTTTTTATACTACACCAAAAGTAGGGTTCATTTTTGTTTGTTTGTTTGTGTTTTTGTTTTGTTTTTGTTTTTGTTTATTTGTTGCTTTTACCTTACTGAGTCTTTCTGCCGCATACTTGAGATTGGACAGAAAAGTTTCTTCCATTTTTCTCAGCAGTGCTGGCCTGTCACCCTCTGTGCAGTCTGGTGTCACGCCTGCCATGACATGCATCCTGATAAAAATAGATGTGAGATTTATAAGATCTTAAATTTGGGAGCACTAACTAGACTGTCACAAGTACTGCATATTGCATAAACTGTAGTAAAGGAGACATGGACTGGTATGTATAAATTAAAGGTACAGTCCATCATTTGTTGAAAAGCATACTTGGTTTAAAGATAGTAATGGGACTCAACTCCCTGTGAAATTATTCTTTCTGGCAAGCTGTCATTTTAAGGAAATCAATGAAAGAAGGCCTTTCCAACAATACATCTAAAGATGCATCTTTGGAAATTAATTTTCCGTCAGTAATTCGGTTTTTTTGATCGGTGAAGCGCGCGCACGTGCTGACACGTTTTCAATACCTTAAGTTTTGGGACTGTCATACAAAACACAGTGTATTGAGAGTCCTAAATTTTCAGACAACTATTGAAGCAATATTTCACAGAGTGTGTTTGGCCAATTTTTTAGCTTGATGTGCACAAAAGCCGTGATTTCTCTCGGTCCATCTAGATCTTGCAAAGTGCTCTACCTGTTGCATTTCAATGCTGTGCAGTATTTAATGGACAATTCCAGAGTCTCTTGAAATTCCGTCTCTCGGCCTGGGACAGCTGCCAGACCAAGATCTCCGGCTTTTACATCACCTTAGGAAAAACAAACATAGGCCACACAATTTTACCACCACAAGAAGCACAAAACAAAATAAGATGGACAAGACTGTATAAAGACTTACAGTTCCCTTCAAGTAACTCTAAGAAGTGAGGATGTTTTTACTTGTGTAACCGTGAAAAATGACACACTTGGGGAACTCGCACAAACTAAGACTCTATGGGGATGAACTAACAAAACTAAACTAAACTCAGGATCTTTGAAGGGAAAAGTCGCGAGGAAATTGAATTAATAGAGACCAGAGACGAATTCTAGATTTCGAACAAAAAAAGGACCAAAAAGAATTTATTCACAAGAACCTTAAACCAAAAACCAGAAACTAAAAGCAAAGAATAAAACTTAAAAACCAAAGACTAAAACCAAAAAAAACCCCAAGAAATTGAGACTTAAACCCTAAAATCTAAAACCAACACAGTGTGAATAGTGGATCTTTCAAAGAACACTCAAGCAGGAATAAAGTCAAAGCAAATGACTCGGCAACAGACTATAACTTCAAGCAGAACAGGCACTCCAGTTAGGAGGAAAATATATCATGTATGTCTATTGTCTGCTGGTCTGCTGACTGAACTGAAGTGTGACTTGACCATGTGGCAGCTTTTATAGGGGGAACATGTGGGCTTAAGTAAACAAACAGGGGGTCACACTACCAACAAAGGGGGGGGGGGCATCTAAACTTCAACTAAAATGATTTTCTTTTTCTAAGGGGAGCTACTCCTATTTAATACACTATCAAAATACACAAGTAAAACTTGGCACTGCCACACTTGCACTTGTATCTATACCGCACCTGCACAACTGCACAGCTTGAGTCACCTCGACTTCTCCTTGGACAAGCAATGTGCTTTTTAGGAGTCTACACATCAAGCATCAAGCATTTATGATACTGGTTTTTTTTTATACATGGTGCCCAACTAGACATGCTAGAAGGCCATTACAAAGAATGTAATACTTTAGATTTGCTTCCACCTACAACCTACCTATCACCTACAAATGTCACAAAAAGTAACCTTAATAGTATTACTTAGTCACTATTACCCAACAGCCACTTCAAAACAAATATAGTTGTAAATATTTCAAAATGTGTACTTAAAATGTATCCCAATGAGTATGACACAATGTCAAAACTGCCATTGAAATGTATTAAAAGTCATCTTAGCTCTACTGAATGGAGTGCTGGAACTGCGGTGCCCTCCGTACTAGTTCAAGTGCTGCACTCGGACAGTAGAGCTAAAGTCATCTGAAACCGGGTTTTTGATTTAAAAACAGAACTTGTAAAATGATCAGGGAATGTTGCAACCTGACGCCACTTTTTTGTTCATTTATCATCTTAATGAAGGTCAGTTATTGAAAAAAATGATGATAAGACATGAATATGGGACTGAGAAACATTTCCAATTTTGTTAGGAAATACTATACAAAATTCTTGACTCTCCATAGACTTTGTACACAACCGCTGAAGTGAAGTGGCGTCAGGTTGCAACATTTTTTCCAAATATAAGTGTCCTAAAACTACATGATTATCCCCCTAACTTGAAGAAAGAATTAACAAATAAATTAATTTGATGAATAATCACTGAGTACACTGATAATGAAAAATGAAAAATAGAAACGCCTCAACTTGCTTTGCCCAAAAAATTTCGGATGCAAAACTGAACATTTCATCTAGCCTGATTAAAGGCCCCAATTCTTCACCTGGAAAAGAGTTGATTAAAACCTGTTGCATCCCTTCCTTCTCTTTAACCTCGACGAGCTTCTCGACCGGGCACTCGTACGGGAAGCTGACTTCCACCGCCTGGAAACCCGCTCGCTTCGCGGCCGAGTATCTCTCAGCCAAGTCGGGAATCTCTTTGAACAGCATGGACAAGTTGGCGGCAAACTTTAGAGGCATTTTTGAAATGGTAGAAATTGAAATAAATCTGGCAAAAGTAGGCCAACGTATTCGAGAGGTCAAAATGTAGCATTTGACAATTAGTGACAATTTGGTTTCGAGACAGACGAGCAGACGAAACGTCGAGGGGGAGGTCCTCCCATTTTTTTTGTAAACAAACAAACAGCTGATTATTGAACTTTGAACCCCATTGGAGGAAAGTTTGTTTTTTAATTACTTAATTTTAGAATATAATTTATTATTTTATTTCATAAATAACAGGACATACAAAATTCACTTCGTGGAAATGATTTTTCAAAACGTTTTATTAGTGTTTTTTTTTAACAGTAAACAGTAAAAAGAATTATCTTTACAAGAAAAATATATTGTAAGTATGTGAAACAGCCAAACAATGGCCGCCCACAGTAGCCTTGGAGTTTTTGGTTGTGGATGTTGACAAATTCTCTGTTTTTGTCACTTTTGCGAGGAGATTCCTAGGTAGGAGTGAAGTGTCATCAAGTTCAGTTAGATTACTCTTATCTTTAATAACAAATGCACAATTTTACAGTTATTTCCGGTCTAAACGAGCCGATTTTGATGTGTTCGTTAGAAGCGGCCTTGAATTCCCCCCCCCCCCCCAGGCGATCGTGAAGTGTAGGGCCGGGCCCCTGTTTTGTTTTGATCAAATTAGAATCAAAAATGTTTGTTATTGCTCAAAAATCACCTTTACAATCAAAAGCAGACTTTTCTCAATTCTATTGACACCCGTTTTGCAATTTTGAACAGTTTCTTGGGGTAGAAATCATGATTTTCCTGCGCGGTTGTGCCTTGCGATTCAGCGCGCCGTGCGTGCTCACAGTACATCGCGCGGTGATCGCTATCTTTATTTTCGGGTCGCGTGTTGTCGCTGCGCTGTCATCGTAATTTTACCCCCAAATTTCCCTAAAAAAATTCAAAACCCTGCCCTCTATCTATGACATACCTGTTTATTGAGAATGTTGCGAACTAGTTAGTAGTTTGGTAGGTCCAATAATTTTAAAGTGGAGTTTGTTCCCTTATAGGAACCGAGCCCTACACTACATGATCGCCCCCAAAAAAGACATGAAAGACATTCACATTGTCATTGGGCCTTCCATTGATGTTGGGGCGCGATCGGTGTAGATCTTCACAATTGGTCGATCGTGCTGCGCTATTGGTCGATCTCACCGCCATCAGTCGATCACATGTTCTTTCTAATATACGGCTCTTGAGGATTGTTTTGAAAAGGGAAGTCTGAGACTACACACTGCTACAGGAATCGACCGATGATCAGATCGCGCAAGTGCATTTTCTGCACGATCGCGCAGCCCCACCGATCGTGCCCAACATTTACATGATTGATTGAGTTACACATAAAAATTCCAATTGCACGAAATCGGTTACTCGCGTTACATTTTCGTATCGTGAGTAACCGATTTTGTGTGTCTTGTTTATCATACATAACACATTTTTCTGGATGTCATCTTTGGTGCTTAGGTAGGTCTAGGTCTACTCTATCTACCATGGGGATAACAGTTATTAAAACTTTTCAGTAAGGAAATTACAGCCCAAGGAAGCTCAAAAGTACATCAAAAATGTAACGTGAGTAACCGTGGAATTGCCCAAATGCATTTCGAACGATGAAAGGGAGTCGGGAACTAGCTTGAACTGGTTTCCGTCCATAAAATCTGCCCTAGTTCCTGACTCCCTATTCTCGTTCGAAATGCACCTGTGTTTACAAACGTGATCCAGTCTACTCATTATCATAATCGATGCATCGCGCGCGTTCGGTTGCATCGCGCGCTCTCGGTAATGGAATTACACTCGGGATACGGGGACCGTCGAATGAACGCTGGGCATGAAGACCACATCGCAATTCAAACACAAGTCGGAAATTTAACGTGTTCACGATCGCGAGGGGAGCTCTCGGAATTTAACGGAAAATTTCACTTTTCATCCGGATCGTAAGTAAACTTCAGTACAACCATCTTAATTATCGAAGTCTACTTGTACCTCAGGTGGCGTATCTAGTAATTTGGAGGCCGTTTTGAGGGTGAAATCTGATGTTTTTGTTGGGCAATGTTGGGTTTTTGGGTCAATGACAGAATTGTGTTGCCCGGCATATAAGGATTAGCTTGGACCCCACTATCGCCAGACCATGTCCGAATGTTAAAAAGGCGATATGTTGGGTCCAAGTTACTCGGACTATGGGGGACGTTACTTCCAGACAGTTATGGAAGTAGGGGGACGTGGTAAACAAATCTGCATTCTGCAATTTTTCATCTAATCAAAATGGAAGCCTTTTTCGCACAAAAGTTGAAGCATACAAATCATCTTAAACAACGGTGCCGTAAAAAAAAAAAAAAAAATTTGCATTTACTTCACAACAAGAATTTGTGGTGAACTGTGAAGTGGTGAGCTGTTTATCTTCCGAAATAAACCCAAGTGCTGCACAAGTAGTCCAAGTAACTTGGACCCAACTTATCGCCTTTTGAACATTCGGACATGGTCTGGCAATAGTCCGAATGTCAAGAAAGGCCATAAGGTGGGTCCAAGATACTCGGACTATCTCAGTCCCAAATTTGAGTGGCTTCATTTATTTGCATTGAAACTGTTCATAGATTGGGGCGAAATGACATCATGCAATCAAAACATCTTCATGTACTCATTTGCACATTAGTTTTCATCAGTTGCTGTGTATTTAATACATTCAACACTCCAGATTTGTTTTGCTGGGGGTATCAACCATTGATCTCCATTAGTAAGACTGGATAGGACACAGCGCCCTCCATCTTGTGCAAGCACGCGTAGTCATCGTTGAGGGTTCGAAAGTTTGAAATGCGTTCGTCACACACAGACCATGCAGCACCCGCACGTTACGCATGCGCGGTCGCAAACGTTAAACCCTCACTGTACTACCCAGCTGTTTGTGTCTGCGTTTTCCGAATCTTCACTGCGCGCAAGTATACGCGTGTCCTATCCAGTCTCAATGGTATCAACCCACATGTAAAGTAATTGCCAGACTCTACCACCCTCAATCCTGCAAAATCTTCCCAAACCTAGTATTTTCTGAAGAATTTGAGACTTGAGAGGGATGTTGAGTGATTCATTCTTCTTTTTCTGTTTTATAAAGGGAATTCTGCCTGTCGGTCTTTGTGAGGGATTCCTAGCATTCGGCAAGCATGTTCCATCCATCCAACAGCAGCGCGACCCTCCGCCAGTCCAAGCCCATGCCGAAGTGGCTGTGGCTCTGCATCTCCAAGTCCCTGGGCATTAAGACCCATCCGCAGGACAAGCCCATCTTGGCTACGGCTCTCTACATCTTCACACTGGCCTGCACTATGACGTACTTCGTCACGTGCACCTGGTATGTCGTCTACGACATTGAAGCCACCACAACCAAGTACGACGTCCTTAACGGCTCGGTGACGGTCATCATGGCGGCCGGCTTTTGCTGCGTCACGGTCTACGCCAACCTCCTAGCCTTCAAGCTCTTCACCAACTCGGTCTTCCGCCAGAGCCTGCGACTTCACTCCAAGACCATCCTCAAGGTCAATGCTTCCCTCTTGCTAGTGGTTCTCAGTCTTCTATTCATTGGTATATACGCCTACATCTCGTACTGTTCGGAGTCCGGAGCCGAACCGTGCGAGAGTGTGAACCTTAGTCCCATCATATGCTACATTCGCTTCCCCAGTCAAACGGTGCTGTCTGTTATATCTTTCATCTGGAACCTCATGGTGGCCGTGGTGTGTATGTCTGTTTGCCGGACTCACACTATCAGTAAGTAATTCTTAATTTGCTTGCTGTAATCCTATGACTGACTGACTGTCTCACTCAATGACTGTCACTTGGCCCAAAAGTTTGAAATACGAATAACTTGTTAGGCTAATGACAGGTGTAAGCCACATGCATGAAAAGACTTCCAGTGAATAGGCATTCTGAATCAATTGAATATAATTATTTGTGCACTCTGGGACCATCTTTACTACACTTCCTCAGTTATTCAAAATGATCTATTTTAAAACTCAGGATACCCCTCCTAAGCAAATATACATCCTTTGTCAAGTTGTCCTTTCAGTCAAAATCAATCCAGTGACTGTTTTCAACAGTTAGGAGCTCCCAACCTATATAAAGCAAGATTGAGTGGCTGTGACTGTTTATGTAACTTGATACAGCTATGCTTTGACTGTAGGTGACTAATAAGACAGATGTGCCAACAGTTTCCTGCTTTTGTCTGTTGACTGAATTTGACTAGTCAGAGTGCTTGCTTTATCGGACTGTTTGTGACTAGCCTTTGTGAAAGGCATGGCAGGGGAAGTGGATGGAATTTTAGACTATCTGTGACTGTTTAAACAGGAGAGATACTACATGTATGTGGTCAGTCCACAGTTTGAAGTACTGATGTATAATAAGGGAATAAATGTGTGCTCCGGAGGTTTTTATCACTCGTTTAATACCGCTTAGAGTCTGGGTGCTGATAATTACCCGAGCCGGAGGCGAGGGTAATTATCAGCACCCAGACTCTAAGCGGTATTAAACGAGTGATAAATACCGACCGAGCACATATTTATTCCCATTCATAAATACCTTATCCGTATAAATTTTTCAAATAATTCGTTCAAAAAATCCCGATTTTGTTCAACAAGTTCACTTCATGCTTTTTGAAACATCCCTCTAGCAAAATAATGGAGTGTTCAGCTGGCGAGTAAGATGTAAACAACCCTTTTATGGAGATTGACGCGCGCGTAACATGTTCTGCGCGATGTCACGCAGAACGCACCTGGGGCGTTGCATTTTGAATTTAGAACTGTAAACTTCTGACTCGCTTGTTGTGTTGCGCATGCCTACGTGAGGATTGTGAACGTTCAACCAATGAAACGGTAAGAGGCACTGGATTTTTAGGAGTCCACATTTTATTGTGACACTGGAAAAGTGTTTAAGACCAGCTAGCCATGTCTTTATCATCCGTTTAAGACCGGCCACGTGACGGGCTCTCGACCAATAGGAATAGCTAAACTGTCTGAGGTATTTATGAATTGTACTTAAAATTTTATAATGTCAGAAGCACAAAGGAGTTTTGCGCAATTGCAGTGAAATTGCTGTTGCGTCACAAATTCATGTTCGTATCTGCTTTCGCGCCGAGTATGAACCGACCTTGTCTCAGATCAGAACAGGACCTGGAGTTTGGAGCTAGCATCCAGCTATTAAATTAGATTAGATTACTAGAGCGCTAACTCGTCATTCGTGTGCACGGAGAAGCTTTGAAGCCGCTCTGGGCTCAGACATTTTGAATTTATGTGCGTGTTTGTAGAACACAATCAAAAAAGATGGATTGAATTTTAAAAGTGTCCTCTAAATGCAACGCGCAAGTAGAAGACACGCAAACAACTTAAGCGCATCTTGACGGTTCAAAAAACGTCATGGCGAAAAGCATCAGCAGTGGAGGGACGCGCACACATTGCGCTGTTTGCGTAGAGCAAAATAACATGCTCATTTGCTGATCGTGCGTTTCGGTTTTGGGCGTATCAGCTTCGATGACGCACCGCTATGGAATACAAACCCAGATATGGAAATAGACGTACAAAAGTTCTCCATAGGTTTGTGTACAAACATGGATGCGCCCAGCAGGCATCACTTTGTACATGAGTTAGCGCTCTTAGTAATTTAATATAGCTCTATGGGAGCTAGCAATAGTTGTGCGTTCTTTACTGTACTAATGATGCACATAGTTATTAAAAAAAAAAAGTTTGAACAAAATTTGAGTCCCTCACCTGAAAGCGTTACTTGAGCACACACTGAACCCAACGTGATTCTCTTTTCCTCTTTCTCAGGCATCCGTCATTTCTTGCTTGAGCTAGACGACGATGCCATGATCTATGAGATGCAGAACCGACACAGTGCGATTCCAATCACGATGTCAGACGGGGCGTCGGTCCAAGAGAGGCAATTGGAGGAATCCGTCGGGGGTGACGACACCCGATTGGACATCAAAGAAGATCTGGATGTGCGCAGAATCGAAGGTGAGGTTTGAAGGGGCAGAATCATGTGTAAGGGAGTTTAGGGAACAGGGTTCCAGATAAGGATGATCTTGCTTTGGCTCAAAGGGAAGATACAACATTTGCAAATATCAAAAAACGAAATAATCAAATCATCACGAAATACCTTACTGGCTTGCTAGGGAATGACAGTCTAAAGCATCCTGTAAAATCGTGGCTCCTGGTGTGCTGCATTTTCAAGAAAAATTGTATTTTCCAATGCTGGTCGGCCGACCAGCCTTGGGAAAAAAACTGGCTTTTTTCAAAAAGTGCTCCTGAATTTTCATATTTAGTTACTTCGCATTTTCTTTGCAATTTGTTACACACCTGTGAAGGACTACAAGAACATGATTGGTTTTCTTGGTTTTTCCAGCATCTACAAGCCCAAAACGTGAAACAAGTCAGTTTAACAATATTTGCTATAACATACCAATCCTCCAAATCCATTTATTTCTGAAAATTTCCGCAAAAGCAAATGTTGTACATTCCCTTTAAACAAATCTACATGGTATGAACTCTGTGCACAATTGTACTGTCAAGAATTGGAGAGAGTTGGGGGAGATCTCTTGAAGGGTCAATCAAAAGTCTTAAGCCTTATGATGCCTTAACCCTAACCTTCCTCAACCCTCCAAAATCCTCTGAGCGGTTTTGGAGGATTTCGTAGGATTGAGGATGAATGCAACATACAATTTTGGAGGATTGTGGAGGATTGAGGGTACATTGGCATTCAGTATCGGTTGATTTTGGAGGATTAAAGCTGACTTGTGTTTTAAAGAAGAGGAGGATTTTGGAGGATTGAGGATGAATGCATTTTGAGAGGCAGGACTGGTGAAGGATTTTGAAGGATTAAGGCAGTGGCTACATTTATCCTTTATTTGAACATCAGTGCAGAATTGTGGAGGATTTTAGAGGATTGAGGGTGGTTCCTAGGAAAAAGGGCCTAGGGGTTAGGGTCACGCCAGACTGAGACCTAGAGTGCTCTGAAACGTGCAAAAATAAATCAGGCCAACTTTACTCACTCTTTAGCCAGCAAATTTCTCCAAAATGTTCATTGGACAAAGAAAATGTCCTCAGTATTTCACAAACCAACTTTGCAGACTCAATTCAATTTTTAACCCTTACTCCCTAGGCCTTTTTGCTAGGATGTAGCCTCAATCCTGCAAAATCCTCCAATTGGCCTCCTGGGAAAAATAGCATATAGCCTCAATCCTGCAAATTCCTCCATTATTTCTTGAATATGGTCCTTGGAGAGGTGACCACTGCCTGAATCCTACAAAATCCTCCGGCTGTGACTCAATAGGTTGAGGCAGAGGCAGTGACATCTTGGAGCAGTGCAGAGGATTTCAAGTATAATCATGGACTAAATTTATGCTAGGCTGAACATAAACAATACAAGGTCCGGCCCAAGACCTTGACACAGTGCGTCCTCCAAAATCAGCAACACACTTTTGCCATGTAACGTCAATCCTGCAAATTCATCCAATGTGAAAAAAGGATTTGGGAGGATTTGGAATGGTTAGGGTTAAAGGAGACTTTTCTTCAATATTTTGCACATGAGAGGGAAGTCAAGTGATTTCAAAATGAGGCTAAAGACTAGACTGGTACATGTCCATCCATGGTCCGACTGTTTGAAAAGATTGACCTCTTTATTCAGTGTCAGTAGTCTGGTGGATGACTATGGAGTAATGTGTAGTAAATAGAGACTAGTTCCCGGTTCATACCACATGGTGTTTTTTTTTGGCACAGTTTATTGATGCATTACTGAAGAGTTGTTGGACTGGTTGTTTCAGGTGCCAGTCTATTTTCTTGTATTGTATGTTTTCAATATCTTAAGCAGTGTTCTCCAACTTTGAAAATTAAAGGTCGGTGTGCCGTCAAAAAGCGGAAGGGGGGGGGGGCTATAATAATGTTAAGGGCGCTATTTGCAGTCATACATTTCTTTAGGCTAGGGGGCACTATTTGCAGATGAACATGTACATTATGTACGGATAACAACTTTTAGGCCATTTCTAACACAGTAACACTAACAATTAAGTACAATACTGGCTCAGCATCATCTTTTTTAACACATCAGTGACCAGGGACTCTGAGGCAGTTTGGCCTTGAGACTTTTGACCTGATTGATTGCTACGATGGGCAGGCTTGTCATCAGTTTGACAAATCTTCCATGTTACTGCTTTTGGCAGAGTTTCTGGCCAAAATGTACCCTGGAGGGTAAGGGTAGTCCCACTCGATTTTCTTTTTTATTATTTTTTCCTTTTTTTTTAAGCATGGCGGGCAACTTTTTAAGGTTGGCGGCAGCTTGGCGGGTGCCTCAGAAAACTTGGCAGGGCACCAGGTTATATTTACAGGTTGGAGAACACTGCTTAAGTTTTGGGACTTTTATACAGAGTATTGAGAGTCCCAAATTTTCGGACCAGGGTTACGCTTATAAATGCAAAGATGCTACGGTATGTGCACATTCAGAATAATACAAGCTGTGTGTACTATCTGTTCATAATTTCTCAACCTTCAATTGAAATTGTTTCATTCGAAACCTCTGTTCTCTGTTTACGTTCCCTCAGCGGCCTGGGATAGGAGTGAGTTTGAGAGGAGGCAGCATCGCGTCTCGTCTTGTCTGACCGAAGGACACGCGGCGTTAGCCGATGGAGACGGTCTAGAGCAGGAACTGCCAGACACTGCAGCTGACCATGCTGACAGGGGGCCAGGAACCACAAGGGTAAGCATGTCAGTGGTCAGTTCTGGGCCTAGTTTAGAAAGGTTGTGCTAACTATCCGTTCCATTTTACAAGTACCCCCTCACCGGCGAAGAAAGTACAGTTGGGGGTGACCGACCGATGCCATCTTGCCCGACTGCAATTTTGCTGCGTGTACGTAGTACAAAGCCCCTGGTGTACGTGTGTCACACACAAGGAACAGTGCGCGTCAACCAGCTAAATGTCCCACCCATGGGACATCGTTCCTAGGTAAAAGGGCGCCCTCTTTGTTGGCACACAGAGCCCATAAGGCCAAAAGAAAATTGTTGGTCTCTGGTCAGACCAAAGTTCTGGAATTGAAGCGGCAAGGCATTTAAAAAAAATTGTTTAGCTTTTTTGTTTTTCTCCAAGCTTGGATTGTACAGACAAGGTGGGTACTATTTTGCTTTTGTGTGTCCTCAAATACATTGGTGTCCTCCATCATTTGCCTTTGTGCAATTTCTCAATTCCATGGTGCTCCGTGGTACAAACATTTAAGGTGGTGCGTCAATAGAGATCGCTGTTGTAGCTACCGTGGACAATTTGGGGGAAAAAAGGAGATGACGCACATGATTAAAGTCAACGCGCGCGCTGACCAGAGACCGACTTTTTTTGTTTTTTTTGGCCTAACAGAAAATTGTGCAAACATTAAAGGTAGAGTTTATCATTTGCAGCTATCCAAAAAGCAACTGATGAAATTATCGTTGAAAAACATACTTGGTTTAAAGAAAGTACTTGGTATAGATAGGCACTAAACTCCCTGTGAAATTGTTCCTTCTGGCATGCTCTCATTTCGAAGAAAATAATAAAAGGTCATTTCCAAAGATGCGTCTAAAGACACATTTTTGGAAATTTCTGTTAGACCAAAAAAAAGTCTTCGGTTTCTGGTATGGAGCTTGCCTCAAAAGTGATGCGTCTGCGCGGCTTTTTGGGTTTTTTTTTCTACTATTTTCTTCAAATGTCGGCCGATGTTGCAGATGATGATGCTTCGATCCCCTTAAAACTCTCAAAAATATCCATCAGGGTGGACATGGTGGAGCTTGAGGTGACCTCAGTAAGGCCATAAGGCTTGAGAATTCTGCACCCACTTACGATCTCGACCGACACGAACATTCTTCGGGAGATTTGGATAGTCAAGACGAAAATCAGAGAAAACGGTAACGTCAGACCATACAGCGTCATCCACATCGTGCCTGTGCTGCCAGGCTGGTCATTAGTCTGCTCCCTTACACGTTGCGCTAATTAAAAAGTGTTTACAGGTTCCAGATACACGACCATCCACACACACGTCTGGCTTCTACACACACAATTACAAAATACAACACCGTCTGCAAATGGTGCCCGACTATTCTGTGCAAAACATATGGGAGCCCAGAAAGGCCACATAAAGCTTATACTGGATCGTAACTCAATCTAAAAACACGTTAAAATTGTGCAGCAGCAAGATTCCAGTCAGATCAGTGAGTTTGGCAGTTTTGAGACATCATCTTACTTTGAAAAAAACAAAAAAACTTTTTAATTTTGCCGACGCGCATGGCTACGGCGACGCGCGCGCATACCAGAAACAGGAACCTTGGGGGTTTTTTTTGGCCTTAGTGGTTCGTTTTTAATTTGGCAAAGCTGTAAATGGGTGCGCGCAAGCATGCAAGCATTGACATGATTGCCATAATTCGTTTGTTCAGTGCGTGACATCGAGGAGCTGCAATCGGCTGAATGAGAATGTGTCCTGGATGCTGATTTCAGGCGCAATTCAAAACATGACTCGGCAACTCTTGTATTGAAATCGATATCCTAGAATATTGTTTTCTCAGAATATGCTGCATTCACTGAACTAAATCAACTAAAAGTTAGGTTTTGAGCATTTTTGTTGCTTCAAATGAAAAAAAAATGCACAAATGACATGATATACTGTACCTTTCAGCACTGTTTCATGCTGTGGATGTGCTAAAGCTTGCGCGCTCATGAAGATATCTATTGTTACTATTGTTATTCATAATCACTCTTGGAGGACGACTGCATTAATTTAAAGAGTGCACAAGAATTATACAGGGTGGATAAAAAAAACACGAAACTGAGATATTATTGCTAATTAGAACAGAAGTAGGGCACACGTGAAACGAAGGGAGATATCCTCTGTTAGGGTTGAATCTCCTCTTTAAAATGACACCCTTGTCATGTCCTTACATTCATGGTTGACTGAGCAGTGACCAATTTTATGAAAGGGTCTATTTAGAGAATTGCGCCACTTTTCAATTGTGGTTTTTGTGGTGTCATTTGTCACAGAGTGAAAGGCTATGGTTGCCATTCAAGGCAGGTAGAGAGAAAAAAAAGAGATTTCACCATGAAAAGTAGCGCAGTTCTCTCAATAGACCCTTTCATAAAATTGGTCACTGCTCAGTCAACCGTGAATGTAAGGACATGACCAGGGTGTCATTTTAAAGAGGAGATTCAACCCTAACAGAGGATATCTCCCTTTGATTCACATGAGCCCTACTTCTGTTCCAATTAGCAGTAATATCTCGGTTTTTTTTTTTATCCACCCTGTATAATCATAGATGTCAGATGTAACAGGGACAGGAACAAAGTGGAACCCAAATATGTGGAATGACCTGAATGCGTTTGATCGGTGTGTGGATGTAAGGTTATTTAATTCGATCGTTTGCATCGAGCATATGATTTGAGGATGTGGGAAGTGCAAAAAACTTCTCTGCAAAAATTACTGGATTTTGCTTGTTGGATAAATTTGTATGTATTCAGGAGTTGTTCCCACACTTGTTCGAAATGGAAGAAAGTCTCATGTATTATATTTGTTCTTGATTAGGGAGTTGTGCCGCGCCAGAGGGAGTCTGTCACATCAGCTTTTGTCCACACTGGAGCCGTGAAACTACTCACAAAGGCTGAAATTCTGGACCGCTACTGGAGGCTGCAGGTAAGACATTCAACTTCCCAGGGATTGCTGGAGCAACGGATCGACCCATTAAACTCTGCCTGAAGGCATTGGGAGCAATCACAGCCATTAGGCCAAACAAAAAAAGTCTCCGGTTTCTGGTATGGAGCTTGTCCAAAAAGTGGTGCGGCGATGCGGCTTTTTTTTTTTTTTTTACCTGATTTTTTTGCTTCAAATGTCGGCTGATGACTGCAAATGGTGCCCGACTAAACTTAGTGCAAATATATGGGAGTCCAGAGAGGCCACATAAAGCTTATTCTCGACCATAACCCAATCTAAAAACATGTTTAAATTGTGCAGCAGCAGGATTCCAGTCAAACCAGTGAGTTTGGCGGTTTTGAGACATCATCTTTCACTGAAAAAAAACCTTTTTCATTTTGCCGACGCGCATGGCTACGGCGACGCGCGCGCATACCAGAAACCGGAGACTTTTTTGGGGGGCCTTATTGATGCAACATGTTATCACAAAAGTCCAACAAAGGGCAACAATAGGGACAATGGTACCCCGCAAGTCTGTCTTAAGAAATTGGAGTACATGTACTCCATAGCCGTAACACTATGTATTTTTAGATTTGTAAGGGGACAAAGGAGAACCAAAGAAGGGAATTTGGGGCAAACATTAAATGCGTGTGTGGATGGGTGTGGGTGAGTTTATTTCTGCATTCAGTGGGGGACGTTGAACAATAGAGGACAATAGGGTCTCCAATTCCTGAGAGGTCCCCAATTTCTGATCGTGTACAAAATATATGAGCGATCTTCCTAAAAAGTTGAAGTACAAGCAAAAGAGGGACAATAGGGGGTCCCTGGTTGCAGGCAAATACACACGTGCTAGGGTGTGTATGTGTTTAAGGCTGGACCATTCAATGTGGCTCTGAATAGGTACAAAGCGTTGTTGCCCATGTGGGCAAGGCTTAAAGGGAAAATACAACATTTGCAAACATCAAAAAATAAAACTACCAAATCATTTTGAAATACCTTGCTGGACTGTTAGTGAATGACAGTGTAAAGCATCCTGTAAAATCATGGCACCTGGCATACTGTCATTTTCAAGAAAAGTGGTATTTTTGTATCAATTTCCTACGCTGATCGGCCGACCAGCGTTGGAAAAAACTGTTTTTTCCCCAAATACTGGCCCCAGTTGACCATCGCACTTGTTTGCAATCGATTACACACCTATGAACAGGTACAAGCCAGCTAGACTGGTTCCCTGACCTTACAATTCCCCAATGTATGTAAACTGCTCTGTTTCTTCTTAAATGGAGTCAGGGAACCAGACTACAGGAAAACGATTGTTTTTCTTGGTTTTTATAGCATTTTTGAACCCAAAACCTCAAAAAAGTCAAGTGTAACTATATTTGCTATATATATTTCCAACCACCCAATTCCATCCATTTCTGAAAATTACAGCAAAAGCAAATGATGTATATTCCCTTTAATGGGTCGGTGTACTTGTATGGGGGCAAAGTTTCATCACCACACCTTGCAAAGTCTGAAAACTTTCCTGATATTAACGGACTGTGACTGGGCAGCACTGAAACCAAAGACTGCCCTCTGGGCTCAAACTTCACTCCTAACAATGCAGAGGGTATATGTCCGTAACCTGGCAGTGACCGAATTCATTCATTGTGTGCAATCAGTACTGTTGAGTCATTTAACCTTGAGCGTATTGTACATGCCAGCAGAAAGTGTGAATTTCAATTGAGCACAAGTTTTTCTTCAGTTTGATTGTGAAGTCCTTTTCGTAGGTCTCCAAAAAAAGCCACACGTGGTAGAATCAAGTAAAATGCACCTAGGCTGTGTCAACGGACTACATGTTTATTGAATGAAGACAATTGTTAGTCTTGGTCCACATGCGGGATTTGGAACGTTTTCCTGTACTTTTTCATTACACATACACTAAGTACTACATAAGACTTATTTGTTGTAATTCATACAGTCTTCAACTTCTGGCAACTACAGTAGTCCCTCCAAAAAAGTGTCCGTCTGACTATTTTTGAAATATCTACAAAACCACAAAGTAGATTTCGAACATTTTTAATTGTGCAGATAGGATTTATCCTTGGCCTAAACCCCTACAAGTTTAATTGAATTTTCATCACGCCTCACTCATAGACATATAATAAAACCTAGACATGACATTATCTGCTTTTACATTGTAAATTCTGTGAGCAAAACGGGCTGCGTCACGCGGCTTAATATCGCGATGAGCGAGTGTCATGCATATGGCTTCGATTTACGCGCATACTTCTTAGTTATTCTATACGCGCAGCATTTTGCTGACAGGCGCAATAGCAAATGTCGTGTATAGGTTGTATTATATGTCTATGGCCTCACTAGTACTGCAAAATGGTCAATTGATCACAATCACATTTCTGGACACTGTGACTAAGAACCTTGCCTCAGTCGATTTCAGTGCGGTGTTATGCAAGCTGTGTAAAATCCTACATGTTGTGAAAAGGGCTGCGGATGGGATTGGAATCATTTGCCTGGCTATCAGTCATCATGGCAAGACCTCAGTTTAATGCTCAAGGGCAAATGATTTGGGTGGCATGGGTGGCTTGTGCGTAAAGCGCTCGCCTCTCACCAAGGTGACCACGGTTCGAATTCTGGCCGCGGATCGCATGTGAGTAGAGTTGTGTGTTGGTTCTCTCCTGTGCCACAAGGGTTTTTCTCCGGGCCCTCCAGTTTTCCTCCCTCCGGAAAAATCAAACACTTTCGATCTCAGGCTGTGCTCCGTGGTCATATATGGGTCGATGTGGCCGGCAGCCATAGGCGCCTTTACGTGCCAGCGGCCCGACCACGTTGTAGCCGCGTCCTTCGCAATTCAGCATACCAGCTGCGAGTAAGGATGATTAGCCTCCCAAATTATTATTATTATTATGATTCCAATCCCAAACCACATCAGCCTTTTTTTCACAACATGCAGGATTTTTACACAGCTTACATAACACAGCACTGAAATTGATTAAGGCACTTGGTCACAGTGTCCAAAAGTGTTGTTGTGATCAATTGACCATTGTGCAGTGAGGCATGGTGAAAATTGAATAAAACTCATAGCAGTTTAGGCCAAGGATAAGAAGTATCTGCACAATAAAAGAAAAAGAAAATTACCTCTTGGTTTTGTAGTTACTTCAAAAATAGTCAGGCGGACACTTTTTTGGAACATATACGATAGCATCACAAAGTTTAGACACACTGCTAGAATTTTTCTTTCCTATGGAAACCACTAACACTGTTGCGGGGACTAGTTTCCGGTCCCTCCACTGTCCTTCAAATGTAAGTGTGGAACCAGCCTTTTGCAAAATGGCAACGAGGCTATCACTAACGCACACTTTGTGTGATGATGATTTTTGATTTTTCTGACTGAATTTACGGTCATTGTGTTGAAATGGTGATATTCTTTAAACGGATTGAGCAATTTCAGTAATTTTTTCATCTAAAAGTAGCTTATGAAATTGGCTTTCCAGTCATTATTATGTTTGGTGCTACATATTTTTTTAATATGAAATATAATTTGGGGGTTTGGGTGCGGCTTTTTTTTTTACTCCCCTGTACATGTACACTGTGTTTGCTGACACCTTGTCACCTCCAGTTGTGGCTTAATTTCATGGTCAGTCAGTTACAACAGCCCACACAAAGGAGATATGCAACAAAATTAAATTAGGTCGCTTTCCCAGGATAAACCACTTGTCAATACCTTTAGAGGATCTACCAAGCATTACCTCCATAGTTCCTGAATTCCAGAACTGCGGTCATTTGTGACCTCCCTAAAAAAATTGCCATTGAAACAGGAGTTTACAGCAAAGTAAATATCATTGTTATTTCAACTTCACCCAGAATGTTTTGTGGCTATAACCATTCTTGGGTGAACTGGAGCGTTTCTTTTGAACATTCTCCTTTTCACGCACCGTAACATTTCCACATATTGCCCCGCACCCACATATTGCCCCACACCCACATATTACCCCGCACACACATATTGCCCCGCACACTGTTGAAACAAGGCTAAAGATATCTGCTGTACTGCTGGGCCGAATCCAGTTATTTAACCCTAACCCCTTGAGCACTTTCATTAGAAAGTATCCTGAATCCACCAAAATCCACCAATTTTGTCATGCAAAAAAAAGTTGGTGTCCTGAGTCCATCAGAATCCACCGGTGAGTCCATCAGAATCCACCAGTGTAGTACATATACCTCGTACACACCAAACATGTAGCCAAGGAGTTAAACTGTTGAGATCCTGAATCCATCAAAGTCCCCCAGCTGCTCAATATGGAGGTATCCTGAATCCATCAAAATCCTGCAGTACTGTAGGCTTACTGTCCTGAGTCCATCAGAATCCCCCAACTTTTTTCAATATGGAAGTATCCTGAATCCATCAAAATCCTGCAGTACTGTAGGCTTACTGTCCTGAGTCCATTAGAATCCCCCAACTTGTTCAATATGGAGGTATCTTGAATCTGCCGAAATCCTCAAAAAAGGTGTGGATTTTGATAGATTCAGGACGTAAGGGTTAAGCATTGGACTTCTACTTTCTTTCATAGAATTTGACTAGAAGTGTAGTGGCTGTTCCCTCTTTAACATCAGTCTGAAAATTTTGACTCTCAAATATAGTGCACCGCGTAAGTAAAGTTAGTCCAAAGAAGCATCTGTAATATTATTCACAGGCACTTTTTTATATATTTATTTTTTTTGCCCGCGACGGATTCTTTTTCAAAACATTTACCATTTTCATCTGTTTTTTTTTCCAGATGGTGGATGCTGTGTTTTTTCTCAACACGGCCATCATTTTTCTAAGATTAGCTTTTCTTTCCCTCAAAATGGTTAAGTTTATCAAATATATAATATATTAAGACACATGATATTTCTGATGGTGAAAATATCAGAAAATACAGCAGATTTCGCCAATAAAAAAGTGAAATGAAAAAGAAAAAAAAATTGTAGCAGGAGAAAAGGATGTGAGTGGAACAAGAAACTAAATTTGTTTTTAATTTGGCCTACGTGGAAAATGTAATAGACTCAAAGAATTAAAAAATTGAAAGAGTTGATCTTTAAAAACTGGAAATACATGTATGTATAGGGTTTTTTAAGAACAATTTCACACTTTTGCCATCTGAAATGCCTTCGGATTCTTGACGTATGGCTGGAGAAATGAAACTTTTCTCATAGAAATTGTCAACGTGAACATTTCCACAGATATTTGTGACCACTCCAAAGAAACATCACTAATTAAAAACAAAAGTTCATTTTCAGAAAACGATTGCCTGTGGCCACCTATTTGGATCAAATGTCTTTGCATTTTAAAGGTATAGTCCATCATTTGTAATTTGTGCATTTTGTTCGTTTGAAGCAAGTGCTCAAGATCTAAAGAAGGGTTCTGAACAACTAACCTGATGAAGTTTCAGCTCAGCTTCAGCTGTATACTTCGAGAAAAACAGCATTCTAGGATCTCGATTTCAAATCAAAAGTTGCTGAATCATGTTTTGAATTGGGTCTGAATTCAGCATCCGAGACACGTTCTCACTGAGCCGATTGCAGCTACGCGATGTCGCGCACTGATGCGACGAATTATAGCAACCTCGCGCATGTGTGCGTTGTGCCAATGCTTGCGCGCGCTTGACCAAATAACAAAACGAACTACTAATTTGAATTTCCTATGGTGCTTCTTAAGAAGCACCGTTTTGGAGGCCTTCTTTTGTTAATTTCTTCAAAATGACAGCTTGCCAGAAAGAATAATTTCACAGGGAGTTTAATCCCCTTACTGTCTTTCAACCAAGCATGTTTTTCAACAATAATTACGGCAGTTACTTTTTGGATAGCTGCAAATGATGGACTCCGGCTTTAAAATGCAATCAACAAACATTTACTCTAGGTTAGAAACTCTTTTTTGGGCGTTGGGGATGTCATTGAAAACTTGGAGGTTCATAGTGAACAATGTGCCACTGAAGGTGGGAATAAAAAAACATGACAACAGCTTGGTTGGCCTGTTTGCATAAGCAGGAAAAAAAACACCCATAACGGGGTACATGTATGTGGATTTGTTTGTCCTTGAACAACCCAATTTTTATTCTTTCACTGAGACTTCCCAAAAGTGCTTTGATTCCTGGGAGAGTTCATTGAAGTGCACTGCTCTTGAAATGTGCAATTTTAGTAAACCGGCTGAATAAAAAAAAATTTTCGCTAGGTTCTGGGTCCTATTTCATCGTTAGAGAAATCTTTTGCGACTTGTCGTAAAAAAAAGTACCGGTAGTGTGCTTCAGATTTTTTTTTTTTTGGTTTGTTTCGGGTTTTTCACAAGATGGCTTAATTTTAACCCTAACCCCCTAGTCCCTTGTTGCTTACAACCATCCTCAATCCTCCAAAATCCTCCAAAATTTTGCAACTCCGCCTAAATTTTTCAAAATTGTCAGACAGTCCTGCCTCAAAATGCATTCATCCTCAATCCTCCAAAATCCTCCTCATCCCAAAACTTTGCACTCGTGTTTAAATGAAGGATAACCAACGCCAAATCCTTCAAAATCATCAGACAGTCCTGCCTCAAAATGCATTCATCCTCAATCCTCCAAAATCCTCTTGTGCTTCAATCACCATTCATCCTCAGTCCTCCAAAATCCTCATGTGCTTCAATCACCATTCATCCTCAATCCTCCAGAATCCTCATTTGATTCAATCACCATTCATCCTCAATCCTCTAGAATCCTCCAAAACCGCCAGGAGGATTTTGGAGGAGTGAGGTGGGTTAGGGTTAACCGACCCGACCCGAAAATCCCCAAAATGATGAAAAATGATGGAAAAACCGACCCGACGCGACCCGAAGTTGGTTTTGGGTCGGGTCGGTTTTTGTTGGGTTTGCACAACATGACTCCATAATAAACTCTAGCATGTTGACATTTTTTTCAGTGTCGTCTGAACACGACCTCTGCCATCCTCCAGCGCTGGATCACGTGCTGGATCATCCTGATCCTATTATGGAGTCTCTATTACCTCATGTACTGGATTGACCACGACGCCAGCATCTTAGACATGATCATCTTCTTCATACCGCTGTTCCTCTTGCCGCTGCTGTGCTCTGGACCGATAGAGGTCAACGGGGAAGGGGAGCGAGTTGCCAAGGTAACAGTCTTCAAAAGATCGCATGTCGTTGTTTTTTGCATGTGGCACCCCGAGCAATGCGTTTTCAAATGGAGTAGTTCAGTTTCCAACTTAATCTGCATGCAAGTTGTGGCTTTCCATTGAGACCGTACCAAAAAAACCCCTAAAATTAACAAATGATAATATTTTTTTAATTTTGAAATGTTACTAGAAGTGTCGCTCAGTATATGTGATGCAATCAAGCTAAAATGAGTCGTTCGTCGGGAACTTTCATTTGGAGATTCAGGCCAAAATAGGGCCACTTAATCACATCACTTCATCACATCTCTTGGTGTTCTGACTTCCATAATTTTTGAACTCAAGATGGAATCAGCATGCAGTTTTCACATCGCCTGCAGTTTTCAGTAATGCTGAGATTGTGCTCTTTTCAAAACTGTGTGGAAAAAAAAATGACCAGGGTCGACAAAGGACTCATTTAGCTTGGTCGCATCACATTAATGTTTGTGTGTTGTAGAAATTGAAGAAATGGCCTTGTCTTGACTCAACCACACACTGTGACTCGACTCAACTCAATTTCCCACAGAAGATCCCTTAAATTAAAAGTGACCAAACTACAAACAAAAAAACGGCCAAAAAAATAAACTTCTGTTGGTTTGGCAATAGCTTTTTTATCAGTGCATCACGTTACACAGGAGGGACATGCCAAAAATACCCTGCCTTTGAAAGTTTTATCATACCGGGCATTACTGGGAAAAAAAAGTCTTTTCAATACCCTTACATCTTGTTCTTGGTTGGTTCATCTCCTAAATACTCTGCGTGGGAGTTTATACAGGAGACCAGAAACACCGGGGCAAACCCCTTCTCTTAGCGATAAGTGTCACTGGGTTCTTTTACGTGCATTGGATTACACAACACACGGGACCTACAGCTTTACGTCCCATCCGAAGGAGGAAGCAAAAATGGTTAAGTGCCTTGCTCAAGGGCACAAGTGTTCAACCGGCGGGCTCAAACCCGAGTTGAGTCCGGTGTTCTTAACCGCTAGGCCATGACACTCCACATCATAAGGGTGTAAGACATATGCTTCCATAACAATTATTTTAAAAATAATCGTGAAATCTCAAGATGGATAATCCCTCAAAAGGGTAACTCACGCTGCGGTAACTCAGCTTACAGTGTGTCCGCCCATCTTTAGGTTAAAACATATTAGAAACTAAAAATTAAACAAAAAAAACTCTTTTGGCATAAAATATGAACCTTTCATTCTGCCCAAAAAAAAAAAACTCACAATAACACTTGTATTTTGCATGCCAAAACAAAGTACCAAAATGACAAACTAAATTAAGTTTAGCCAAAAAAACCCAAAATTTTTTACCCAAATTAAAAAAACTCAACCGTATCGTTTCTCAGCGTCACACCATGGAATGCCCATTATATATCCTTGTTGGTCTCAGGGTAGTTTTTGATTTATTTCTGTCCCGCAGGTGCTCAATTCTAAGCTTGTTTACAATGGAGGGCTTGGAGGCATGAGTCCAGTGACCTTTTTTAGGGTGTGGAGTGTTTTGAGGCATTGAACCAAGTCCAGACCTATTGGGTGTGCTGTTGTAAAATAGGTGGAGAGAATTTGGCCATTGTATAAAGTCTTACTTGACCGGTTACCAAAACAGCTTTTGTTTGACTTGAACTTGTTTGTCCAAAAAGAAAAAGGAAAAAAAAACAGCCCAAAAAAGTGTGAATCACTCAGTTGTACCGTTTTAGAAAGAAAACAGTCGACTCCCGTTAAAGGGAATATACAATATTTGCATTTGCTGTAACTTTCAGAAATGGATGGATTTGGGGGGTTAGGACTATAGCAAATATTGCTACACTGACTCGTTTGAAGTTTTGTGTTCGTAGATGCTGGAAAAACCAAGAAAAACAATCGTGTTCTCGTAGTCTGGTGCCCTGTCCCCAATTAAGATGAAACAGAGCAATTTGTAGACGTCAGTGAATTGTAAGGTCAGGGAACCAGTCTAGCTGGCTTGTACCCACTCATAGACCTGTAATCGATTGCAAATAAAATGCGGACTAACTAAATATGGTCAATTGGGGGTTATATTTGAAAAAAGCCAGTTTGTTTTTTCAACGCTGGTCAGCCGACCAGCGTTGGAAATTGATACAAAAATGCCACTTTTCTTGAAAATATCAGCACACCATGTGCTATGATTTCACAGGATGCTTTAGACTGTCATTCACTAACAGTCCAGTAAGGTATTTCATAATAATTTGGTATTTTAGTTTTTGATGTTTTTGCAAATGTTGTGTATTCCCTTTAATACAAACTCTGCTTAATACAAATTCTGGTTATAGAGAATATAAAGCCTTTGTCCTGACTGTGCCTTTATGTGCACAATCTTATGGGACCGACACGAGAAATGTCTTGGCTTGGTTCCAGCTAAAGTTTTTACTAACGGGAGTCGACTGTAAATGTTTTCAAGGTGAAGCTTTGATGATTGAAACTTTAAAAAGTTGTCTGCATGAACATGTTTTAGTTTCACTCTTGTGTCATAAATGAACTGATAGATTTTATTTATAAAGTCAGAAAAGCAAGAAGTTATCAACTTTTCAACATTTTGATATCAAGCTTCTGGACAGGGTGGCCCCCAAAAAGTGTACACTTTTTTCAGAGTCAGATTTTTCAAACTTGAAATTGTTTAAAAATACTCCTAATTTACGAGATTTTGGTCGTATGTGGTGAAAACGGCGTTGAAAATAAAGCTCAAGTTAAGTAATAGCGGCCATGTACAGAAGAATGGTCAAAAACTAGTTTGTCCACGTCTATGACAGTCATGTAGACCTAATAAAAGGTCAAATGAAAGCAAATATAAATTAAAGAAGTGCTCACCAGTTATTGCTTTTTCCACATTTTCGGACACTTGTCCTTCTTCAGGGTGTAGCAAGGTTGCACTGAATCGTCCCCAACCTTGCTACACCCTAGAGAAGGACAAGTGTCCGAAATTTGGCAGAGCAATAACTGGTGAGCACTACTTTAATTCATATTTTCTTTTACTACTTCATTAGTGCTACACAGCACCCCATTTTAGTAAAAAGAAAGCGCAGGTCTTAGAGTGTCTTAAAATGTTATGAGAAAACTACAAGTTTTTTTATGGGTTTATTTGTCGTATAGATGATTTGCCCAACACACGAACGTATGGAGGTCATCATGTTCATCCGACAGGCCCCACTTTCCTTCACTGTGAGTAGAGCATTTGTTGGCCTTGTATTTGTGTGGAAATTGTACAGGAAAGGTGTAGGAAATTGGAATGTGAAATCAGTGTTGTAGTACTCGTACTCGGTACTAGTACTCGAGTACTTTTCTTTTAGAGTACTTGTACTCATACTCGAATGTCAAAGTACCCGTATTCGAAATGACGGTACTCATACTTGGGCAGCAAGGTACTCGCACTCGACATGTCGAAATTGTACTCGATCATCAAAGTACTCATACTGGAATAGCCATACTAGAAAAATATGGTATATAGCTTGACTGACTATGGCCTTATTTTATCGATACTTGCAGTTTGAAATGGTTGATTGGCTTGCGGAGAAATCAAAGTTTCCTGATTTTCCTCTGTGCACGTCCAGACAAACACATTTAACAGCTTGCCATGAATGGGTCTGTATATCGGTCTGACTGGGCCTGGGCCAATTACTCACATTGAACCATTTGCCGTATGGCCGTATTCGGAAATAGAAGTACTCTTACTCGTACTCGTACTCGGAATACAAGAACTCGTACTCGTACTCGGAAGTACAAGTATTCGTACTCGGAGACCTGTACTTGTACTCGTAAGTACAAGTACCCGTACTCGAACTCGATAATCTAAGTACTCAGCAGTACTCGGTACTCCGAAAAAAGTACTTGACTACAATTGTTTGTGGAATATAACGTCAGCATTGCCATTGTAGGAGGCGAAGATCATATAGCGTTGTGCACAGTAGGTAGTAGGCTAGCCTTCAAAGCTGTGATGGATGGCAAACACTGTGAGAAAAATTGCAGAGCCAACACCCATTGCTAGGTCAGCATGATTATGACAACCAAACACGGAAAATACGCCCTGTCTAGCGTACAACGCGTGATGCATGCCTACTGCAATGGTGGACAATCACCGGGAAGCCAGATGGTCATGTGGTACTTAAGTTATAGATCAGCCCCTACTTCGTCAACATTTGCTAAGCCAAAACAGCCAGTTTTCATGATTTTTGCTTCTTTTGTTATTTTATAATTACGATTTAAATGTAATTGTTATGGTAATTGGGATTATATTTCAACTTGTTGATGTAATTAAATTGCATTTAATTTAGTATTTATTGATTTATGTATTGCATGTAAGGCCAAAAAAAAAAAATATTCGGTCTCTGGTCAGACCGAAGTTCCGGAATTGACGCGGGGATGCGGCTTTTTTTTTTTTTTTTGCTTTTTTTTTTTTTCAAGCTTGGATTGTACAGACAAGGTGGGTACTATTTTGCTTTTTTGGTGTCCTCGTGTACATTGGTGTCCTCCATAATTTGCCTTGGTGCTCTCGATCATTTGCCTTGGTGCAATTTCCTATTCCTTGGTGCTCTTTGATAAAAAAAATTGAGGAGGTGCGGAAATAGAGGGCACTGTTGGAGCTACCGCGGAACATTTTGGAAAAAAAAAAGATCGACGCGCATGATTAAAATCGACGCGCGCGCTGACCAGAGACCGACTTATTTTTTTTTTTTGGCCTAACCAGACAAATTTCCTTGAAAGGACCGATAAATGAAATTGAATTGAATTGAATTGAATGGAAAATGTGCATGGCACTTTATCTGGGTGCCCTAATAAATCAAAATAATAAGGTCAGGGAACAAAGAACTCAGGAATCAAGGAACCGACTGTGGCATGCTGTACCGAGTCGATTTGATCATTCCCATTATCTGAAACTTACATTGTGAATTCTGGACCACGGCAACCGATGTTAAGATAGATTAACAGCCAGTTTCAATTCCCATTTTGCGGATTGTGCTTTTGTGATATTTGGTGTTCATAAATCTGTTGACGATCGATGCCCTATAGCTAATGTTGGAAGTGCCTACCAATTGCAACAAAAGGACAATGTAGCGTGGCTAAGCCTTGCCATGATTGTTCTGATAATTGAAAAATCCATCAAACTGTTGGTTAGTCCGTAACATATTTCTGTTTTGGTTCAGTTCATTGAAAACCACCATGCACACATGAAGGCTTCCTTTCAAAACGTACATCAGCACGCATCTGAAATTCTCAAGTCAAACACAGAGTAGAAAGAGGTCCAGTACTTTGTGAACACAAATGTTCTGAAAAGATGACTGAATAAAGGGAATGAATATTGGCAATTCCACACTAATGGGACCAAAAGTGTGACATTTAAAAAGACCTTTTGAGTTTAGATAATAAAACTAGGATCTTGGTCTCTCAATTTTTGCTGTAAACATTGCAAGCTTTGAACAAATATCCTCACCGGCAAAGGATATAACTGGTTTTGTATTTTAGAAAATATGGTGGATATTGTTTTTCAAAGTGCTACGTACGTAACAAAGGACAGACATTTTAGATAAAGTCACAAAGTAAGCATAGCATTTAATGATCCCCTAATGTTGTCTGATTTAAGAAGATGCCTACCCTGGAGGAATGCCATCAGTCAAAACCTAGAAAACTCGGAGTCAATGTGAAGAATTATTTGTTTTTTTATAATCAGGATTTATGCGTACAGACTGGACATTTGTCACAAAATGTCTGTCCCTGTTCGTACGTAACCCTAATCACATTATAACTTTGAAGCCGGTGCAAGAACTGTTATATTTTAGCTTGATAGGTTTTAAAAAAGTGCAATTAAAACCTGCTAGGGGCCTGGTCACGGATTCGGCTCTGGTCAGTTATTCATGTCCAGGCCGCGAATTTTTTTCTCCCAAACGACATCCACATATGGGTATACGCTATGACGTTTTGGACTTAATTTTTATAAAAACATGAGAAGAAAATATAAAATTTGAAAAAAAAGTGAATTTAAACGCTATGAAATTCGGACTTTATTTCCCTTTAAAAAAAAATCCTCCAAAGCCTCAGATGAGAAAAGGAAAAAATTCGGATGCAGAACCGAGATTCGAACCCGCAACCTTGCTGTGCAAAATCCCACCCTTTATCGACTGAGCTGTTGCACTGCTCGCCAAAACGCGGGGAAACAAATAATTATATACCTGCATGCTATCATAAAAGTATCGTAGAGGGCGCTAAACAACCATGTATGCGGATGTCGTTCGGGAGAAAAAAAATCGCGTCCAGGCCCTTGCCGGTTTTAAATGCACTTGTTTATTAACCTGCCAAGAACATATTCCCATTCATAAATAAGTTTTCGGTCAAAAAGTCAAAATAAGTCAAGAATTGACCAAATTCCAACGATTTGTTCAACAAATTTTACTTCATGTTTCGTGAAGACACCCCTTCTGGCCATGTCTGTGGTGTTTACCTTGCGCGCGTAGTGCTACAAATCTCCTCATATATGGAGATTGGCGCACGCGTGGCGCGTACCCCGCATTGTGGCGCAGAACGCAGCAGTGCCTGAAAAACAGTGTTGTTTTTTCCCAATGATGGTCAGCCAACCATCGTTGGAAATTGATACAAAAATTCCACTTTACCGGTACTTGAAAATGACAGCATATTGGGTGCAGTGATTTCACAGGATGCTTGAGACTATTATTCACTTCCAGTCAAGGAAGTATTTCATAATAATTTGATAGTTTTGTTTTTTGACGTTTGCAAATGTAGTACATTACCTTTAAATGCACAGCCCTTAAATTAAATATAAAAGCTCTAACTTTATTTTGGAAATTGTTTTTAATTTTTTTCTAAAGATCTATGGATTTGTGCTGAACTACTCCACCATCGTCACCGCCATTCTGGCCATCGCGGTTGCCTTTGGAACCAAAATCATCGTTGGGAACTTAAGCGGTGAAGGACTACCGATCATCAGTACGGTAGCACCTCATCAGGTAGTGTAACTCCAAGCACTTGATCAGTGACTGAATTCCATGGTTCATTTCAACTAACAACTAACACTTACTACACCACATGCGGGGGAGTGTGTCTAGTGGTTTGGGTTTGTGACTCATGATCAGAGGGTCAGGGGTTCAATTCCAGCCGCCGGCCATATGTTGTGTCCTTGGGCAAGCCACTTCACCCCCACTTGCCTCTCTCCACCCAGGAGTATAAATGGGTACCGGCATCAGCTGGGGAGTAACCTGCGATGGACTAGCATCCCATCCAGGGGGAAGAGAGATATTCTCAGTCGTTTCACGGCAAGGAAACCGGAGATAAATGCTGGCCTGATCGGCCGTATTGGCTCATGACAGACTTGACTTTTACTCAGCACGAGGTCCAAGAAGTTTCTGGAGGTATGGGGTGTTTCTGCGGATATGGGGTTGTGACTATGGGGTTGTGACTATGGGGTTGTGACTATAGGGTTGTGACTATGGGGTTGTGACTATGGGGTTGTGACTATGGGGTTGTGATCATGCAATGTTTGTTTATTTTTAAAGAGATTGTTACAATTGCCATGTAATGTCTATGCAACTAGTTTATATATATATATATATTTAAGTTCTGTTGGCCAACTCCTACACACAGATCCATTTGGATGGTGTATACGTACATGTATATAGCCACTTACCAAAATAAATACTGTTATTTGAAGAAAAAAAATGATTCTTTATGCCTTGTCAGTAAATACTTTTTTAAACAAATGATCTAAAAGAATAATTAATACCTTTATTTTTCTCAGTTTATTTTTTTGATATCATTTATTTTTTAAGTTCTGTTGGCCAACTCCTACACAGACCCATGTGAATGGTGTATACGTATATAGCCACTTACCAAAATAAATACTTGATTCTTTAGGCCCCCCAAAAAAGTCTCCGGTTTCTGGTATGGAGCTTGCCAAAAAGTGGTGCAGTGACGCGGCTTTTTTTTTTTTTTACCTGATTTTTTTTGCCTCAAATGTCGGCTGATGACTGCAAATGGTGCCCGACTAAACTTAGTGCAAATATATGGGAGTCCAGAGAGGCCACATAAAGCTTATTCTCGACCATAACCCCATCTAAAAACACGTTGAAATTGTGCAGCAGCAGGATTCCAGTTTTGAGACATCATCTTTCTTTGAAAAAAAAACTTTTTCATTTTGCCGACCCGCATGGCTACGGCAACGCGCGCGCATACCAGAAACCGGAGACTTTTTGGGGGGGGGGGGGGGGCCTTATGCATTGTCAGTAAATACTTTTTTATACAAATGATCTAAAAGAATACTTAATACCTTTATTTTTCTCAGTTTATTTTTTTGATATCATTTATTTTATCCCTAACAGTCCTGAATCCTGCAATTTTAATACGATTTTGCACGGCCCCTAGGGAGTTAGGGTTAATAGAACATATATCAGTATTAGCAAGTTTAAAGGGAATATACAACATTTGCAAACATCGAAAAATAAAACTACAAAGTTTTTGCGAAATACCTTAATAGGATGTTGGTAAATGACAGTCTAAAGCATCCTGTAAAATTATGGCACCTGGTATACTGTTATTTCAAGAAAAGTGGTATTTTTGTACCAATTTCCAACGCTGATCGGCCGATCAGCGTTGGAAACAACTGGCTTTTTTTCAAATACTGGCCCCAATTGACCATTGCACTTGTTTGCAATCGATTACAAACCTATGAACGGGTACGAGCCAGCTAGACTGGTTCCCTTACCTTACAATTCCCCAATGTATGTAAACTGCTCTGTTTCTTCTTATATGGAGTCAGGGAACCAGACTACAGGAAAATGATCGTTTTTCTAGGTTTTTATAGTATTTTCGAACCCAAAACCTCCAAAAAGTCAGTGTAACTATATTTGCTTTATATTTCCAACCCCCCAATTCCATCCATTTCTGAAAATTACAGCAAAAGCAAATGATGTATATTCTCTTTAAGTGAAATTTAAAATGCACTTTTATTTAGCATCAATGTTTTTCCATGCTTCCATGCCTGAAAGCCCATCACGTGTGCATTTTGTCATGTCGCCAAAAGGGGGTGCATTGTGCAAAATAACAAATGAGCTTTGGCTGTCCCAGTCACAATGAAAGTAACTGAGTTCATGGGCGTCACCAGGATTTTTCTGGGGGGGGGGGAACCATTTGTCGATGGGCGTGCTGTTCAAAACCGATGATTATGCGCACTAAGGGACAATATTAACCCTAACAGTCCTGAATCCTCCAATTTCAATATAATTTTGCACACCCCCTAGGGAGTTAGGGTAGGGCGATACATGCATAAAATTTAAAAAAAAAAAAGGCACCCAGAACGGCCGATGGTCGATCAACTTGAAGTGTAATGACTCTGTGGAGGAAATAAGTGTATTAAAAAAAAAATTTTTTTAACAGAGTAACATCGATGGGACATCATATTCTGGGATCTTATTAGCCCCATAAATGTGGCCTATTTACTGGACTGCCTCCGTAAACATAGGCCACACATCCACATGTACAAAAATCGTGTCGACGGAGCCAAATTTTGATTTTCACATTTAGGCTTAGTTTGTAGGGTTTTTTTGCTTTAGAAGCATACTCGCCCTCTTTATAGGCTAATCAGAAAGTGCTGCCTTTTTCAGATGTATATTTTTCGTGAAATTTCCAGATTCATTTTTACACGTTTGCGTATCAAAATTTCAACATGAAATTTCACAAAAATTAGACATCTGAAAAAGGCAGCACTTTCTGATTAGCCTGTAAAGAGGGTGAGTATGCTTCTAAAGCAAACAAAACCTACAAACTAAGCCTAAATGTGAAAATCAAAATTTGGCTCCGTCGACACGATTTTTGTACATGTGGATGTGTGGCCTATGTTTACGGAGGCAGTCCAGTAAATAGGCCACATTTATGGGGCTAGGATCTTATGATCCTGGCCTTCTATATGGAACCACAATTAAAGACGTCTACATTTCCACGTAATCATTGAGCCACACCAATTTTATTTGATACATTCAGAATAATCCTTTTATGTAGAGAAAAGTGCATATGTTGCCATTTTGTAAAGAAAAACATATATTATTCAAATTTTTATAACATATAAATATGTCGTGTATTATTTCGGTATCAGGTTTTTTTCTTACATTATTATAGAATAAAGTGTATTGTAAATAGCTATAATATTTATACACGTAATTAGATGCAATGTTTATGTGCTAGCTGGATTTTGAATGGCAGCGTTATTTGGGGAATTTTATGGCAATCGGTTTTTGTTGTGTGGATGAAAGGCTTGGATGAATACAAAAGAGGTTAGTGCACTTCGATGGATTGGTATGATGGGAATTGGCAACGCAACACAGTGACTGATTCCATTGATAATGTAAAGGGATTTTAAGTTTAAGGGAAAGTACAACATTTGCTTTTGCTGACGGTAATTTTCAGAAATGGATGGATTTGGGGGTTTAGTATTTTATAGGCAGATAAACGTTAAAACTGACTCGTTTGAAGTTTTGTGTTCGTAGATGCTGGAAAAACCAGGAAAAACAATCTTGTTCATATAGTCTGGTGCCCTGACCCCAATTAAGATGAAACAGAGCAATTTATAGATGTCGGGGAATTGTAAGGTCAGGGAACCAGTCTAGCTGGCTTTTACCCATTTTATAGACCTGTAATTGATTGCAAACAAAATGCGGACTAACTAAATATGGTAAATTGGGGGCAGTATTAGAGAAAAAAAGGCCAGCTTTGGAAATTGATACAAAAATACCGCTTTTCTTGAAAATGTTAGCACACTAGGTGCCATGATTTTACGGGATGCTTTAGACTGTCATTCACTAACAGTCCAGTAAGGTATTTCACAATAATGTGGTAATTTCGTTATTTGATGTTTGCAAATGTTGTATATTGTAGGGATCGACTTCCTGTGTTTAACAAATGTATTTGTGTCCGGGGGGGGGGGGGAGGGGACAGGAGTAGAAGTCTAAGTAAATAGATTCATTAAACTGCCTTCCATTGGTAGGGTCAGTTCCTTGATTTCGTTTAGGGAAAATCGTTAATGGAAAGACAGCTACTTGATGATGATAATCATAATGTGGTTCGCATTAAGTGCACATCTATCACCACTTACGCAAGACTTATGTCCTACATATACAGGGTGGTCAGAATGATCTGGACCCAGATTCAAGAAAATATTGAACAATATGTAGCAATTATCAAAACAAGTACAAACAAGATATGTTATAGACTGGTATTTTGAACATATTTTTGGTGATAGTTTCATTTATATCAATTGTACAAATATTTGAGGAAAAGCGCTAGCAAAGAACACACGCTAAAAAAACACTCTGGCCACAATTAATTTTTTCAACAAATTTATTGAATTCGCGTTCTGATGCGAAGCAGTGTTGAAGTTATTGACACATTTAAAAAGAGATAACCGATTCCGTGTGCAGACTGGATAATGAGCCTCTTCAATGAAAATGGCATAGCTCCTCACCACGGCCACTAATTTGAAAATTTCAAAATTCTTGTGGAAGACAAGGTAATAACCATTCATAGGAAATACTCAAGTTTTGTTTTCAAGTGAACTTGGGTCCAGATCATTCTGACATACCCAGTACAAGGGCTTTGCCGAAAAGGCTATATGGAATATCCAAATATCCGATCATCCACCGAATATCCGCAAAGCAGTTTTACCAAATAAAATATTTGAAACATGTGAGCCGTCTCGAGAAGATGGCCCCCAAAAAAAGTCTGAATGATTTTCTTATATTTTACAGTTCAAGGCAAGGGCTCTACCCCTTACCACCTCCCTTGATCGCCACTGACCCGTAAAGCTTTCGATTTACCCCAGTAAATAGTCCAAACATCCGTCCGCTGAGCTCATTATTACAGGTTACACACTCGAATTATTATATAATAGAAAGTTTGAGCCATGGAATTGGGGGATTGAAGACATTATGGCACTGCACCTCTGGCCCGGACTTGGGGCTTCCAATTCTGAGCATTTCGGATGCAATCGGGTCCGAAAGTGGCGCTATTTAGCCATGTTGTGGAGGGATCATAGACATATGTCTATGGGTGCACACCGGTAAATAGGCCAAAATCCACC